CCCATTTCTAAGACTTCAATCCACTTGAACTTCAATAACCATTAATCTAACTATTCAATTATTCTAAAATTTATAGAATTCAATAAAAATAACTATAATCACAAATCCACAAGTTATTATTTTTAGATCTACAACCAAATTCAAAAAATTCTTTAAAATATAAATATTTTTATTATTTCATAAAATTAGATTCACTAAATACAACCCTGACTTCGTAAGCTCTTATAAAGTCATTACTAATTCAAATTGCCCAAAACTAGTACTCAAAGAAATCCTATGAAATATTTTCTCAAATTTCACTCTTTTTTTGCAAAAGAATCCTAAAGTTGCCATAGGTGCATGGTTTTGTGCTTTAAGGTCTGATTTTGATCCAGGTTGACAACCAGTCCTGTTTGGATATCAAATTTTGGTAACTTGAAGTAAGTTTGCTTTAACCTGTTTTCAACTTTCTTTTAAATATGTCAATATCAATTTCTTATTTTTTTTACTTTGGTTTAATTCATTTATGCCTCTACAAAGTAAATAAAAGTCTTTTCTATAAAACACAACATTGAGACTATATTTTTTACTAATTTTTTATAATTTATTATTATTTTCTATTACATCTTTATACTAGGCTCTTTTGTAATAACATCCATTTTATTTTTATTTTTTACCATATAGTCGTGTTACAACATGACATCGTACTTCTTACTAAAGTAATAATAGTAAAAGAACAAGGCTCTAAGTCTATAGGAATAAGATCTAATTTTGCTAATCATAACTAATTAAGCCTTAGAATCCATCATAATTTAAGAAGGTTTGACACAAGTAATATTGCCGCCAATATGGCTAAAAATAAGTACATTATTATCATTGATTAACCATAAAACTCCTAGATACAAGTTTTGATGTTCTTAAGTAGGTCTCATAGTAATGTCAAATAAAATGCCTATTTCTTTCTAATATTTTATTAGCTTATTGAAAGATCCCTATTAATTTAAATTTTGGAGTTAATAAATCAATACTAAAAAATATAGACATGTTTAATACTTTGTAAGCCAAAGTATGTATTGTGTCTTTAATACTAGTATTTCTATTTGATATTGAAGTTAAAGTAGAAGGTTGTACTATAGAATTAACATCTACAAGGCCAAATGATAAAAGAAATTACACATGAATATTAGAATCTTGATGATTGTTTGAATGGCTAAATAAAGTTTTTGATGTATCACTTCTTATAGGTACCATATTTTTAGCCGTTGTTTATATACATGTGATAGCTACAACTACAATTTATCATGATACACCAAACATTTAATTTTCCAAAAAAGATGAACTTGTTCTATTTCTAGAATTTAGATAAGATCTAATAACTTAGCGTAATGAAACCATATTGTTGAATCTTTTCTCTAACTTGGTAATTTTAGCATATAAGACTTTTTTCTTATCTAAAGTAATTTGCTTGTGTTAATATAATATGAAGCAATTATCTTCATTATAGTTAAGTTTTCTACAATGAATGTACTTCAATTGCTTCTTTTTAGAATTATCTCCTATTGTAGACATTTCTACTTTTGTCTTACGCTTCTCCATATGTAAGGTCTTTTTCTTCTTAGGACATTTGGTATCATTTTTTATATGACCAGATTCACCATACTTCCAATAATACATAGTCCATTGAGGTTGAATTTTTATTAAGCTACTTGTAGCAATTGCAATGTTCTTAAATCTAAATAAATTCATCATTCAAATTACCATGTCAATAGCATCATATTGACAAAATGTCCTATTGCATTTTTCAATGTCAACAAATAATTGTATCAATATTGCTTTGTTGTCATAATTAAAAATAATTCTTGATGAGGCTAAATCTAAGAATTTTTTTTCAATCTTAGATAAGAAGATGTTAACAAGTTGACTTTTAGCAAATATACCTCTTGATTCCAGTGTAAATAAAGCCAAATAAGTATACATGGTATATGAAGTATCTTTCTTTTCATGTCAAAAGTCTTGAATGTGTTGCATTTGATCACATCTAAAATTTCCATACTTATATTCTAAGTATTTAATAAATATTTGGAGAGGCTCAAATAATGGTGGCTCTTCCATTGCAGATAGAGCCACCATTATTATTTGAACCATTTGTGACAAAATAAATAAAATATTGGCTAAAGAAGTAGCTATTCTTTTTCTTTTGGTATCTTCTAAATATGTACCAACTTCTCTTTGGATTAGATCTTCTTCTTTCATTTTTGGCATTAGATTTGAGATAGTATCCTCCTTAAGAGCTTAAATAAGCTCTATTTGTACTTTTTAGTAACATTCCACTTCCTGCAACTCAAGTGAATATTCTTCATTCTAATTTTCTTAAATTTGGAGTGTGTCTTATTCCAAGTATTGTAGTAATAGCTCAAAGGCATATTACTCATTAAAAGTAGTAGATCTTTGATGTTTTTTTTTTTTTTTTTTTTTTTTTTTTAATCCATGTTTGAAATTTGAGCTTCTAATTTAGTAAAGAAATGCCTCTAGCTCTTTTTGAGAATAGATCTTTGACCATGCTGTGAAGATTGTCCTCTATCTTGTACAATGTATCCACCCTTAAGATTCAAAGCCTCCTAGTGGTATTCAATGTTGAAACAAGCTGAAAAGTCTTATGAATATTCATTGCTTGTCCAAAATCTTTGATGTGTATGCTATCTAAGTAGTCTAATAGAAGAGATCAATGATATTGACTCCTAGTATGTACCATAAAAGCATCTTCTTAGATACTTGCAACTATCTAAAAGCTAAATGAGAAACTTATGCTTAAAAAATGTCACTTTAAAACCCCAAATGATCTCCAATATAAAAACTAAGAATGCCAATGGATTCTTTGGACTCCTTCCACATAAAATTAACTCAAAAATGATCAAATTTGGACTCCATATATACTTGGAATGAGCTTCTAAAATTGGCACTTAAGAATTTTGAATAATGTATGTCATTTTCTATTTTCTATTTTTATTTATTTTAAATCCTATGACCATACAATGAGCTTATTAGTGTGGTCCTATGATCGTATAGCTCTACAATTGAAGGCCCTTTAATTGCAAATGTTTGTGACTATGCAAGAGCTTGTAGCCATGGTATCTATAATCATAGTAAGACCTTTCACCATACAGATCCTAACATCGCACAATACAATTTGCATGACATTTGCATAATAATTTGTGTACACAAAGAGAATTTTACAAAAGTAGAGTATATATAGCCTTGTGTTCCTCTAGTCTTAGATTATAAGTGGCACACATCTCAATAGACAACAAAACAAATTTAAAAATTAAAAATCTTCAAACATGAGCTAGACTTGCCCTTAATGATGCTTCTAATCTAGTCCATGCCTCTATGCATTGAAATTCCAACATTCTAGACTCAATTTGTGTGGTCTTATTCCTTTGCACCATGATTAAGAATCAAACCTACTCTGCTACACCATGTTGCACTATCCTTTGCAATAAGCTCTGTACCTTGATGTCCGTTCTGTTGCTCCGTTCTAGCATTCTAGTACTACATAATATTATAACTTACACTCAAGCAATCTTCTTGTATAACCTTTCAATGCAACCTTCATTGTATTCCATCACTATACAATATACTATTCTTGACAATATCCAATACTACAATAGTACTATAGTATAATAGAAAAACAAAAACAAAACAAGAATGTCCAAAAAACAATAAAAAAAATAAAAAAATAAAAAATTTTATTTTATTTTTACTCTACTCTACTCTATTCTAATTTGTAATATGATAAATTGAAAAAAATGAGACATTCATAAGTTCTCTCTCTTTCAAAAATCATTCATAAGACTTAACTTGACAAGAATGTCAAGTTAAGAGTTTTTTTCCACCTAAATATTCAAATTATAGTTGATATTAACAAATTCAACTCACAGAAAAAGTTTTAATGGATGAAAAACCACTAAACCAACTGAACTACATACATTTGATGGAATTTGATATCCAATCCTATAACATATAACAAAGCTAGTACTAAATGAATTAAAATCCTAATAGTTCCTTGTACAAGAATATTTCAAAAAATCCTAAATCCTTTATATTATCTAAGTATTTATAAATATTATTCTATTTAAAAATAAATAAATAAATCCAAATTCTTAATCCTATACCTTTCATACCACCATCCTAAATTCTTCTAACAATTGGCTATCCATTAATAACTTGCTTACAAAATTTGAAAAAACAATCCAAACATCTATATTTATAGATAAGTATGGATGACAAACAAAAGAAATAAACCATCTAAGTACAAATTAGGCACTATTTTGCAAAATCAACAAATAAAAAGTTTAGTAATTTTAGTTTTTATGTTATGAGATTATTCTAATAATTATAATATATACTAGTGAAAGTATAAGTTTGTATAGGTTTATACTTTCAAACACACTTTTAGATGTAAAAAATTTAACCTTAGATTATAACAAATATAGGTAAGTATCACAAATTAAAAACAATTCTAAATTGTTAGCAAATATATATATATATATATATATATACAAGCTTATTCCTATATTGTTTTGTAGGCATTATAAAAACATTAGCTTTAGTAGTGTAAATCTATTTCTTAATTGTTTACACATATGTTGTCAAATAATAAAGTTAAAATACAAAATTAAAATTATCTGCTCATCCATAATAACATAATTAAAAATAATTTTAAAAAAATAGAAAAATAATCAATTTTATATTTTGCAAGTTGGAACATTTCTCTATAATTCACAAAAACATCCTTGAATAAGTAGGAATGAAAATCAATGACAGTAATGCAAAAAAAAACCTATCAGTTCGTAAGTACATGTTCTATTCTCAACCTTGTCAATTGACATTAGAAACATGATAATTAATTTAGAAAAATATTTACAGTAACAGTACAATTTCAAATTTATCATAATTGACGAAATAGATTTTAAAGCAAACAACTAACAGCTACATTTTAGAGTTTATTGCAAATGGTTCCATGAAAAAAAGAGGTGTCTGAAAGGGGTATTTTCATTCAAATGTGCATACAGATGAGCTTCTTTATAATTAGAATATTTCATTCCATCGAAGCACACAAGGCCTCGAAACTCAACCTAATCGATATAAGCAAAAAATCCAAAATACCAAACATACTTCACTACTGCCCCCTCGATGGTGGCCTTTATACTGCACAGCTGCCTATATGTCTCTCTTTGTTATATTTATTCACTCGTACAAAAACACACACACAAACACAGCAGAGCTAACTTACAGTAACCAACATTGTTTTACAGGGAATTAAATACGAATTATAAACTGCCGAGAGTGCCGAGGTTTTTGCTGTTGAGTCACCTTCCACAGTAACGCCAGCCCAACTGACAGCGTGAGAGCGACCCCTGCACCCAACAGTGCTCCTGGCCCCACAGGCCTGACAAACCGCTTCCACAATGTCAGATTACTCGGCGTAACTTAAGCATCATGCAAATCAATTAATCATGCTGAATACAACGAGCAACAGCTGCCTTAAATAATAAAATTATTTAATAGCAATGTTGGGTTTCGAACCAGTATCCTAATTTTGCTGGCAGATCTGCCATCCTTTACTTGGTTCTATACACTTAAAATTCTGTACCTTTACAAACATGCTTTTAACATACAGTGAACGTGGCATTGTACCTGATACGTGCACTAACTGCAACCAAGGTGTCATACCAAGCAAGCTATACCTTTCAGTGCCTGTATTGTGCTAATGAATGGAGTCTGCGATGCCTAGAAAGCAGATCATTACTGCTGTCACCTGATAATTTACCAGTTTCTCTCAAGTCAACCACATTGTGATCATACAGCATCACATCCATAGTACCTGAGAACACACAGCTACAGACCAAGAGAAGTGGGTGGGTTTGAGGCACGGATGTCACAAGATGGAGCATAAAGTTCCAAGACCACAAAGCCCCCAGCAGCACCTGTCAGGATAATCCTTGAGGTAGATATGCTTCTCCACGCCGACAATATGGAACTTGAAGGAGCCTCGGCCCTGGCCCACAGAGACGCGCGTCACAGGAATCATATGAACTTGATGTCGCTCAGAAATGACGCGGGCTGTCGGTGGAACAGGAATCCTCTCCGCAATGACATTAGATGAGAGCCTTGTGAGAACGAGGGAGTTGGGGAAGCTCACGGGCTGACATTGGTACGACTCGCTGCTGTACAGTTGAATTCCTTTGGCTTCATGGAATACATCATCAGGCACCAAACTTGCATTGATTGATGTGCTGATCTTCTTGGATATCAGAGTTGACCTGTATTTCCCAGGGGTAAGTTTAAATGGAGCAATTCAATCCAACCTTCAGAAGCAGTTTCAAAACAATGAATCAATTTACAGAGGCGTTCCTAAAGCGCAATATTAAACCTCAGAAGAGATACAATAGGCGAATAGCATGTGTGAACATGTACAAAAACGACGCTGATATGGATACCAACTGCAACCTTTACAACACTACTTAAATCACACTGTTCTTATCTCTGGACGTTTAATAAAGCGTGAAAAGTTCCCAGGGCTTTACCACTTAACATTCAATTGCTTTTCCTCCAGCAATGCACCTGATCCCTGACATTTGCCACATTGGATGCGGCCTCTAGAATTGCATTGTGCGCATGGCAACCTCCCTTTACCTCTACACTGTTCACAGCTGCAATACGACAAAGATTGAGAGATTCTGACTACGCGGCGTCCAATCTTAATGTAATAGAAAGTACGATTACTAGACACGCAATCCCGAGCTACAAACTTTGAGCATTGGTGACACAAGCAATACAAGAAATCAACATGGATTACTTATGCTCCGCCCCAATACTGCGTGTTGCCAGACAGAAGAAAACAAATTCTTGAGTAAACACTAACTTGGTATCAGAGCCGTCCTGATGAGCAAGAAGGCCACGGCCATGGCATTTTGAACACTCAGTAGTCACGCCATGTACACAAGAATCGAGGTCCTTGTTTGGATTGCACCGAGGGCAGGAAACTTCCTTTCGACCAGAACAGTCTACAACATACCGGGTGGCATGATATGAGGAAGTGAAATAATGAATCACCAAAAGACCAAAGCCTGGCACGTATCTTGATACGTGGCCCATGATTACACACTCTACGAGGCAAGAGGCACAATTCACTAAGGCGATTGTGCTGAGGGTTCCGCGATCACAATTAGTCAAGCTTTGGTGATAGCGATTACAAATTTGAAAAAGGAGTATGTGCAAAGCAACAAGTTGATAGTGTAATTGTGAATTTAATCGAATAATAACCTTCTTAGCTGTCATTGGCTTAATTAGCACAACCACGTGTAAGTGTCTGAATCATACCTCCACATGGTTGTACTAATACCGAAGAGGGAATTTTCTGATGAACCATTTTACTTGTGGTGAACAACAAAGGAAACTCATGTCTCATATCTATTTCCCACGGGCCTGGCACATGTTTACTTGAATTGTCCTGAACAGGACCTCCAGTGTAAGGCTTGACCAGTCTCTCCACATCTCGTTCCTCAATGAAGGTCTCGAGGGTTCCAACATACACGTTACAGTCTTCAATCTTGCTGATTACCCATTCGTTTGCTGGCCGCCCACCCCAACAACCCTGCTTCTCCACATAGGCCGTCAAGATCTCTCGAATTTCCTCCTCTGTAACGTGGCTCTGCTCACGGCTTCACCAACATACATTAAATAACAGATTAATACTCCTAATTTGAGCATAAAGGTCAGAGGACAGTATGTTTCCAAGGGACACAACTACCTTGGCATTGGCATGGAAAAACCTCTCTGTCACACATCCTTCAAAGCTGCAAGTTTTCACCAAATCTCAACACTATGAACCTAGTTTCAATACCCTGTCAGAGTTAAATTTTGAGAATGCTCTTACATGGGCGCTGCTCCTGCATTTGATTGACTATCTTGCGTGGCGCTTGGTTGGGAAACTGCAACAAAAAGCAGTTTCATGTACATGTACTCCAAATCAATTTCAACATGATGAGTTTCCGACAACTACAAAGGAACTTCTTGATATTTGAAAATATCTATCAAATGGCAAAAGTATGACTATAATACCCAATGATATGGGACTTATGATAATGGCTGGACCGAACAAAATCGCCAAGGTTAATTCATGTGAACAGAAACAAATACCATCTGTCAACATTCTTCTTTTTAGTTCAAAAACAGAATCTATTTCGATAAATGAGTGAAGAGATAAGTGGAGACCACGAACAAACCTTGAGGAGGCTGCACATCCCTTTGTGACGAAACTTCAGGATCAAGCAATGCGCCATAGATCCATTGCGGATAAGGATCTTGACTAGCAGCCTCGCGAATCTCGTTAACTGTGGCCAATGAAGCAGTCTCCATTGATGGCACGCTGGGAAGAATAGGATTCGCTCCCGATGAAGTATATTGCCCCTCGGCCCATTCACTTAAATGCCCCTCCCCTTCCTCTGCAATTCAAGGTTCAAATTATAAAATAAACTGAGAAAGCTACTTATGTATACATACTAACATTTGGTATTACTCTAAAGATTAGCATTGTAGCAGCCAGCATCAAGGTAGCTAAATACCAGAATACGGACACTTGTATTTCCAGGTTTTCAGAATATCTCCCATTTTCATAAGCATGTGGGATGTTCTAGAACTCTAACATAAATACTAATCCAATCAATACACGTGACTGTAATCATACAACCTGTTCTCTTACAGACTGCATACTTAACTGGATCTAATTCCTTTCCATCAACTCTAAACAAAAGTGGAACAAAGAATCCAGCACCAAATTTCGAAATTCATACAAGCATGACCTGAGCACATCGAGAAACGCAACCAATCAAAATACTTACTCTAGTTACCAGCGAAATTCTGAGCAAATACTTACTCGACAGACTTCACTAATCACCACGTAGATGAGTTGTGACCTAGTTGAAAACTTATTCTAATTGAAGGAAAAATCTCTTTGACTAGAAGCACCAAATATACGTTTCAACATGTTCTGAACATAATCTTTCACATACTCCGATAAAGAGAAGTCTGCACACCTCCCCAACCTTCAAGGACAAAAAAGAATAAAAAATAAGAAATAACTAAAAGAAAAGGAGAACGTCGCGTCAAATTTGAATCCAGACCCAAAAATCAAGGCCAAAATTGAAGGCTTGAAGAAGAGTGAATGCTTACGCGACGAACTGTCTGGGCGAAACGCAGAAGACAGAGCTGGGGAGTACAGCGGAGGGTACTGCACTCCTTGCAGAAGCGGCTCCGTATCCACTCCACTTGAATCCATCGCAGCAAAGATTACGCACAAATCCTTCGATCTCCTCACGGAACTCCTACTACGATAGCTCTGCACTGCAATTCGCCTCGTAATTCGGAGTTCGCAATTCACAGACTATGAATTGCGCAGCTCAACCCTCGACGACGCGCTATTGCCGACAGGATTGTGAGGAAGAGGAGGAGGACGACGACGACGTGGTAGAGAGTTGAACGAAGATCATTCATCAGAATATTCGCAGCAGAGCCATGGATGAAGGTGCTCTAGGTGCGTCGACGGTGGTTCGGCCCCGCCTTCATGTTCGCGAACTGCCTCGGCACATTTCACTCTGCACACCGTGCTTCTACCGCAGCCCCATCCCCTTATGCAGACATCGTCGAGTTGGGTTTTGTTTGGTGGATCGGGAAGTTTCGAGGATTATTGAGTTTCATTCACCATGCAGGCCCTGGTGCGGTTAGCTAGGAGGACAAACCTGTTGCAGGCACGTCCGTGCTTCCAGCAAGGTCTCGTCACGCGGTCGTGTTCTCAGGATGAACAAGGAGAAGGTTCAGGTCTTGGAACTGTTGGGGGCAATGCTGGATTAGAGGGTGTTGCCGTGGGAACTCCTTCGATCGGTGGAACCCTTGGAGCTGCTACCTCTGCTGGGAACACGAACTCCAGTATGTTTGATTATACCTTTGAGTTTAGGTGACTTGGAGTGGAGCTGCATCCATTTTGACATTATGCTCTTCATCTCTTCTTGTAGAGCGTGTTATGGTGAAGGGTGTCAGTATTAGGAGGTTTTTAATCATCGAGGATCACGTGAGGTTTGATTCTAGGGTTACCTGGCGTTGCGGGTTATACACGCAAACACACACTGCTTGTGATCCAGGAACCGTTTTGGAAAGAATATATGATCGATATATACACGTATGATCTCACTGTTTTCAGCGCAATAGGTTTTTGGTGAACAGAACGTACGGTGGCTAAGACCAAGGAGCAGAGTTTCGAATTCTGGGTTTAGGGTTTTAGGTTTTTAGTGTAGAGGAAAATTAGAACTATGGTTCCACGCAAGCAATGTTGTGTATATAGATGTATTCTCTACCGTTATTTCTCTTCACATCTCTTAATAATCCCCGTCTTCAGTAAGAGGGATTGTCATCTCCTTCCAAACACTTCCAAACTACTTATTTGAATACATATGGTGATCTTTCAAATGTGTCGATTTAACGGCTGTAACTCTGGATGATCTTGTGGACAGATAAGATATTTGCGCGGTTGTCAAATTGCCCGAAGTACGCATTCAAGTCAGACGTTCTGGCGTACTTTGAAGGCTGCAACTTGCAACCACACCAACTGGTGACTATCTACGATGAAAAGTACCGTCAGAGATTCATGTAAGTTTCTGGAGTTGCTATTATGCGATAAACTTTTTCCACTTGAATTTGGAAGCTTAGGTGCTTTGCTCTATATCGTGCAGCCTGATTTTGTGGTGATTGCCTACATGTATTTTTCTCTTTGAGTGGCATCGAGTCATTTTCTTAGGGCATCTATGACTATGGAAGTGGTATGCAGTGGTCTAGTCTTTGGGACATTGGAGCTTGCACCGACACACTTGTGGCAGAGATTTAGTCATTCTTAATGAGAATTGATTTTGTTTCCAGACAATTGGAGTTCGATAGTATGGAGAGTTTCCGGCAAGCACAACGAACCATTGTACGAAAGGGTCGCTTGGGTGGCCGTTATTTGAAGCTAGACTTGGTGAGTACTACACTTTTTACTAATTCTTCTTCCTTCAGTTCATAAGTTCATTTAGAATTTACAATAATTTTTCCACCTTTAGACGTATATCAGTACGCCTCGTCTTATGTTTGTAAATGAGATATCTAATATATCAGGTTGAAGCAATTCAGTTGCATCGTCATTAAGCCACTTGTTTGAGAATCATTTTAGGAAGCTCGGAGGTACGACAATGACGATATTCACAACGTAGTGAAAGATTTCAGGGGGCAATCTGTAAGTTCCTATTGTTTTCGCCTTGAAGTGTATTTTGACGTAAACCTTCATGACGTGCAACATATGCGTGTAAGAAAGAGATTCTTGATCTGTAGAAATCATGATCGAACAAGCTGTGCGATTTCTTATTTGTGCTCGACCAATTAAATTTTAATCAACTTCTAATGCCTGATTGACATGGCTGAATTCAAATTCTTTGCTGTTCTTGAGAACTCCAGTTCGATAACGAATGACTTAACTGCTGATGAATTAGTGGTTCTGGTGATTGGCACTTATCACTGGTGCATAGCACTAACTAACTGGCTGGATTGGCCCGCAACAGCTGCTAATGATGCAGGTACCCACAGAAGCCACTGTGGAGGATGTTGAGCGCTTCTTCCAAGGCTACAACCTATCATCGTTCTCTACAAGGTTTTTGAGGGTGTAAGTATTTGTCGTCATTTATGCTGTTTTCTTACTCCCTTTTTCTCTCCTCCACCCTTTCACTTGGTTTCTTAGTCCTTCCTTGCATAGTACTTAAAGAAGTCTTGGCCACTCGTTAAGTAAGTGTTATTGTGAGCAGACAAAAGGACATTCCAGCTTACGCTGGCCGGAAGGTTAACTTAAATCCAAATTCTCCGGCGAACATTGAACGGCGTGCACTAGTCAAATTCTCTTCACCTCTGGAAGCTTTCCGTGCTTTGCGCGCAAAGCATGGGCAATTTTGCCTAAACAAAAGCATAGACTTACGGTTTGTTCAATAAAACCATGAGGGATCTTGTTTTGGTTCTCCAGTGTTGGAGCATAGCCAGGAGTTAGGAAGCACTGTGACTAGGTTCTACTGCTTGGAGAGTAATCCGATTTTACCACAAATATTCAAGGATGATGTTAGATGCGATGATTTTGGAGCCATAGTGGCGTATAAGCCTAGATTGTGGTAAATAATCACTCCAGGATCTCTTGTTGAAGAATTGATTTAAACAATTGTGGCCAACATATACTTTCTATGCCTTGACCGTTGTCTTTTTCTTTTTTTCTTTTTTTCTTTTTTTTTTCTCTCTTCACAATTCCAATAGACGATACGACTTTGGGGAGAGCTGATGAATTTGTTCCTTGTTCAGTATAGTACTCACTTGCAGTCATTATGAGGTCGTTAACAAACTGGCCATAAATGCATACTTGGGCCACTTTCAAATCTTCGATAGCCTCGCCCTCAAATCCAGTGGGTGGCATTAACGTTAACACAGACTCTCAGAAGATTTGGGCAGTGAAACTGAGGACTAACCAGTACAACACTTGCCAAAAATGGACAGAAAAAATCCAACAACTGCACACATCGCTCTAACCAGAGAAAGAGAAAAAGTGAAAGACCAATTCTTCACCAAACCCTAGGTTGCTCTTATGGAAAAAGAAGTAATTGACTACAATTGTAGATGATTGTGCTTAAGAAGGTCAATAAATATTGCCAATTGACCGTTAACGACGCACCGCTACGTGAACTCGAGCTCTCGGGAGGTGCGATGGCCTGTGAGTTACCCGGCCTCACACCTATGAGAAATTTGCAAGTTCCTACGCTTGGATCGGTGTTGACTACCTGTGCTAAACTTTGAAAATCACAGGCGGCTTGGAGTTGGTTGTTGAATTGATAGTAATTGTTGAAGGCAAACGAAGCATTTTGATGGAGGGTAAGACCGCTGCATGATCCTCCGTAAAACAGAGGTGTGCAATCCGCACGAGCGCATGCATAGTCCAGGTTGGCAGGCAGCAATGACAAGTCCGCAGTGGTCTTCAACACGCACCATTGATGCGGGTAGTAAGGGACGTTCTTCGATCCCACGAGCGACGTCTGCCTGCCAGTCACACCACCTGCAGTGGAATACCAACAAATCCAAAATTCAAAAACCCTTGGGTAACTTCAATGGATGGGATTGACCATCCAAGACGACCCGTTCAAATGTTTTCTCCAGAGTTTCCAACTTCGAGCGCTCTGGATCAAAGGACGCACGCGGAAGAGCTCGACATACCTGTCAGGTCAAGAGGATACTTGATAGTTCCGTCGAAGTTGAAGATACCCCAGTGTCGTTCAAAGTTTCCGGGAAGAGTGCTCTTGGCATTCTCGTCCAGCAGACCGAATAGGTAAGCTTCCAATTTGCCAGGGCGAAGGGGCGTTCCGACACCGCTCTCCAGGTGATTCACCAGCTGTTGATTGAATTTCTGCGCCAATCCTATGTTTGCATAATTGGCACCATCAGTTGGCCAGCCAATCTCTCCCACGATGACAGCCATGTTGGGATATCCCGCGTTGTTCAATGCACCCACAACCCCGTCGAAACCTGCGTCGAACACGTTGGTGTAGACCCTAGTCCCGTCGACGATAGGGGTGGCGAATCCTGAGAAGAATGCGAAGTCGATGGGAAAATTGGCCTGGAGAACCAGATTGAGAAAGGGATACAAATTAACCACGAACGGCGAATTGGTGCTTTTCAACGCCGCAGCGATACCCAACATAACTGGTGCGAGGTCGGCTCGGAATGTTTGCTGGGAAGGATACGGATTGTCGCTCAAAATATCTGCATTGCAAGGAACCACTGCCTTCACTGTGTCCACAAGACCAGCTGCCGCGAGTGCCGCTTGCACATTTTTCAGAGCTGGGAGAGTAGCGTCTATATATCTGCCGTTGTAGCCGTTCAAGAAGGGCTCGTTTCCTACTGCGACATATCTGCAACAAATTGATCAATTCCCAAAATCAGTGAAATGCACCAACATCTCCAAACTCAAATTGAGCTCCACTTGCTACTCATTCTTGCATTCGACGTTCATTTTGATCCCTACAGCAGCTGTGGCAGTGAAGACTATTGAAGATTAGTTGAGAGAGAACGCAACTAAGCCTAGCATCTGACACGAATTGCTAGAATTAAGCTCTGGCTTCTCGATTCGGATAAGAAAGGAATAAAACAGACTAAGTTTGTGAGAAGACACTACTTTATATTGACTCCGCCAGTGCCGAGGTGCGAGGTAACGTTCGCCTTCACCCAAGCGGCTGCCGCGTCTGGGCTCGCTGCCATGGACGCAAGCATTTCGTTCGTAATCGCAATCATAACCTCTAGGTTTGTTCCGCGCATGGATTCAATTACATCCGAATTTGCATCGAACAGCTTCACTTTAACAAAGTTGTTATCCTTGAGCATCTGCACCACGATATCGTTCGAAAGCGGGTCGCTTGAGATCGTCCCCCAGTTCACTCCAACGTCAGCAACCGCCATTTCCATTTGCCATCCCACTAAACATAGTGCAACTACTGCCACACTACTTGTAAATACCTGGCGACTCTGCATCCGATGGCCCGCCATCGAAGCCACTGTAACAGATCCCAATCTTTCGAGATCTTTACAACTTCCGGAGAAGCTCTTGGAAGGAGAAATCTAGCTCCCCACACAGCCTGTATTCTGCTCGAATGTTCACAAAGTCTTCTGCACACCGCATCTTGCCAAAACTACGCACATCACATCCTCCCCTGTCCCTGTGTTCCCCACCTCCTAGTCCGATTCCGTAATACACGAGCCCTATCGCGCCACAGGAATCTAAATAAGTCACGAACCTCCCCGAAGTTCTCGAAACACAAATATTTGATTCGGCACCAATCCACCCATCTTCTAATCAACCGAATCCCACGTCGAAACAGATCATTCACCCCTGTTGCAACCCACTAGCTAAGCAGCAGCAATCAACTGAAAGTCGAAACCGTCCAAGTTATCGAAGCAGCCTTACGAGCAAAACGGTGGAACAGTAAACACTCTTGGATATGCGTGGATCAGTGGAAGAGCTCAGAGGAATGAATTGGGACTAATCTAACTTTCGGTGTGATCAATGCAGGAGTGTTGTGAATGTTGCGGTGGGGTGATGCTTCTGTGTCGCTGCTCTGCGCCGGAGCAGCACACAGCTCAAGCCAGGGGGGACTGCTCTGCTTTTATGTTGTCAAAATGCGATAGATGTGTGTGGGAATGGCCTATTTGCGGTGCGACCCATTTGGTAGCTGGGTGTGGTCGGCAGGTCCCGCCTTCAGCTGCTTGTCAGCGGGCCACCGGGCTGGGTCCCGGCACCCCTCTATCATTCTCCGCTCTACCGATCTCGTCTTCCCACATCAATCAATCTGTCTAGCTGGGGCGACTTCCGCCTCCTTTTTTCCTAGCCAGTTCTTACTCTACGCACCCCAGTCTACTTCTCGTGAAATCACAGTGCACCTTCGCGCAACATCCCAGCCCCTGCCTATATTCAATTCATATTTCCTGCACGAGGTGAACATGAGTGCGAGAATCTCGTATCATTTTGCGCACCCTGGGTCATCGCTCCAGCCGCTGTTGTTCATTTCCCTCCACTGACGAACTTAATATCCCACTTCAAATTATATATATATATATATATATATATATATAAACCGCGGCAAGCATCGCTGGTGTGCATACGAAAGTGAGAGAGAGTTGGGAATGTCCATTCCAGACGGTCGTTTGAACGCCCACTAAAAAAATCTCAAGAGATTGTCGAAAAATAGACAGGTTGAACCAGTCTTCAGGGCTCTGTCGACGCACGGATAAAAGCAACCGAATTAGAATAGTCGCCGGCGAAAGCTTTCTCATACGAACCTTTCGCCTTCCGTTTATTCCAAAAACAACAATAACATAAAACAAAAACCATAGAAATAAAATAAAGTAAAATAAGAGAAGATCCAATCACCTTCCGCTAGGGGCTTCCAAAGGAATACAAATCTTTATAAGGTCACAACTGCAGTTGTTGGGCTCCGCGAGCATATTCCTGAAGTAGTAGGTACGTAGAGAATCGGAAGAAAAAAAATATCAAATATGTACGCAGCAATGTTCGGATGATTTGGAAAGGCACCGCAGAACTCACAGGGGATGAAGGTCCGTAAGGAGAATCCGGCCCTAATTGGACGATGGGTACGTGTTACACGGACAATCTGATGGTGGGCTGAAGAAAGTAATTACGGTGCCAACTTTTCCCGATAGCAGAGTGATGAAAGCTCCAAGGGCCTTGCATGCATGGCCCCTGGGTCGCTTTCATCCCGGTTAGAGAGTCCAAGGGCTGTTGTTCCCTCCAGCCACGATCGGAGGATTGGCGTAACCGAAAAAGGGTTTGTCAAGTTGGCTTCACCTGGCTGCATTCGATGGAATCGAAGGCAGTTGAATGACTTCCGGAGACGGAGTGGTCGGTTTTGTACCAAAAAACGGGATTCAGCTCCGACTCATTCCAAGTCCTGACTCCCTGTCGACTCTACCTTCAGAAGCACGATTACCGTTGATGGGAAGCGCGTATTGAAGTGAGCGCGTCCCATGTGGGTCGAGGGCCTCGCTGAGAGGGCGGGCGGGCCACGCCGCAGATAAATGGGGTGAGTAGAGTAGCCAGCACTGGCCCTGAAACCATTCCTGTAATGAACTAACTGTTTCGGAGAAGGAGTCCACCTGCTGGAAGGCCGCATCCGATGCCGTTGTTCCTGCAAACATAGACCCCATTTATTCTCTTAAGTGTTTATTGCACCTTTCTTAGCAACAAGGAGCAAAAAATCCCTCGAAAATTGCATTGAAAGGGATTCCAGGTGAGAACTCTAGTATTCTGTTTCCGCGGTGTTCGCCGCATGATGTGAGTGATTCGATCTTTTGCCTCATACCAATTTGAGGTCTAGCTACAGAAAGTTGGTAGTTCCTTTAATCGAAATGTATCCTTACAGGATTATTAAACGAGACCTGAGACACGGCGATGTCATAGTTTGACGAGTTTGTCGGGTGATCATTTGAGCTCATCTTGTGTGGAAGAGTCTGATTTGACGCAGTTATGAGACAGGAGACAAGAGTCCTGTCCAATCGCTGTGAAGGCGGATAGGAAAGTGCCTACTACTGCTGTTCGAGCGCACCCACAAGAAACAAACCGAATTGCGTCACCTGGCAGATGTTACAGAAAGGGCTGCGCTGACTTTGCCTTCTGGTATGAAAGTAGTCGTCCACCGTCTCCTCCAAGTTATTGAAAATGGATTGAAAGTGGGCTATCCGAAAGCATGGTGATCGTCGGAAAATAAACGCGAAACCAGTTCACTAAGAAGTTGAAACGAGCTGCAGCAAAATTGACGAATCTGATGCTAGATGGAGGGCGCCCCAAACAGCTAAAGCTACAATTACAAGCAAGAAGTCTAGATTACAGGATGGAAACTTCACTTGAAGTCGGTTAACGGAGCTCTAATGTGACGACGGGGGACTGGCCTCAACGTCAATAAGAACCGAAACCCAAGGCGGCCCAAAATTCGCATGCGAAACACAAGTGAGTGGACTGAAATTGTTGATAGATGAATTACAATGTGGCGTAAACTAACCCCAGAAGAATTGCTCCTATGATTCTAAGTACGCTTATTGCTTTCCTAACAGTGTTGGAGCGCTGAAGCACGTCGGCAGCGTTTGCTCGAATATGTGTCCAAGTCGCAATAAGTTGTCCTGAAACACAAACAATCACTTGCAAGGATGACAAGACTGCCAAGTTTCCACCATTTCAGCCCCTCGAAAATAATGAAATCATATTAGTCAATTTCCGTGACCTAAAGAAAAGATGTTAGCCTAGAAAATCAGACTTTCAGAAAACAGTGATAAAAAATTTACCTCTCCAAATGCTGGACCAATCATCTGAAGGCCAACAGGCAGACCACATGTTCCACCCTTGGCAAGGCCACATGGAACCACAAGAGCAGGTAGTCCAGCAAGGTTCACATTTACCTGTTCAATACAAAAATTGTTAATGTTTTTTTATCATGATATATTAAGTGAAAATAAATTCTAGCTCTTGATGTCTCTTGTTCAAGGTAAGATACACAAGCCATTTTATACATGACTCGTCTCTGTTCATAGAAAAAAAAAGCCTGAGAAGATAACCATCGAATTCTGAGGCCGTTATTGCTTATCAGTAAGTTCTACGCACAACACGTGGTGACCTAAGGTTGGTAATGCTCCTTACCGTCATCAAATCCCCAACGTACATGGCCAAAGGGTCATTCATCTTCTCATCTGCAAAGAGATTTGTAAAGATTGATTAGCACCTCTGCAGCAGTTTCAAGTGTATCTGCCATGAGTTAGGCGTTTTGATATCGTACCTTGGGGTCAGAGTTGACGAATAAAAACTCTTTGAATGCTTTGTCCAAATACAATAGGGGTTTACAAGGTGAAATGAGAAAGTTGAGGAATATCTGGAAAATTTGATATCTGCTGGAATTTTGTTCTAAAGAAGAAACAAGCAAGGGCATAGTACGTGGTGGTGTAATACAAGCTTTAAGCACAAACCATAATCATGTATACTCTAATTTCAACGTTCACTGCATTGAGACCCTCGATGATAACAATCACATATGTGTTAGTGTGATAATTTTGGGGTCGTATTAAGTTGGCTGTGAAACATATACCTACTCAAGTGTTCCCAAAATGTGAAAAATGTCACATTAAAAAAATGTGAAATTAAGCAAGTTCGAGTCAATACCTGGTGCAAGAACTCAGAGCATGTAAATGTATATACAAATAGACATCCTATTCTTTGTTGAAATGAAAAAGATTGAGCAGCAAAATGTTCATACCTATCTTGTACGCAGGTGTAGGCGCCACTGGTGAAATAAGTAGGTCAACTTCTTGGAGGGCATTTTTGAAGTCCTGTTGAATTACTGTGCGCACCTGATCCATCCCAATCGACGAGCAGAAGCATTCAGAAGGATCGATGGTTGAGAAATATTTCACCAGCCTCGTAAATGTGCAGAAGGTTCAGTAAGGTAAATGTAGTGGCGAGCTAGCATGGAGACAACTGCATTGATTTCCTTCAATTAAATAACACGTTGAACTGGCTTAATCCATGGTCAACGTCCTAACCTGTTGGGCTTTCTTGTAAAAGGCATCATAATAGCCCGCTGACAAAGCATAAGTTCCCATCAGAATCCGCCGCTTCACCTGTAAAATATTTCGAAAGAAATCACTCAATGTTAAAAATATATATATATATATATATATATATCGACTGATAAGTACCCTAGGGAAGCATGAACAGAAGCGACTTTCTTCAACACATGGTACACTGTGAGGAGTCACATGAAAAGAACATCATCAACAATTTCTTCAGACCTACTCTCACCTCGGAACCAAATCCCTGCGCACGAGAATTGCCATACATAGACATAACTTCTTCACCATGAGCGCGTGGCCCATACCTGTTCGACCCACGACACAAGGTCAGTAAGCAGGGGAATACAGCGATAAATCGCAGGTAAATGTCATGACCAAGGTATGCACTCCAATGAGCTGCAAACGAATCACTAAAACAGTTCACAGTGTAGTGGTCTTTCGAATTCGCATGACAGAACAAACAACTCCCTCGATAACAAATAAGGTCGCACACGATTCACTTCGCATGCTTGAGACGTGTTGACTTTAGGTTGTACGTGAGTGGGATACCTGACACCATCATAGCGGGCAAGGTTCGAAGAAGCTTCTGACGTTGCCAACACATAATACGCTGGAAGACCTAGTGAAAAGTTGGGCATTGCCACCTAAGATCCGCATTACAACAGTTACAATGAGCTTTCTACTTAAAGAAGCGTTTTTTTTCAACAGGCAAGGTAATAGAAACTGAAACAATCAGAAGTTGGGAAATCTTCTGATGGATTTTTCTTATGAAGCAAGAATGCATAAACCACTCCTACCTCTCGCACAGATGCACCAAGGCTCTCCAGATGCGCTGCAGCTTGTCGAATAGCAGACACAACATCCTCATCTACACCGTCACCAACAGTCTCAGTGATGATACCAAATCTAATGCCAGCTAACGGTCTGCTATCAAGATTATCAACTGGAAGTAGTTTGGATGTATAGTCTGGCACTCCCTGCATTACACATCACAATATTCTGAGCAATTCATGATGAAGCGATAATCCATGAGCGTCATTATCTCAATCCGAACAGTGGTTGCTGCTTCTATCTCAGTATAAAAGAGGAACAATAGTTGCTACTTCTATGTCAATAAGTGATGAATCGCTCGGTGGTGACAAATTAGCAGCCGGGGGACAATAAGACAGTGCATAAGACTCCTCAAGTGGTCCACACAAACGCAAATTTTTAGCAGGAGCAGCCATGGCTTCTCTGTTCGAAGTTGACCCCTAAATCCTAAACCCTGTCTCGAGCACTGAACCAGATGATGAAGTCATACAGGAATTAGTCACCTGCGGGCTACATGTGGAGTCGTTCTTGTCAGCCCCAGCAATTGCCTCCAGAAGAATCGCAGCGTCCATCACCGAGTTTCCAAAGCATCCCACCACATCAAGTGAGGAAGCATAAGCCATCAAACCAAACCTAGAAACACGACCATACGAAGGCTTAAGTCCAACAACCCCACAGAAGCTTGCAGGCTGCCGAATGCTGCCCCCCGTGTCACTTCCAAGCGCCCCTGCACACTGGCCAGCTGCCACTGCCGCAGCCGAGCCGCCTGAAGAGCCTCCTGGAACTCTTGATAAATCCCAAGGATTGGAAGTCACCTACAAGACGAGGAACCCTCACATTACTTCATGCCAAATTATGTAATCAAGAACATAAGGTCTTCGTAGATGTTATGTGACAATTCCTCAGCTTAAGAGCGAATTTCAGAATAAAAATGGCAGGGTTAGCACTTTACCTGATACGCAGAGCCTTCGGTGGAGCTCCCCATTCCAAACTCATCCATGTTAGTCTTCCCCACCAGAATTGCCCCCGACGACCGCAATTTGGCAACAGCGGTCGCGTCATAGGGAGGACAATAACCTCGCAATATCTGCGACCCTCCAGTACTGGGCATATCCCGAGTACACAGGTTATCCTTCACTCCTAGTGGCACTCCCGCCAAAGGCCCAACCTCCCCGCCCTCCGCAATCCTCCTATCCAATTCCTGTGCATCCTGCAGAGCCTTCTCCGACACATGCAAGAAGCTTCGCACATGCGGCTCCCGCTCCTTTAGCTTCTCAAGGTATGTCTCCGTAATCTCCACAGCGCTCTTCTCCCCTGTCACTAAACTTTCTCGGATTTTCCGTATCACCGAAACGGGACTTTGTCGCGAGGCCAACGAAGATTCGCTCATAGTCGTGGAGGCAGCGGTCGAGCATTGCACTCGACTGGAGCCATTCCGCAGCTTCGCGTGAAGTACAATGGGCAAATTCGAGGTGTACAAAACTTGCGAGTGCTGGGCTCCATAGACTGGGCTTCCCACCTTGCGAGCTAACACTGGGCATGACTGCAACATTGTGATTGAAACAAGAAAATTCAAATCGACAGAATGAAAACTGGATTTATCCCAATTATCCGACACTGGAACGGAGCTTGTAACAACGACCTCCAGTTCGCTGCTAAACCCGAGCCCCGCCGATTACTGGTCACAGTCCCAAAACCAAAGCTCGCAAGCTCGTGTCCGATTCGGCGTGATCCTCAGGGACAGGCCCCACAATGAACGAACCTCGGATGACGTTATATCAGGCAGCATTCGTGTACTGTTCTTCATCTACGAAAGAAATTTCTGATGGTTCAAGGTGGCTTGAAAATTTAGGGGGCTTGGATTCCTTCTCCTCACAGTGGTCTTTGTAACTTCCCATGAACCCCACGATCAAAGTGTTGCAGACTTTTCCCTTCCACTACAAGTGCAAGTTTTCATGTCCAATTAGCACAGAAGAAGATGAAAACTGAATTTACCGAAAGTTAGATAGAGACCCTATACATAAGCAAACTGGAACAGAAGGGAATTTTTTCCCAATTTTGGTCTTCCGACGGAAAACAACCTTTCTAAAAACTTTCGTAACAGGGAGTCGCTAATCGTGTCGAGATGACAAGAATCCGAATACATTCGAGGCAGGATGAATCTAACAGCTAGAAACAAGATTGCTCGGATTGTGGATGAAACAATCCACAAAGTGCGCATAGTCTGAATGTTTTGCAAGAGAAAATGGAAAAAACTCTTTGGGGCCAACTTACAGCACGTGTCCAAGAAGCATCGAAATCAAATCTGAAATTAAGAGAAGGAAAGAGTAAGAAAAAGAGGAAAGAAAAATATCTTCTTGAGCAGCCATGATTTTCCAGAAATTACGAATATGAAGTCCAACACAAGAGGTGTCGTGAGGTGCACCTCGCTGTGTACACACTTGCATGATGGAGACCTTGATTACCCTTGGCTCCAAAGTCCTACGATATTAAGTTCTATGTAACAAGGTCAACCTATTGCGCTAATGTGCAAGACCCAAAAAATTAACTAACTGCTGAATTTGAATCAGTTTCTATCGACAAAGCTGCACAGTTGAAGGGCTAAAGATAGTAGCCAGTAACTCGTTTCCGCAATTTACAAGCAGCAGAATTTTACAAGGACTTCTCAGTAACCTCCAGTGCGTCCAAAGAAGAGACCCGAGCAAGGCCACGATGAAAAACAGAATGATTCAAGAGCTCGGCTGCTGATGGTCTTGCGCTGGCGTCCGGATTCAAAAGAGCCTACAACAACAGGACTGCTCAGGCATATGGAAACTCAATGCATGACATCAACTTAGGACCTCCGTTATCCTAATTATTTGACAAATATCTAGTCGAGTTTGCTAGTACACAATAGTACATAAAACCTGAGGTGAGAAGGGTACAAAAACAGAATAGAATTTATAGAATTACCTTGAATATGTTTTGAAGTGTTAAGGAGTACCCGGGTAGCAGACTCAGCTTCCCTTCCCTCAAGCTTTGGAACTGTGCCCCAGAAGTGGGAAGGGGTAAACCCCTTGCCAGTTCATAAATAGTTGCGCCAAGTGAAAACATGTCAACCTTAGTGAGTTGACTGTGGTCGTCATTCAGAATTTCCAAAGGCATATATCTCGCATCCCCCTCCTCAATTTCCATACTTCCATCTGCTCGAACTGCACGTCCAAAGTCTCCAAGCTTGTAGACACCATTTAGTACGTATATGTTATCCGGTTTAACATCCAAGTGGACTAATCCCTTCGAGTGAATGGCAGATAGCGCACTTGCCATCTGGAACGACAGAAAAAAAATCCGATCCAGACGAAGGGTCAAACTCAAAACAAGTGAACTAAAAATCATCTCACGTCTTCAGAGGATATCCTGTCGACATCATGGAAAGACTCTAAAGTGGCATGCCCACTGAAAGTCTAGTAGGCGTAGGAACAAAACTTAGCTTTACCTGTCGCATGATCTCTAGTAATGAGGTTTCCTTAGAAACATTAGGGTCGGCATCTCGAAGCTGCGTTAGGTTGGATTCGCAAAGCTCCGTTTGAATGTAGCAATACTCATCCTCAAACCAAGCTGTGTAATATCTGACCACGTTCTCATGAAACCCTGCACGACAATCAACAATCAAGGGGACGAGACATGACACTTACGGAGATTCTGTTGAGGCACAAAGTAACAGGTTTCATATTTAATCAAATATGACGGAAAGCTACTGGCTGTTCCCAAAAGATTTAAATCATTACTAATACTAGTAATGCTTACCGTTGCACAATATTCGTCATCCAGTTCAACAGGAGGCTGAAAGATTATGCTGCAACACTCTTGCAAATGACACTGACCAAAAATAAATAAAAAATCAGGGACAAGTTTAAGCCTGAACTCACCTACAGCTGCAAGAGCTTGCACCTCTGTCAGAGCTTGTCTTCTGCACGAAACAGGAATGGGAGTGACCTTACTGAGGCATTGTTCTTTGGAATAGTACGATGAAATTCACTATGAAGATTTTGGTCGTTACAAAAAAAAAAAAAAACTATCTTCAAGCTTCTGAGCAGACAGAGGAACCTGGGACCTCACCCTAAAATGAAAAACAGTCAACTTGACAAAGAACTGTCAGGGGAAAGGGAGTGGGACCTCTCAACGGTCGATCGCAGTGAATGTCGAGACCGTTTTATAGCATACATGCAACCATCGATTCTTTTTAAAACTTTAAACACACGACTGAAGTTACCATGCCCAATCTCCTGCAATTTGATAAAAGCAAAGAATTAGCATTATGTGTGATGATGATGATGACAACATGGTGTAAAACACGACACGGAGCCAACAAAGATTGATCAGAATAAAAGATCGCAATTGGCCTCAGAGGGATATCAGGGATCATACCCGAATCTCATGAAAATCGTGTCGATATATAGAAATAAATGTTTGCTCCCATTCATCTTCTGTTATTTTGGCTACAAAAGGAAGATTTGAAATGGTTCGTAAATTCGTAATTGTCATGTAATCCAAGCGTAATTCACATCTAATTACAAATGTATATTCATCTACAAGACAAATAATGCTCATCAAAGCACCTTGTACGATGAAACTTTTCACACGGTTTTTCACCTGATGTAATCATCTTCTGTGGCAAGTTTGTATCCTCTAACAAGAAGGGATTCTGAATAGACACTGGAGATTGCCTCCGCATGTTCTCATCCCGCCAACTTGGTTTTGTATGAACAGTATCTGAGCAGCGACCGAGAGAACATGGAAGTTTATGAGTAATATGTGCTCATAGCAAGGACGATGAAAAGGACGATAATCGACACAGAGAGCTTGGTAAAAAGCCACCCAACTTAACCCACGTAGCGAGTGTATTTGTGGCATACCATGTTTGAGCCTTTTGTTTCGCACTGGTGTCAACGCACGCGGCGAGCGTAAACCAGTGGAGTTTTCCTGTATAGCAAAACAGTTTGACAATTATCTCATGCTAAGCAATAAACATTCTGCTACCACAACTGGAAAAGGGAAGGAAATTAAAACAAAATAAAATAACCCCAAGCCTTTCCATATTCTAGCGATCACCTTATTATCCAAATTGGTAGAGAATTGTTGTTCCACGGGAGTGATGAAATCTGGTGTGCTGCGCATTCAAACAGATAATGACAACGTGGGGTCGGTAATATTGCAACCATAAAACTTCCTCATTACAGTTTCAGCTATCTGGTACACGTTATCTTGAAGTCTCAGAGTTCAATATAGATAATGTAGAAATAGTTCAGTACCGCAGAGCAAAAAACGAAGTAAAAGTAAACAAGCAGTATTTCGGAATGTAGGGGAAAACTACAAACGGCAAAAATAAGCAAAGCAATCGTGAATCGGTGCACTAGAACTACAGATACACAAAATTGTAGGCATGGTCCATTCAAGGCGACAAGCCAGGTTGAAGGGAAATGTCACCAGAGGAAATCCAGGGAGGGGTTCTCCGGGTCAGCCAGGTTTACAGTCCCCACGTCAAATTTGTCTGCCGACTCCTCCTCGCTATGGCTGAGAAGCAGAGGTGATTGCAGACACACTTGGCTGAGCTGCTGACTTAAATCTATCTCATCACCATAGTCCATTGGTGCACTTGCATCAAGCATCTTTTCCTAAAAGGACAGGGCAAGAAGCAAATCAATTCTCACATTTGTTTGCCATCACATGCTGAACCTTGAAAAGCATTAACACTCAAAAATACTGCTCATGTCGTTTCATTAAGAACTACGCGTCGTCTTCGAATGCTAATGAAAGAACATGATCAGGCTCAATTACTATGGCGTGTCTAGAGTTCGATGAAAAGTGAGGGTAATAGAGAATTCCAAAGGGAACGCTTTCAAAAGTGTGTGAACCATCAGATCACACACACACACACATTAAAAATTTCAGTGTCCGAATTTTGTACGCCATTCGCTAATGCCCAGATAATGCGAAGCCATCACAAACTATTTGATGTAAGAAATTGACTTGAACTCACAGAATTGTGTTGATAGATATGATGTAGACGAAGATAATCAAACAAGAGATCTGACTTGCTTACGCTCTCAGCCCCACACGAATTTCAGCAAGGCTCGCAGGTTTATTTACAGATGCTACAGCCTGCCAGGACTGGTCTCCCCCCTTGACGTAGAGAGTATCGATCCAAACGCACAGATTGCAACCCACATTCGAAGCGAGTATACACTCAACAACATAAGGACGACCTCTCCTCGGCATAAGCTTCACGGCGCGTAGAGCCAAGGTTGCGAATGGCTAAATGGCTGCACTAGAACAGTGTCCCTCCCGCCTCTGTAAAATTGTTTCTGTCTTCAACAAGAAGTTATAATCAACTGCTGCCCTCGAATCCTTGCAACTTCTCGCCTGTGACTAATATTAGCATCTCAAACGAAAACCTTTAGACTTTCCTCCCTCTCTCGCTCGCTCGATCCGATTGCTCTCGGCGTTCGAGCTCCCAATTCAAATGCAAACAACACGATACACCCCAATCGCCTCTGAGCTTGCAGTGACCCAAGTTGTAAGCCTGGCATACGCATTCCTCCGCATCTCACAGCCGTTCTAAGCTTGAACGATACGTGTCTAAAAGCCGAAGCTGCATTTCACCCATTGAAATTGCACCGCACTCCTCACCCAACCCTAAACATATGACAGAGGACGAATTACGAATTCACCGCAACAACATCAGGATTGAGACAAACACAACACAACCAGACCCGCCCTAGGATCTGATGATTGTATTCAATGCAGGACCCGAATGGCGGCTCTCGAAATGCTCGCCGCGGTTCCCCACCCGTTCCCACCGATGACTTCTCGTTCCAAATCGTTCTCCGTCTGAGCACTCTCATCGGAAGCTGGGAGCCAAGCGGAGAAGAGATTCGCAGCCGTTTGCGACGCTGAGATTAAAAGCGCCGAAGAAACAACTTCAAGTTTATCATTGATTCGTGCTGCACCGGAGAAAGCTGCCGAGTGAGTGAAACGCCGTTTATGGAAGCAGGGTGGGAGTATTTTTGGATTGTTGACTGCAATTGGGGCCTCACGCTTTTGACCAAAGCTCCGTGACGAAGGGGGGCATCAGATGGTCGTGTAACCTTGCCGAATAAATTCCCGTAATCCGAATGCAGTATTGTTTTTAAGAGGATAAGCTCAGAGACCGAACGGAGAGTAGGATACGGATCGGGCATGAGGAGGGGCCGGTCTTGTCTGGTCTGGTATACGGCCATGGGGTTCGGAGCACATGTGTACGCTACACGCTGCTGCCGGACCCACTCCCTTAAATTTAGAGCTCGTATTTTTCTGAGGCCAGCTTTCTCGGTTTAGGAAATTGGGTTTCTCTCTTGAAGGTGTGAGCACCGTGTGTCTCTTCTTATGAGCCGCTGTTTCGCAGGGTGTGGGAATTCTTTTCCCAGCGACGTCGCGTGGTGCGGTAGGGTTTAGCGATCTCAATTTTGTGGCGTTTCGCTGTGTCGTTGAAAGGGGAATTAAACATTTGGAGCGACGTTCGGTGTTTCTGTGACCTATTTGCTGGCCAAGGTTGGAATGTTTGATAGATCTGCTCATTTTGGTTCTGTTCGTGATAGAGTTGCTTCTCGTGTGTGTGATGTTTTGGCAGTGAGTTGGGGGAACCTGGTGTTGCGAGGGTGGGAACTGTTTGAAATTTATCTTCGAATTGTGATCGAGAGGAGGCAATTGAAGTCGGGATCAGAGAGACGTGGATGGGACGGGGATAGAGACCTGCGTCTGTTGCAACTGCTTCGGATTCCTAGACATATGGTGAGTGCTTGCCCCTACAATGCTAGCATCTGTTTCGTAAGTAGGAGGAGGTAGACGAGGTCCAAATCCAGCAGTTGAGGAGTTGCATGCTTCAACCTCGCGCAAGCTTGGCTTACTGGTTGTGCTTCAGCTGTGTGCACTATAGCAAGAAGCTCGGAGATGGCCACACGAGAACCACCATCACGATTTGGTGGCTATTGTGAGTTCAAGGTGGATCCTGTCTCCACTGGGAACGGCGAGGCAACTTCCAGCAGCAACGATGCGTTGCATCTCGGACGGCAGCAGTCCTTGCTACTGCTGCTACCCTTGGAGTTGAGGATTGAGATTTTTTCACGGTTGGATGCACACAGTGTTATCAAATTGCAAAGCGTTTGCAAAGATCTTCGCGATGTTTCACGCCAGCTTCGGTTATTTCCAATTGAGAGTCTAACTTCATCAAAAGACGCATCACACACTTTTGCTCCCGTGGCTTTCCTTGTTGCTAAAGGGGAGAAGTGGATATGGGCAGGTTACGATCCGACGGCCAAGTTCTGGAAATGGCTGCCATCTTTCTCGGCTCTTCTCGTGGCAACCGATCACCCTGACACGGTGCTGGCAGCATCGGACGGACTGCTCTGCGCTTCCTCGGAAGGACTCATCTGCGCTCTGGTAAGAGGGACGATCTTCCCGGTGACGGTCTGCAATCCTTTAACCAAAGAACATAGGCGACTGCCGCCCTTGACGAAACCCCGGTGCCCCGACCTCCTCTATATTCTACGAGACACCAAAACACCCAACAGGTACAGGATTATCGCTTCGGGAGGGTACTCTTTGGTCGCGGGGGAGTACACCATCATCCGAAAAACCGAGTGTTACGACTCGGCCACGAATTCTTGGACTGAGACGAGCAATTCCCCCCAGGGGCTACGATTGCAACGCTACCAAAATGGCGTCTATTCCAACGGATTCCTCTACTGCTTGGCGCGTGGGCCGCAACTCGACAATTTGTTACTGGCATACCATGTGGACAGCGGGACGTGGGTTAGGAACCTAAGCTGCGAGTTTCTCCGCAACTACGACGCATGGGGCGGCCCGATGAACGCCCAGTTTGTGACATGCAATACCGCTGTTTACTACTATGAGGAATTTCACATCCAGGGAACTCGCCTTAAGGGCTTTACCATCGACGAGCTCGCCACGATCGAGGAGATCCTCCCGACCGGCGTTCTCGCGACTCTGGACGCTTGGAACAACCCCGAGCCCAGCGCGGAGAGGGACAAATTCTTCGAGGCTATGCTGGGCGCGTCCCGCAAGCAAGGCAAGCTGCGGCGTTTGCTGGTGGAGCATCGCCCGCTGTGCCAGTCGCGGGGCACGTGTGTGGCTCAAGGGCGCCACCAAGTCTGTGTCTATTACCCAAAAGAAGCTAAGGGCATGGTGTATAGCTTTCACGACAAGAGCAACCCACACAAGGAGCGGCTCCCGGAGATGAACCCCACAAGCCAGTACTTGAACGCCGACATGATGGAGCTCCCCGAAAGCCATTTGCAGCCATTGCCGTGCCCGTTTGAGCTCAGCTTCTCCGCTCTCGTGTGATTCCCACATCTCTCTCGCAATCTCGTGATCTCTTCTCACTTCTTTGCTCGTGTATCAAATCTCTTAGCTGCACCATCTTCTTCCCCGACTCATTGTTGTAAATAAATCTTATCACACCCGTGGCTGATCGAGAATCCTTCTAGTTCGCGGATGCCGAGAGCTTTCCTACATATCTCCAACGCTCCGTGAAAAAAAAAAAAAAAAAAAAAAAAAAAAAAAACAGTCCTGTAGATGGTATGTCTCTTATCTTCTTGTTTGCCCAGTTAAACCTCGTAGCTCAAAATCTGACTCCACAAAAGAGTAGTTCCAGAGTTGTTACTACCATATCTCTACCGACAAATCATCATGTTAAGCATGTAGAATCTTTCTATTTCATTTCCCTTTTCCAATTGGGTTCCGTTCCTTTCCGAAATATTTTTATTGTTTTCCAAATGATTATTAATACTGAACTCTTAGCTAATAAATGATTTTGTACTACGTGGGTTTTTTAGACTCTGTTCCTAAGTAAGATGATAACGTCGAACAGTAAACGTAGGGGAGGAGCCTGCATTAATATCTCGGAATTTGTTGAGTTTGATAAGCATACAGTGCTGTGGTTCCCAGACAAAGGAATGTCCACAGGTGGCGACTCCGGCCAAAGATCATTCATCCAATTGACGTAGTTAGTTCGTCCGTAGATGTCATTCATTCAAACATCCATCCTGCGTGTGTGGGGGGCTCTTTTGTTAGACGACAAAGTTCTTCCATTCTCGCGTCCTCTTTCCGTGCCATTGTTGTTTTTGTGCTCCAGGACCTCACCTCTCGCCATGTTCTGACATCAATGTTCAGGAGGGCTGGTGGTATTTGAGTCGTTTCGTTGATTAACGTTTTCGAGTACTTCCTTAAACTTCTAGTTTGTGGATTGTGTTAGTTAGGGAGCGAGATTTTGAAATGTAATTCACGTCGTAAGCTGAGTGCATGAGGGTTTGGAGGTGATGCTGTGGCGAAGATGGGAGAGCATCGGGCGCAAGTTTTGAGATGGAGGCTGGTTTAGATAATGAATTTGTTTCAATTTCGGTTTTCTGACGTTTTTTTTTCTCGGAGGAGATGGTGGATGGAATTTGTGGTTAGGTCTTTGAAAACGACAGGAAGAGTGGTATTAGTAGGTGTGGTTGCGGAATCATTGTTGCCGGAGCAGCATCACGTGGTGCGGGGATCGTGATGTGCAATTGATTTTTCTTGGGCGGAAGAGGGAAGTGATTATGGCAGAGGATGCGGAGAGTGCCTTGGAGCTGCTACCGTGGTCTCTTTTGCAAGTCATTATTTCACGACTAGATGCGCCATCAATCTGCGCCGCTGCGGCATGTTGCCGTGCATTGCGCACCTGCGCAGAGTATGCTCTAACGCAACTTGGATCTATCGCACTTGTAGACATGCGAACGGAGCCTGCTGTAGTGGAGAGGCTACTGGCAGGGAACACTTGCTTGAGCAGCTTGTCATTGGATTGTTCTAGGATGGATGATGGCATAATCAACTCAATTACAAAGCCAGGGTTGCACACACTCTGCCTCTGGGGCTGCCATCAGTTTTCGGCGAAGCTCTTGTGCGGAATTGCCATGAGGTGTTCTCTGCTCAAGGTTTTGTTATTGGAGTTAGGTTGGCATGATGACAGGCAAGAAGTGAATAGCTTCAGCACTGCCCTCGAGATGATATTACAAAGATGTGGGAAATTGGAGTCGTTGACGGTGCGATCCGAGACCTCTTGCTTTGATTCAGGGGCGTATGCAGCCATACCACGCCTGGTTGCGTCGGGTTTGAATGCCCTTGAGATCGGGTACATAGCTGAGCGCGAAGCCAAACATGTTCTGAATCTAGATGAAGCTTTCCGCTTTGCGCCGCGAGCGAGCTATCCTTTCAACTCCTTAGAGAAGTTGGTCCTGGTATTGGATCGGATAACAGACTCTCTTGTGGGCCTGATTGCTTCAAGATTGCCCCTTCTCTTGGAATTGGAGTTACGTGATGGGCCTTCTGAAGAGCCTCTGCTAGCTTTTGACTTGACTAATTGGGGCATCCAGCAAATTGGATCATGTACAAAGCTCCAACGCCTTTCACTTGTTCGCAGTCAAGACTGGATGTTGAGCGTGTCCTTTAAGAGAGTAACTGACCTTGGTATCCTGCTTATGGCTGAGAGTTGTTCCAACCTGGAAAGCATTAAGTTTGGCGGGTTTTCTCGGATCACAGATACGGGATGTAGAGCTGTGCTCCACAGTTGCCTGAAGTTACATACTTTTGAGCTAAGCAACACTCCGCAACTAACAGACCTAGCTTTCCATGATCTTCCCGCGACTCCTTTAGGGTTAGAATGTGTTTCTCTCGCTTCGTGTGGGCTGCTCAGTGATTGCTCAATTCAGCATCTTGCATTTTGCACAAAGCTGAAGTCTCTGAATCTCAAAGGCTGCAAAAGCGTTGGAGATGGTAGTATGAAAGCCATAAGCTCTTTGTCAAAATTGGAAGTGCTGGCATTAAATGGCTGTGATGTAAGTGACTCTGGTCTATCCTTGCTGGGACTCGGAGTTGCGCCTCTTTCGTCAGTCTCCCTTCGAGGATGTCAGCGTGTGTCCGATGCTGGCATAGCGACGTTGTTGGCTGGCTCGCTGGCAAGTACATTGGTGTCGATAGATCTCTCTGCTATTCCGTCCCTCACCGACAATGCTATCATTGCGATCGTGCGATGCAGGATGTCCGTTCTACAGGAGCTGAGGCTGCGTGATTGTCATCTAATTGGCGACACTGCCGTGATTTCGTTGGCCTCGGCTGTTCTGAAGGACTTTGAAATTGGTTTCGGAGGAACATTGCAGCTGCTTGATCTTTGGAACTGTGACGGTGTAAGTTCTCTCTCCCTGGGGTGGCTTAAGAAACCCTATTTTCCAAGGTTGCGTTGGCTCGGCCTGCCAAAGAATCTAAAACTTGGCATCGTAGCTGCCCTGGTTGAAGCCCGTCCTTCCTTGCACGTATTCACTGATGGCGCTGAGCTGGGCCATATGTTTTCTGGTGAAACGGAAGTGATTGTGCGTGAGGAAGAAGATGAGCTTGAGAGGTGGATGAGGGACGTGAGTCCTTGAATTCGCCTTCATTGTTGGAACCTGCATTTGTTCGGTTCTTCGAAACCATGAAACATGATTAGCAAGGAGGTGCGAAATACTCGAGAAGTCGGCCGTAAAAGGACAGGGAAACGTGTAAGAATACTTCGCGGCCATGGAAAAAAGATTTTAATCTTTTACAAAGTACAAATTTGTATTAATTTTTCTCTGATTCTCATAAAAACACCCAAATAAAACTGAGGATTGTCAACCGATCCAGTGATTTGAGTTTACATCTCAATGATTTCTTTGTACGGTGTGAGGGGACTTATGACCAGCTTTTAAATCCGTCTATATTATTATTTTTTCTTCTTCTATATTTTTCCTTTGTGTAGTTACAGATTTGCTCATTCATTCTGACAACGATTTGGAATAATCCAAAATGAATCTCATCGTTATAAAGCTGCAGCATGAGCAGCACTGAATGTAGAAGTCGGTCAAGCAACACTTAGTAGTAACTATTATCGTCTGCGATATTTGGTCTAAATGATCATCAGTTACGTCATATTTTGTCCTAACACCCTGAGATGTAATTTGCTTTTTAGACAGAAGTAGCATAGGTCTGCACAGATGCACTTACAGAAGCGAGTATCAACTGCTTGCACATCAGGCATTTAAGAATAACGAGATTGAACTTAACGGTCTCGATATGCCAAGATGCAGGGGGCTACAAAACTCTTTACAGAGGGTATAAAATATATACTAATGTGAAAGCAAGTGCGAGTTTCCCTTCACGTAAGGATTTGAGAATAGTACTTCGACAACGTGGGAGTGTTTCATTTATGAAATAGACATACGCACAAAAACGTCACAAGTAGCCACTGACAAATCCAATTGAAATCCCCCATTGGGAGTTCACCACATAGGTCTCAATTCGCTTAAGCACCCAAGCAAGAGAAAAAACCATTACCTAAACAACAGTCAACTTGATAGTACTCAATTCTAATACAAACCACATAGTGGTATCATATGCACATCTATCAATTTGGCATCGAGATCCTCTATCTGCAGAACAATTCCCCAAGCAACACTACTTGCAGCTTCTATGTAACCACAATTACAATTGATGCATTCATGTTATCTTCCTTTATATATCTCTCCAATCATATAACCATAGTATGAAAGCCATTAGAGTCTGAGGACCGTCTAGGCGTTGGCTCTTCTAATTCCTCGTCTTCTTGGATAACATGAAATTGGTCAGCGTGCATGTAATGTGGAGAGATCCTAGAGGAGTCTTTCAGCTGCATTAGCTCCTTGGATTCACTGCCTTCAGAGTCACCGAGTGGTTGGTAGTGCTGAGGCAAGGTGTAAAGTTTACACATGATCGAGTATAGAGGCAGCAGAGAGATGAGAAGAAAAGCCAGGTGACAATTAAACTGAAGAGTTGCAATGGCTTGTCCTCTCATAAGGGTCATACCTGAAAATAGATAAACGATTATGCATGAAAATCCTCTCAAGTAGATACAGACTACCCGACACTGACCACAAAATCGAACTTATTTCCCATTCCAAGGGCGGATAAGAATATACAAAAAGTAGGCATTTTCAAAACACATGAGTATGTAAGGAACAGAGATAAGCGAAAAAAGCCAACGTTGGAAGACTCACCTTCACAAGCAACTGTGTAATCCCCTTCTCCTTCCTCCCTCAGCGTGCATCCCTGCGCTATCCACTTAGGGCTAAACAAGGACAGTGCAGTCTGAATGAACCACGTCCCTTGCAGCACAAGTCCCATGCTTCGGATCAAGGGAGGCAACACCGACTTGGGATACGCAATTTCAGCGACCGTAGAGCCAGCACAGACGCCAATGGGGACCAGTAAAAGGTAGTGATACTGGCCTTCCAAGCCCGCACTATCCCGTTGCAAGTAGAAAAGTAAAAACTCTTGGCCAAATGCAGAGAGAGCAATCAGACTGATGAGCTCCGGTGGAATCGGCAACACATTGGTATTATCCACAATTAGGGTTACAATAGCATAAAATAGAAAGTTGATTGCCACAACTAATCTCTGCGAATTCACGGATACGGCCACGGGATGCTTCAAGTCCCCTTCGCTGCTACCCACGACCACATCACATATCACGTGGGACAGCGCAAATATGAGTACCAGGTAAAGCTCCAGATCATGATACCAGCTCTTACGCCGTGATCCCCCATGCTGCATCGAGTATGAGCGCATGTTCCTCAACCTATAGGACTTCACCTGCTTGAAGCCTTGGAGCATACCCACGATTAGGAACCCCACCCCCGCAGCTGCCTGAGCCTCCCACCCCATGGCTGCAGATTCTTCCAATGCAGTTCTTCCACCACGCAACAACCTCTCTTCCTTTGCTCTCCCCTCGCCTTCTACCCAACTAACCCCACGGACTCAACCGTCCCCGACGATCCAACCCGTTCACCACAGCCTCTGAAACGGGCTATTGCGTGCTCTGCACATTCAATTCTCCGGCTCGGTCCATGCGCTCACCACGGAATGCATATTGAGTCTCCGCGGTAGACTTCAGAAAAAAATTCCCAGCACTAGGAGGAGGACAAGAAAACGAAACACCAGCTGGGGTCAGGTCCGCACACAAGATTAACGAAAAAGCTGAGTTCGGAGATCAAGCAAAGATTTCTAACCCAGAGCTCCGAGAATCCGCGCTCCGAACATTCCTCCGCGACCCACAACGCAAAGAGGAATTATCCAGGAACCGAAAAAACGACTCGTGAAAACGCTACTGTCGCTGGTAATCGAAGAACAACAAAACATCAAACATCAAAAGAAATCGGACAACAGCTACACTTCTGAAGAGGCTTCGGAAGCTCTCATTCGAGGAAATCGGCACATCACCCTCTTCATTGAAAGCTACACATTCTGTTTGGAAGCTCCTTCATCCATCACCACATTCTTCGATCCTGTCTGGTTGTGAAAAGATGAAAGTATGAGTATGAGAGTATAACAACAATAATCATCATATATACTCATATGTAGATATATATATATATATATATATAGAGAGAGAGAGAGAGAGAGAGAGAAGAATTGTCAAAGCTACAATCCTAATTGATATCACTATATCCCATGTCACTTCCTCTATACCCCCATATGACTCATAGACAACTAGTTAATAATAAGCCTCTTTCTTTCGCACCCTTTTTTTTTTTTTTTTTTTTTTTTCTTTTCTTTTCTTCTTTCTTTGTTGTAAGAAAGGGTAGTAGTTGGAAGGGAGACGGTGAATATTTTGTAAACAAACAAGCATTGAAATATTTTAAAAATATAAATAATATTTGCCTCAAAAAATATGTAAATTTCAAATTATATTTTTATTTATTATTTGGCTACCAAAAACACAAAAGCTTGTTTTTTTTATTCATTCCATTTTTTTCATCAATATTGGGATTTAATATTGGGTTGCCAAACATGCCCCAAGCATAAAAGTGCACTTTAAGCCAATTTGAGCAGTGTAGAAGTGACTTGAAGTGTAGCAATATCAATTAGGAATGTACTGTTAGCAATATTTTTCACTCTATATATATATATATATATATATATATTTCAGAAATCATAACTATCATCACAATCCATCAAAATAATTATAATAAAAAATTTAACATCAAATGTTTTCAGTCCACACTCATTTATTATTCCAAATTCAAACGATTTCAAGTCATCCTCCAGATATTCAAATTCATAAAACCACAATATTAAACCGAATACAAGAAAATCTAGTATTCAGTTGATTGAAACACACAAACATGGCAAAAATATGAGCAAAGTCTCATATCATTCAATAGAAGCGCCCTGCCTCATTGTGAACCATGCAACGCACGAAAAATAAAGTTCATTCATTTGTTGAAAAAACCTTAATGATCGTCAGATGATTTGACCCAATCTGACGGACCAGGATGGTCGAGGGTTTTAGGGTTTTGAACTCCCCAGAACAGACATTCAGAGCAAAGCTTGTTACTCTCTCTGTCTCAAGCTTGTGACTCTTTGACTCGCTCCAACTGCTCACATTAGCTTCACCGCAATGGTACATGTCGCGTCTTTCCGCAACTGTGAGTCATTTGAGCCGTAAGCTGGCAGCAATTTTTATTTTTCGTATTTTGTAACGTTGGACGATTTATGAAGCATAAAATACTTTGGTGTGGAGGTTGAGCACTTTTTTGTAGCGGAGTTGAAGGGAGGGAATGAATTAATCGCCTTTCGTGAGGAGGGGTCGGTTTGAGTGGAGGGTTGAGCGGTGAATTCGTGCTCATTACTCAACTTTTTGTGTACGCAGATGGGAAGACCTTCAAGAAGCCGCGGAGGCGATTTGAAAAGGAACGTCCAGATGCTGAATTGAAGCTCGTTGGAGAATATGGTCTCCGTAACAAGCGTGAGCTCTGGAGGGTTCAATACGCATTTAGCCGTATTCGCATCAATGCTCGTATGTTGCTCACTCTCGATGAGAAAACACCCGTCGTATTTTTGTAGGGGAGGCACTCCTACGACGCATGAATCGATATGGACTCTTGGATGAGAGCCAGTGCAAGCTGGATTATGTTCTCGCCCTTACTGTTGAGAACTTCTTGGAGCGACGATTGCAAACTCTTGTGTTCAAATCTGGCGTGGCCAAGTCCATCCATCATGCCCGTGTACTGATCAAGCAGAGGGGAGCTGTAAAGGAGTATGCCGAGTGACTTGATTGAGTGATCAATTTAGATACAAATGAGTGTCCTTCTGCAATTCAGTGGCATCGTGAGTAGCTTGTGGAAATTGTCTTTTTCGTTGCATCCGCGATGTTTTCAGGAATGGAATTCTCAAGGAACTATGAAGGCAATTCTAATCTTTTGTTCTTTGGTCTGACAGGGTTGGCAAGCAGATTGCGGTAGGGGCTTCTTTTCACGAGCGTTGAGAGAAGTGAAATATACTGTTTGGAACATGTGCACAACTTTAGTACTATTGTTCTGATTGTTACATTTGAAGTGACCATGCTGTACATCCTATGTATGTTGCGGTAGCTAATAACATTTTAGTTCTCATTCTTTCATGCACTTGAAACTATACTTCCAAGTCGTTATTCTTGTGTGGCATCGACCCACACTGAGCTTGCTACAACCTGACCTTTTGTCGACGACCTATGCTCGCCTGGGACCTTGATATTTCTTGTTAGTGCTAATGGATCTGTTGATCCACCTCATTCTCTCCGTCTTCCACCACCTTCGTAGCTCTTCCCGCGAAGAAAGTAGTGAGGTAGATCAGACATGCTTTGTAGATAGATTCCCAAAAAGTATGTTACAGTCTTGTTAAAATGCCTTCTTGATGATTTTGAGAAAGCTAGAACTTATTTTAGAAACTATAACTAAAAATAAAATCCCCTAGGCTTGCTGGGTTCGTCCTGACTTTCGGTTTATTCATACCGCAAGTTAATTTACAAAAAAACGTGTTTTCAAAACGGACTCTGAACTTCTTATCTGGTTGATAACTCTTGTCTAAAACATGGAGAGATTCACCTGATTAAGAAAGCACAAATACACAAATAAGTAATTTAACAAATGTAATGTTGCAAGTTTTGTATCTTAAACTTTTCTACACTAGGGTGGACTTCTCATGAAAGTCAGACAATGAAAAATTACACATGGGGTACGATTAAGTATTTTCATTAGTAAAAATCTCTGTTGAAAATCAGTTGGAATACTAATATTTGTTCCCGAGAATTATTTTTTTTTGCGGCAGAGGATTTTCTCACTATGAGGAATTGAATGGAGTTAATTATGACTCTATCCATGATCAACAACAACATGAATACACAGGTAGGCATAAGTGTACATGATTATAGTAGTTGCACATAAAATAGGCCTATGTATTATATTACAGTAATATTATACACAATCGAAGTCCTGTACTCTTATTCTTTTGAATGATGGGTCTGACATTTATCATTCTTGTATTGATAATTAACATGTTCCACACGGTACAAATAAAACATATTGTTATGTTTATCAAGCAATTAAGTATATATCATTGTACTTACAAATAATCATGGAAACAGGTGTTATTGAGCACAAATAAGATACACATCATTCTTGCTTTACAATTAACCTCGACACTCAATCCAAAACCGCTGATTCTTTTAGTAAATCTAATTCAAAAAACAGCATTGGCACCAAGCATCATATGCAAATATGCATGAGTTTCCAACACAGACTCTCAAAAATTATCTAAAAATCATATTGTGTTAAGATCAGAAACATATTACTTCAACCCCAACTTTTATACCAGGTGCCAACAAACGAACCCTCAACCCGGAGAATGTCAACATAGAATGAATCTTTACCCTTTTTGTCATGTCCTCAGTTCACCTTCCATCTAAAACCCATCGTTACTTGCACTGTTTGTGTAGACAAATACATACGCATGTGAACAAAGAGAGAAACATTTAATCTCATGGCGGGAAGAGTGCTGACGTGACCGGATGGAAGTCGTAGAAACCGCGGTTGAGAGACAACAACCACGCCACGTCAGCGCCCCGCGAATAATTACCGCCAAAACCGTCCCCTCGCTGCCGCGCCTGCTCGCTGGCTGGCTGGGTTGCTTGCTTTGCTTGCTTGTTTGGGGTGGCGATGGAGGTGATGATTCCGGACCCATCGGAGCCGTAATTTCCTCTCCGTCCGAGTGCTGGGCCAGCTCCGCACTGTCTGCATCCCCGCTCTTTTGGGTCGAATCTGTTTGTCGGCAGGGACCACTCATGGTCTTGCAATGGTCTGTCGGAACGAAGGAATGAATGAGTGCCTGGCGTCGCCGACTGTTGCCAATCACTGGGGGCTCTATTTGATCATGCTCCGGCTGCACTGTAGGTTGTCGTGACGTTTCTCGGTGGCGTGTAGCGTTTCAAGGGCTTGGTACTGGACGTTGCAGCGCATTCGAGGAGGTCTGTGGGAATGACAGCGATGAATATTCGTTTTGAGCTTGTTTGTATTTGACAAGTTTTATTTTGTTTTGTTTATTTTTTTGGTTCAGGACAGGACATGGGTTTTCTCTCATTTGTCTTGAGGGAGCCTGGTCTGGAGACTGAGCTGTGAGGTTTATGAGCTTGTGACCCCACGTACGAGATTCTCTGTTTCCCACTGGCGTAGTATTTATGTCGTCATTATGCAATTCCGGGAAGGTTTAGTTTTTGCCATGTTTTTGTGTTCGAGAAGCTTTCCGCTCTCACTGGTAGGATGCTTTTCGGGGTTTTTACGTGGTTGAAAGAGAGAGAGAGAGAGAGAGAGAGAGAGAGAGAGAGCGCCGGGTTCATGTCCTGCATCTCCCGTATCAGAACCGATTTTAAAAATAATTTGATGTTCGCTGTGAGAATCTATTGTTCTCATTTTCTGTAATTTTCGACTCAGGAACTTGACTGACAGCTTTCGAGGCTTGAGGTTTTGACGATTCGGTGATATCAAGCGCATGACCTTCAGCTGTGTAGGTGCAGAAAAGACGAGTGGGGTGTGATGTCGGATTCAGGTATGCCATTGCATTCCTCTTGCTGGTCGACCTTGCATCTCTTAGCTTCCATGGTTTCTCATGCCAAGTGCTTAGGGTTTGGCGTACCGAGAGTCTCATAGAACTATGTTCTTAAGGTTTGAACGAGAATTTAGCATACGTGTATTTATTCTTACGGTCAATCACGGATTTTTTCTAGTATGGGAAGGAGCTCTTTGGGGATTTGGAAGTTGCGATATTGTAGTTTGATCGTAGAATGTCCTCCTTGTCCTGTTGTGGGGTCTCGGTGTAATTTCTGTGCAGCGAGTATCTTCTCTAGGGCTAATCAAGTGCCATTGAATAGTACTGTGGAACCGAGGCCTGATCTTAAACGCATTTTTTTGGAATTCGTTTGGATACAGGGGAGCTGAATCAACAAATGTATGTCAGTGATGTTCAGGTATCTTATAGAATAGCTCTCTACCAACTTCTTGGCTTTCTTTCTTCATGCAAAGACTGCATTGCGCAGCTCTTGATTTACATTGATAGTCTATTTTTTGAATCGAATTCATCGGTGCTATTGTTATTTTAGGTTGTAGAATTTTGGTTTGAAATTATGTTGTGATTATAAAGTTTGGTGGTGATCCAAATGGATGCCTGACGGAGCGATGGTTCTTGCAGTATTGTCGTAATTTTTGTCGACAATGTCCAAGTAATTCCTGATTGGTGGTTTCTTTTTGAAAATATAGAGAGAGAAAGTGCTCATGGTGGGAGCTGGTGGCATCGGGTGCGAGCTTTTGAAAACGCTAGTGCTCACTGGTTTCAAACACATTCACTTGGTCAGTCATTCTGCAGAGTCGACAGTCTTCTCCACAAAACCTTACATTTGATGAATATGTTGGTGAACATCGTCTCCATTTATGCTCTGAAAGATTTCTGGTCGTGCACATGTGGCTCACCATTGCCGCAAATCGACATGGACACTATAGAAGTGAGCAACCTCAACAGGCAATTTCTCTTTCGCAAGAGCCATGTGGGACAGTCAAAAGCGAGGGTATGTTCCATTGCATTCTGTTTTAGTATTTGATGCTCTCGGCTGGAATTGGCCACGACTTAGACGTCCGGCCTGTAAATTACAATTCAGCATGCACTTAAAGAAGACGAGTTGTTTTTCTGTCTTTACGTTTGAGACGTACTTTAATTTCTCACCCCAGGTGGCGCGTGAAGCAGTTCTCAAATTTCGGCCCGGGGTGGAAATAGTTGCTCATCATGCTAATGTAAAAAATCAAGAGTTTGACATTGACTTCTTCAAGCAGTTTAGTGTGGTGTTGAATGGCCTGGACAACCTGGACGCACGGCGTCACGTGAATCGCATGTGCTTGGCTGCTGGCGTACCTCTGGTAGAGAGTGGTACTACTGGCTACCTTGGTCAGGTAAGCAAGTACTCACCTATTTGATTAGAGATATCAGATCTTAAAGGAATGAATGATTAGCTATAAATTGTTTTTAATACATATATAATGAAATAAATTTACAATTAAAAAATAATAGAACTAAGCAATCTTCCCATTATCTCACATGTATCATATTTCAAAATGCAGGTGACCGTGCACATTAAGGGACAGACTGAGTGTTATGAGTGTCAGCCTAAGCCAGTACCTAAATCGTATCCAGTTTGTACCATTACAAGTACTCCCTCCAAGGTGTGTTTTTTAATACTCTTCCGCATCTAGCGTCTCCAATAGCTCTTTTTGCAATCGTAAGATGCGAAGAACACGAGATTTGCGTCCCTCCAGCGAGTACCTTACAGTATTCAATTGCCCATTTTCTGGTTGCCTGTTAGTAAATGCAGAGATGTACGTGCCGTTTAGTTCCCTATCCAGTCCGACTGATTAGCGTGATGAATTTCCTTCCTTCCGATTTTATTCTCTCCGCTTTTGTAGTTTATTCACTGCATTGTATGGGCAAAGGACTTGGCGCTAGCAAAACTATTTGGTGACAAAGGCCAAGTTAGTGATCTGGATGTTCGGCCCACGTCAAATGAAGACAATGCAGTTAGTAACGATCCTGATGAAACGCAATTCTTTGAAGTAAGAAGCGGTGAAAGCAGTAGGGCATATGCAGAGCGTGTGTTTGATCGTATATTTGGTCAAAACATTGTAACGGCTCTCCGAAATGAAGATACTTGGAAAGCAAGAAGACGGCCTGACCCCCTATTCCTTAACAAAATTTTCTTTGAAGACGATGCAGTGACAATGAATGGTGTATGTTCAAGTATCGACAACGTTTCCGCCACGGCTAATTTGGGCTTAAAGAACCCTCAAGAAGTCTGGAGTGTGAAGGAAAACTCAAGTGTTTTTTTGGAATCGGTTGAACTGTTTCTTGAGAAACGAAGCAAGGTACAGTCTACTTTGATGTAGAGTCGTTATGTCTTAGTGAATCGTTTTGGCACGCCTCATTAGTTGATACAACAATGTTTGGTTTCTCTTGTATTCCTCTTTCACAGGTGCTCCATTTTATTGTGATCCTTTGTAACCGTGTCGGGTTTTAGTTAGCAAGGAGCGTGTTTTTGAACGATGCGTTGTTGCAGGATGTTGGGAAGCTAGTTTTCGACAAGGATGATCAATTAGCGGTGGAATTTGTTACAGCTGCTGCCAATTTGCGGGCTCATTCTTTTGGAATTCCTTCGCAAAGTCTATTTGAGGCTAAGGGCATGGCTGGCAACATCATTCATGCTATTGCTACTACCAATGCAATTATAGCAGGACTTATTGTTCTTGAAGCCCTTAAGCTTCTCAGCAACAGGGCCAAGGAGTGTCGGTCTGTTAAATTTTTCCAATATTTTGTGTTTCGAAGTTTTACTTTTATGGGTTTAAGTTCGTATCTTGACACGACGGTTTATCACTTTGTGAGGTTCCTCAAATTAACGGGAAATTGATTATTGGGAGCTAATCTTGTGTTGCAGGATGACGTTCTGTGTTGAACATCCTTCAGGGAAAATGCTGCTGATGCCAGTGGACATGGCTGAGCCCAACCCGCGCTGCTATGTCTGTTCCGAGGTAGGATCTTAACATTTCTTGGTTTTCACGAATGGGTCCCGGGGCTGAACACGGACAACTTCTGGGTATTTCTCCTTCAGCAGCCTCTGGCAAGTTGTATTTAGCTAGGGGAAGGGAGCAAGTTGTTATTCTCTTTCTGGTTCCTGTTTTTCAAACCATTTTCTTATTCCTATGTCCAGACTTAAGTAACAATCTTGGTGATGAATTGTGGAAGTAATCGTTGCTAATGCCTCGAGAATTGTGCTGGGATTATGGGAGAACAGACGCCATTAGTATTGGAACTGAACACCGCTACAGCTACAATGAGGGAGGTGGTTAAGAAGGTGGTGAAGCGCAAGCTGGGTGTCACAGATCCTGTTATCATGCAGAGCTCTACTCTTCTACACGAGGCAGGCGACGACATTGAGGAGGATATGGTGGCTTATTACACCACTCTTTTGGACAAGGTTCAAGATCATTATCCTTCTCGCAGTAATAGATGGGCGGACTTTATAATGAATTGATTAGAAGACAGTTTTGTTGATGAGCGCTGGTTTCTTTGGAATTAAGAATATTGAACTCAGGATCAACGTGGTGCGTACAACTTACGAAGTTGACTCATTGTTTGTCGCTACTGATGGGTAATGTGTGTGGAGCAGAAGTTCCAAGATTATCCAACTCCCATTACAACAGGAGTGGTGTTGACGATCGAGGATTATCATCAAGATTTCCGATGCAGTCTCCATGTTAAGCACAGGTATTTCTACGATACTCTTCTACCCCATGTCGAACACAGATTTTCAGAAGAGTAATGTAATACTTTAGTAATGGTCTAACTACGCTTTAGCTGAGATGTTGATCCAATATCAAGGGGACTTGTTTGTTTTATGGTTTTATGGTCATGTGCAGAGAGACGTTCGACCAGGAGAAAGAGCCAGAAGGGATGGTACTCTCCGGAGATCTTGCTTCTCTCAACACCACAGAAACTGCTGCTGAATCAACCTCAACGCTCAATGCCTCATTAAAAGCCGAGAATGGACACACTGAGGTGGAAGATGACGACGTCGTCATGGTCGAGCTGGCACCGAAGGCTGCTACTGCTGGTACCAAGAGAAGAATCGAGGAAGAGGAGACGCAGCATACTGAGAAGAGATTGCGAGTAATGGAAGTGTGACATTGACGATCACCATTCATTCAAGCCCCAAGTTTAGAACAAACAGGATAATGTCCAGGGTTCAGAAGTGTAAGCACCCTCAGGTGCTTGAGACTTGACTCCTTACGCTTTCCTGTCGGTTCTCTGGTTTTCTCGACCATTCATGGTTGCCGTAGCCGGTTTGATTGTTGTTGGTGACACCATTTGCAGACCCAGAGCAAAGCAGACTCTGTTCTGGTCTTCAAGTCGGAAGTGATCGACGGAGAGCTGCACGCACCAGAGTGACCTTGAAGCTGAAGTTAACTGTCTGCATTGTGCCGTGCATCTTTGCATTTCGGGGCCTGTATTTTTTCCACTGGTTCGGAACCCCTGAATTGATGCAGAGGGGGAGCCTGCGCTAGTTAATGCTGCATCATACTGTTTTTTGTGGTTGGGTCTCAGGGTCACACATCAGCTTGCAAATGCTGTGGTCTTTCTTGGCTGTAAACAATCTGGGGTTGCATCTTCTGCTTCATTAGATTTTCCGGTCTGGACTTCTAACAAACAAGTATAAACGGTGTTAAGTTGAACACCGTTGTCTTTTGAAACACAATAAAGTGAACAACACAAATGATGCAAAAAATGGACCACATTGATTTTATGCTATTATGTAAAATATTTAAAATTATAACTTGGTTGTCATTTCTACAATCCTAGTTTCATACTCTCATCTAATTTTTATTTATTTTTCTATCATGTTTATCTGTTTGTTTATTTGTGTGTTTGCTTATTTTTTTTGAAAATTTTTCGACACCACACAAGTAAAAAAAAAATAGAAGTTTATAGTTGTAATAGTAGTTTATTGGTGTACATATGTATGACAATGCAATATATTCTAAAAATATAATAAATGGTGGATTAAAAAAAGAGGACAAGTATGTATATATATATATATATATATATATATATGTATATATCAATTATTGTAAGTTAAATTATTACAAAATAACTTGTAATAAAATTTATGATTTTTTATATTTAAAATAAAAGGATTTTTTAAATAATTTTTTAAACTTATATTCTAAACTTTGAATTGGTTAGTAACATAGATATTGATGAACATAATTCTTTAAATATTATTATTTTCTTAAAATATTTCTAAATTATTTTTTTTAATAAACTAAAATTTATTGGGTTTATAATTTTTTTATTTGATTAAATTTGAACTATACAAACTTCTAAAAAACTAATAATATTAAATTTTAATCATTTATTTTAATACATAACCTATATTTTATTATGCATACTTTATAATTTTATTTACACTTATTACTACTTTATATTTTTTTATTCATAATAACATTTTTATGTTATTATCCAATACATATTGTAAAGATTTATTTTTAGATATAAATAAGAATAATACTTTTAATATTTTTTAAAATTATTTTTTAAAATTATAATTTTATGAGAATACTATTAAAGTTTCTTAAAGAATAATTGCACAATTAAATGTATATTTGAAGACTTCAAAAGGTAGTACTATTTCTTATAATGTGGTTGGAATTACTATTACTATTTCAAATTGATTTAATTATCTTTTTATAATATTTTTTATCATATTTTATAAAATTATTAATAATAAAAAATAATTTATATTCTTGGTGTAATTTTTTATTTATTGAAAATTTATCAAATTGTTTGTTAGTTAAACTATTCATTTGCTTATTAGTGTAGAATGATTTTTTGCAATGATCAAATTTTACCAATTGTACTGATAAATGTTTTTAAAGTAATTGAAAACAAAACATATTTATTTGAATTTTAAATATATATTTTGTAAAAAAAAAAAAAAAAAAAAAAAAAAAAACATACATAGATACATGAAATTTCTATCATTATTAATGTATTGTATAAATTCCACTAGATTTTAAATTTAGTCTATTTTAAATTATACTTAATAAATTTTATTGTTTAAAAAGTCATATAATTATTTATAATTGGTTTTTGTTTTGATAATTTATAATATTTTTTGATAATTTTGTATATAAAAAAAAATCTTTCATTTGTTTGACACACACACATATATATATATATATATATATATATATATTAAAATCTTTTCCATACTATTATGACATAAATTTAAGGTATTAGTAATGTCACCAAAAATTTTACTACTACTACTACTCCCATCCAATACATGCCAGCTTTGTTTAATATCCTTCAAACTATTTGATTTAACAAATTTAATGTTTAGAAAGAAAAGAATAACTAAAAAAATATGCTCAGTAGGTGGTAGATTATGGTGGTAATAGCAAAAATTGTGGTGAGATTAGCAATGTTCTAAATTTACATCATTGGATAAAAATTCTTAATATCTTTTTAATTTTATATATGTGTTTTAAAAAGATACTTACAACAACCATTTTTATTAATTCTTTTTACAGTTTATAAATTAATTATTATAATAGTTTATACATCAAACTTTGAAAAGTTTTTCTAAAGATTCAAAAATAAAATTTTAAAAAAGTGATATGTTCAATAAATTTATAATCAATTTGAAATCCTACAAATTTCTCAGTTTAGCTATTAGAAAAATAATATAAGTTTTATGATAAGTAGATAAAAATATAAAATTTTAATAAGAAAAAATATAATAATTAAAATTATATTTTCTAAACCTGACCAGCAAGGTTGCACTATAACAAATAGAGTGTGGTATGAGATAATTCTTCCCATGCCAACCCTTTCCTTATATACTGGTACCAAGGTACCAAGTGCTACAATCCATATGGGATATCTCCTAGGACCAGCCCTCCCCTTGTATTCTAATGTACTATAGACCAACACCCTATCTTATGGGATATCCTTAACAACACTTGTACTCTAATGACCATTAGCAACTACTTAAAGAGTTCTATTCTCAACACTCCCACTTTGCTATTGGTCAATTAGCTATCAATCCTAATGCCTTACTCAACTTGTTGTGTCCTTCTCTAACTAAGGCTTTTGTCAACAAATCAGCCAACATGTCTTTGGTTTCACAATACATCATATCAATAACCTCCATCTCTATCTTCTCTCTTATGAAATGATGCTGAATATCAATGTACTTAATTCTTGCATGATGCTTTGGATTCTTTCCAAAAGCAAGACATCCTTGATTGTCACACCTCAATGGAGTAGCTTCAAATTACACAAGTTCAATATCTTCCAATAACAACCTCAACCAAAATGCCTCCATTGCTTCATGACTTGCTGCCAAATACTCCGCCCCTATTGTGGACCTTGCAATAATTGGTTGTCTATTGTTATATAAAGATATGGCTCCCACTCAAACAAAGAATACATAGCCCATTGTTGACCTTCAATCGTTTGCATCTCTCTTAGTTCTAAGCACCCACTTACATCCAATTGTTGTGGAAAGATGTGGTTCTTTCACCATTCACCTTGTGGTCTTCTCTCACGTGTTGGATATCTTCTTTCATGCAAAGAAGATGAGCCTTCTTGCACCTCTTGCTGCCTTGTATGACTCATGGAGTGCTTTCTCTTACTCATTTGTTGGTATTCTTCATCTTCATTCTCTTCATTGTCCTTGTTGTATCTTGTTGGAATTGAAGTCTTCATAGTATTGGGCTCTTCTATCATGGCATCTTCCTCTTCTTCTTCACTTTGAGAATGCTCTTCTTCATCTTCTTGTTTATTTGCTAGAATTGAAGATGTGTCCACAAACACACCACTACTCCCACTTGGACACATCTCCCACTTTTCACTACCACGCATAGATGGTGTCCTCATGGATCCACAAACATCCGAATGCACAAGCTCCAGCAATTGGTTTGCTTTTGTTGCAACTCCTCTAGGAAATGGTGTCCTATGTTGTTTTCCTTGAATGCATCCCTCACAAGCAAGATTCATGGTAGAATGGCCAAGGTCTATGCCATTTACCTTGGATTGAATCCCCTTCATGCTTTTGGCATTCAAATGCCCAAGTCTTTGATGCCAAATGCCCATCTTTTCTTCATTTGATGGAAATTCAGCAAAGGCAGCAACCTCCACTCCATTGATCTTCTTGCAATTGATAATATAGAGATTGCCATTCCTAGTCCCTTTTGCTACTTCTTTGCCTTCCATGGTTCTCACAAAACATCCATTCATGTTAAATTGCACTTTGTACCCATGAGTTACAAGTTTACTCACCGAAAGGAGGTTCTTCTTCATCTTTGGCACATGCAACACATCTTTGAGAGTGATTCTCTTGCTTATGCCCTTCACCACCACCTCCACTACAATGGTGCCTATTCCAATGGCTTGTACCATACAATTATCACCCAACCAAACCTTGGTTGCTTGAATTGCTTGATAAGTGTTAAATGAACACTTGTATGGAGTCATGTGTTTGGTACATCCAGAATCCACAATCCATTTGCTCATATCAAACATGGAAGGAGTTTTTTTTGCCATGAATGCAAAGTCTTCACCTCCATCATCATGAAAAGCATTGTTGGCATTCTCTCTTTCTCCTCTCTTTGCCTTGAAACAATTTCTAGCAAAATGGCCTGATTTTCCACAAATGTAACAAGTTTTAGGAGGATAATGTTGAAAAGGGGCACTTGCCTTACTTGGTCTTGTAAATAGTGCTGATTGCTCCCCAATAGACTCCTTTTGCTTTCTTTTGGTCACTTCATGGGCTAGTCTTGCCGTGACATAGTCTAAAGTGAGGTCTTTCCTTGAAATGGACTCCAATGCCACAATGAGGGAGGAATAGGAGTCCGGAAGGCTTGAGAGCAATGTCATCACAACATCTTCTTCAAGTAAAGGCTTGTCAACAACAGCAAGTTGGTTTGCAAGTGCTTTTACCTTATTTACATGAGCCATGAGATCTTCACCTTCTTCCATCTTCACGGTGAAGAACTTTTGCCTTGACCATAGCACATTGGAAAGATTCCTACTCTCATAGACATTGCAAAGAGTCTTCCATGCATCTGCTGCTCCTTTGCAAGAAATGACATGAGCAAAGTTGGTTTCATCTAAGTTGGTGGCAATTATGCCAAAAGCCTTCTTTTCTCGTCTTTTGAAGTCCTTTTGCTCCTTCATGCTTGCCTCTAATCCAGGTGCCTCTTCCTCCTCACATACTATCTCCCAAAGATCCAATGACGCCAAAAGTAGCTCCATTTTGGCCTTCCAGTGGTGAAAGTTGTCACCTCTAAACTTTTCTATCATTTTCAAGCTATCACTCTCAAAAGATGCCATCTCAAGCTACAAGTAGGTCCAAAAATCTCTTGATTTGGAGTTGTAATGCAAAAGATATGACTACTCAAAGATTGCTGAACTACAAACTCAGAATTCGCTGTTTTGCAACTTTTTGCATACTTTGAGTCCAAATCACGTCTAAATGGTGGGAAAATGCTATGTCATGTAATTCTATGGCTTTCAAACATCTCCCTCACATCACCTCACTCAAAATGACTCAATTTCTCATAAAACTCTCAAATACTAGTGTTACTTCAGCAAAGACACTATCAAGGTCTTGCACTAACCTCATACACTCACAAATCCAAGAGTAATGACTTCAACAAAACACTAGTAATACTATACCATAAGATCTCAACCACCAAACAAGCAACAAAGAAAATAAAATGCAAGAACAACTTACTTGGTAAGAGAATGTGGGGTGAAATATAAAAAAAAAATTCTTATTAAAATTATAAAAATATAAAATTTTAATTTTAATTTTAATTTTAATAAATTTTAAATTTTAACATTTTAATTGCTCGCTTTTGTGGCATACTTATAATAAATAATGCACAATTATAAGTAAAGTTTGGATGTAGAATCATAAAAGTAATAAATATACTTTTAAATAAAAGAAAAATTAAATGTTATAAATAATTTCACTTAGATATTATAAAATTTTAAATATAAAAATCTAGATGTTTTATACTTATCTTTATAACCAATATATATATATATATATATATGCTTAATTTGGACCGTCATTCAATACATTTATATATATATAAAACTACAACTTTTAAACTAATTAATTTTTGTTTTTTTTAATTATTTTTTTGGTGCTATGGCAAGAGGCACACAATAGTTACAATATTCTATGAGGAATTTCTTCTCACGTAAGCTTATTCTTATTATTATTATTATTATTAATCAAAATAAAATATAAAATAAAATCACTTGTTGTAGTCTCATGTATCTTTTCTTTCATCTTATCCACCTAATTATCTCGCTTTTCATTATTTCTGAATATATTCACAATTAATATATCTGACTATTGCTATCTAAGCAATGACAAGGTTATGAAATACACACACAATTTACACAACGAAGTTTTCAAGTATCTAATTTCATACACTAAATTATGTATTTAGTGTAGGCCACAAGATAGTACCGCCGGTGCTCTTAAACCACAGATTCACTAACGGGGCCTAAGAGCGCGGCCTGAGTGGGGGGTATCCAGGATTAGGGTTTCGTCGGGAGGACCATGTTAGGCATCGTCGCGACGTCGCCGCAGCGCAATCGAATTTTTTGACGCGGGCGGGAGAGAGTTATCCACATCGCAGATGGAAATTCACGGCGTCAGCGGATGGATTTGCGTCACCCACCAACGCACACTCCTCCTAACCCAATTGCAGCTGGGGCTTGTCCATGCCGCAACATGACCAGGGCGTCAATCCAGTGACGTGCGGATTTTTCTCTTTGACCGTACCTCGTGTGTAAATTTCTGCGTCGGAATCGGTTTATCGCGCCGTTAAGAAGAAGGGGAAACGAATCAACGCTCGCAGCGGACGCGAGAGAGGCGGTTGCTTCCCCGGATGTGGATCCGACGAAGCGGAATCGCGAGCTTGAAGTGGAGGTGCAGACGAGCAAAAGGGGGAGTCACTGGATCGGCGACGTGGCCTGCAACGGGATCAGGAATTAGTGCACGGCGCTGCCATCGCTGCCTTCACACAAGTAGCCACGGCGAGGCTTGGCTGTCCTGCCTCCTCCCCTACCTCCCCTGCCTCAACTCGTGTTTCCATCTGCCTGGGTCCCCCGGCTTTTCTGACCTGGAGTTTCTCCTCTCCCGCACCGCACCACCTCCCTTTTTCAATCAGCCTCTAGTCATGCAACAGATCCAACACACCCCCATTGCGCCATCGTTGTAGTGGTTAGCGCGCAGCTTCAGCCCTCCCCTGGCCGCCTCAAGTGCCCACCTCCACCCACTGCCATTAACATATATTAAATGCGAACAACGTCTTCGTCAAGTGTTCTTACCGCGCAACGACGAATTAGTGTGTTACAGGCCAATGCCAGTGTTGCTCTTGCTATTTGCAGGAAATTTAGTGGAGATTGTGGAGTGAAGTTGAAGGATAAGGTTTTTTGACGGTTGTTCTAAGTTGCCCCAGTTCTGTAGTCGCTTACCGGGTGTAACCCAGTCCGGAGGTTGTCATCTCGGCGTGGTGTGGAAGGCACAGACGGAATCTTTTTGGGTACCCTGGGCTGTTGTTTGAGGAATTGTAGTTGAAGAAGGAAACAGAGTCGAAGCTGTGTATGGTGTTAGTCGTTTCTCGGCGGTAGTTTCCACCTCCGAGGAATTGTGTGGACTTGGTGGAGTTTGTTGAGGTACTATTTAGAAAGACGTGTCATATAGCAGGTGATGCGAGCTCGCTGAAGTTGATTCTGAATCAATCGCCTCCAATTTTGGGTTGGAAAACTGATGGCCATGACCGCTCTGTCATGTGCCGGTTTGCCGGTGGCCTCTTCACTTGCAACTTCTTACATCGAATGTAGCGCGAATGCTTCCTCTGCTCCCAGAGATGTGAAGCCGAGCACGAGCGTAAGCAAGGCTGCAATGGAGCCGTGCTTTGTTTGCAGGCACCCAGCCGCTTCCGGCTCTCGGAATTCGCTCGGACCGGGCAGGACGACAGGGCTGAACGGCAGCCACAGAAGCGAGGATAAGAGTAGACGCCGGCTCGAGACCGTGCCACAGGCTGCGCCACCAACTCTGAGTTTTCCTGAGAGAAACTCCATGGCGAACTTGGAGACAGGCGCTGTTCCTGATATATCTGGTACTTAATCCTCTTTCGCCTCCAAACTAATTCGAAAATTCCTACCAGCATCCAATGATAAGAAATAAGTAGTTCAATCAACCATCATGCGATGGTGAATAACAGTAAAGTGTTTGTTTTTGTTAACTTGTCGACTATTATCTCGAATAAATGCAGAATTGAATACTTTCTCAGGACGGAAGACTATGAATGGTGGTGCTACTTCATTGCCGAGTACAGACAAGGCCGAAGGAAAGTCGAAATTAACCTTAGCAGACTTAGTAAACCCTGTTTCAGACGACCTGAGGCTCTTAAACGATAACTTGCAGAAGGTTAGCACCTGCTCTTCCTTGCTACTGTAGGGAGCTCTTTTCAATTTCTGTAGAATTAATCGTCTTTAGTTTGTATTATTATTATTATTATTATTATTTCCTCCAGTTCTTGGCGAAATAGGTTCACAATATTAATAATCCGGTTGCGCAGCTTCAATGGAACATAGCGTAATTTCTATGTATTACTTGTTTATTTGCGAGCAGTTTTTCCTCCAGACTGTTCGCTTTAGCTATCGAAGCTGTTGGTTGTTCATGACGTGTCGTTACTATCAATCAAACAGTTTGAGAGATATTGAATGCGGCTGTCGTGTGGCAGATTGTGGGTGCCGACAATCCCATGCTCATGGCTGCAGCAAAGCAAATCTTCGGCGCTGGTGGAAAGCGAATGAGGCCTGCTTTAGTCTTTCTCGTCTCGAGAGCCACTTGCCAACTCTCCAACATACAGTATGTTTACGCCTTCTTTACCAACGTGTAACGTTTGTTGTACCAGGATTGTGTTTGTTATCGTGTATTTAAAGCTCTATCTCATGAGCCTTTGGTGTTCAGAACGAGTTCCAAAGGACGCATAGAACTTTCATCCTGTCTCTTCCATATCTATGTAGTAGAGATGAAGAAGTAAATTAGCTGAAGTTGGCTGACTAGTTATTGTCCATCTATGTTCAGGGAGTTGCGGCCTCAGCATAGACGCTTAGCAGAAATTACCGAAATGATCCACACTGCCAGTTTGATCCATGACGATGTTTTAGATGAAAGTGACACAAGGCGGGGTGCGTATTTCCTCTTCACTTTCAATGATGTACTCGCACATGTACAGCTTGAATTCATCTTGTGCATTATTTGGGGGCCCGTCTGGATGTCAATTATCAAGTAACTTTCGTCAATTAACTCTAGCTAGTGTTTTGATCATGCTGAACTCTCTGTTCTGGTAAACAAGAGAGTTCTGGATTCAGCAAGAGATTATATCATGGCCTTTTCATGTTGAAATAATAGTATCCATTCTGTCTTGTACAGGCAAGGAAACTGTCCATCAAACGTTTGGGACACGAGTTGCTGTACTAGCCGGTGACTTTATGTTTGCGCAGTCTTCTTGGTATTTGGCTAACCTCGACAACCTGGAAGTTATCAAACTCATCAGTCAGGTAGGCACAGTCTGCTTCGGACTGGTGGCACTAAAACACTATGAATAATCAGTCACAAAGTTAGGAAGCGGGGTTTTCTGTTCCCGTGTTTTTGTTTTTTTTGTTTTTCCCCCCCTTAAAGCTCGTGTGGTGAAAGCTTTAAAAACCACCGTGATAGAGGCTATTTGATCGGTCTCTGATCACCCAGCTTTGTTGGCTTGTACTTTTAAAATCAACGATTCTATCTTTAATTGTTGCATATCTGCCCTGACAGGTGATCAGAGATTTCGCAAGTGGAGAGATCAAACAAGCACAGAACTTGTTCGATACCGAGGTTACGCTGCAAAACTATTTAGATAAGAGTTACTACAAGACCGCGTCACTGATAGCTTCTAGTACTAAGTCGGCCGCCATTTTTAGCGACTCCACCCCTAGCGTATCCAACGCCATGTTTGATTATGGGATGCACTTAGGTCTCGCCTTCCAAGTGGTAGACGATATTTTGGATTTTACACAGACATCAGAGCAGCTGGGGAAGCCTGCAGGAAGCGACTTGTCTAAGGGCAACCTTACTGCACCAGTTTTGTTTGCTTTGGAAAAAGAGCCTGAGCTGCGGGATCTAATCGACACCGAGTTTACTGAAGAGGGATCTTTAGAAGCAGCCATTGCGCTTGTACACCGTGGTGGTGGGATTGACAGAGCTCGTACTCTTGCCAAGGAGCAAGGTGATTTGGCGAAAAAATCCTTGGAATGTTTGCCTCAGGGAGATACCAGGCGATCGTTGGAAAGGATGGTGGATTATGTACTGGAGCGTATATATTAGGGACGTTTGGAGGACTAATTTGACGACTCTTCGGCGAACTTGCCGTTTGTAACAATAGTGAAAGCCGCCCCTCCCGCATTTTTTTTTTTTTTTTTTTTTTTTTTTTTCCCTTCTTTTTTCTCCTTTTCTCCCTTTTATTGGGCACCCTTTTCATGTGTAGTTTAAATTCATTTGGTTTTGCCAAAAGGCAACGTAACATCAATATAATCACGCGTTCTAACATCGAGGAATGTCCAGATTTTCTGAGTTGGGTGCATCGTAGTAAGGTTACCAGGATCGACTAGTCGTGTGCTAGTTTGTTTTATTTTAGACCTGGCGAAACGAGCGATTGTTGGTCCCTTTAGCAGCAATGTATTTTTATCTGGAGAGATTGATCTAGCCAGTTGTAACTGCAAAAAAAACACCGTCAATTAAGATTGCTCTATACTTTTTACCGGGAATATTTCTGCACCGGAAGTCATGTTTTGTCGATGTGTCGCTGCTGCTATTTCTCGAACGTTTGGTTATGGAATACCACGTCATCAAATCCTGTGTCGACAAAGTTTTTGGGTGAATCGTGGCATGTACACTTGGTAAGATCATTACAAAGAGCCGCAGCGTGGCCTCTGAAAGTTGGTTATCTTCAAAGATGCTTTGTATTTATTGACGTTCATTGGCGTTTTGAGAGAAGCTTCTTATAAGAAATGTGCATACCAGATGCATCTGCTACTGCATGTTTTGAACTTATGTGTGATCGACAGACCTCATCGCACAACTCGATAAGATCCGTGAGTGAACTCCACTTTTCAGTAGCATCCTACAATCATCCAGCAACAACAGGCAACCAATCAGCCATCGAAAACATTTAAAATAAAATATATATTCCTAGTCTGTTGATGTCTGACAGGTTGCAGTGTCCAACCACGACCTGACACGTTTCTAAACTATAAACAAATTGTCCGACTGCAAAGACCGTCTTAGCCTCTTCCACTGCGGAAAATGTCATAAAGAAAAGAACAATAGTAATAACATCAATAATTCAGCTGCATCAAAAGATCAATACATCCATAGTCCAAAATTTCGCACGCGCTCTCTCACCGCGGCCACCAAGTTATGGAACAGAAGGAAAACATGGGAAAGAGATTGTAAGAACATGACATCGCAGATGGCATCAATGATTTCACTGTAGTTTAGATTCATTCATTACGAGGCATCCGACGAAACGAGTATGGCAGGGGAAAACCTCGAGATGTGTGAAAATCAAAGATAAATTGCCACAACTCCAATCTCCGAAATATGTAAAATTTTGACTGCAGAAGTCAGAATTATTCCTCGAGCGACGTTCTCGCCCAATCAGTATCTGTATAGTTTGATGTTAACTCACCTAAGTGGGTCCGTCCTCTTACTCAACAACTCTATTTTATGTGCCTTTGTGACTTAATGGAGGCCTTCATCACCCTACCACATATTTCTTCAAATGTAATTTTCTTTGTCTTTTTGTGCTCGTTTGACGAACCCGATTACATTGTTTTAGTGGTGCTGGTGAAAAGGTAGCCAAAATGTTGTCCGGAAGAGAAATTATTTATTTTTAATTCCATTAACCTTTTAAAAAGTCCCATCCTCTCATCCTGCCTCATAGCATCACATAAACAAATCAAAGTGTCGTGGGGGCATTTGGTTGCGAAGCACAAGGAGAGATAATAAGATTGAGGTGGTGTTGAAAAAAGCGGAACAGTGATTCCCACAATACCATTCGAAAAAACAGGAAATGACGACAATTCGCGATTTGACGGGTATTTTACAACCAGGAGCAGCTTTATTTGAGAGGGGGAGGGGGGGATCACAACTGATCGGCTCTAGGAAGAAGGCCAATTGGCAATTCAACGAACGACAGAATGCCTGCGAAGACTCAAAGCTTTTTAATTTCTTTGTTTCTTTTTTTCGAATTTCTCCATTTTCTAAGCTATCGATCTAGTTTACAACTGTGCAGGCATACATCACACGAAACAGCATCTTGGCGCTGGTCTCATCCGTAGAATCATGAATGCGCTAAGACAGATTTTGTACAAATGTGAATTCGCCGTGACTGACCTTTGGTTTATCGTCTTAAGAGGTTCACCCAATCCGCGGAATCGCCGACCAACTGGTGCAATATTTTCACACTTGTTGATCGAACCGACACTTCGACAAGAATCATTGTACACTATTTCTGCGACCAAAGTAAGATCTGATTGGCACCGAAGCTAATGTTACCTTCTCGATAAGTGGCAGTATCGCGAATTGAGCGGTCCCTGAGAGGAAGAGCATCTTCGAAACGCCACACGATCATCGAATGTTGTGATTTTTTACACGGCAATCTCTCTCCCCACAAGAGACCAGTCGTCTTCCCAGTCGCTCTGGCAGGATTCATCAGCATCCGAAAGCTCAATACCCGACCAGCTGCAAGCACTCTCGGCCACACTTGCCGTCGAGCACACGGCATCGATTTCCGTTTTGAACACCTCAAACTCATTCTTGAAAGACTCGAAATTGGGCACCTCACCATCACTGATATCGCCATCACTGTCCCCAGTGAAAAGCGCTTTCAGCGCATCGTGCGCTTCCTGCCCGTCGAAGATCGCCGTGTCAGCCTTCTTACTCCCACTTTTGGCGTCCTCTTGGATATGTTCCAGAGCAGTATCAATCAACAGAGAAATCGACAACGCCCAGCCCTTCGGATCCTCCACGCAATCGTCACGATCGTTACCTTCTACATCATCGTAATCGTCGGAAGCCCAGTCCGTGGTCGCATCCCATTTCAGAAAAGGTCGTGCAATTTGACGAGACCCATTGCAACGAACACCGAGAGAAGAAGGCTTGCTCACGCGCCAGTCGGACACCTGATGGGTGCTGGGAATATCAGACACGAGTCGCTTGATCCTCCCTTTCCCTTTTCCTCGAGATTTGTTCAGAGGTAGAGAATCGTGGCAACCCGAGCATCCGACAACCTTACATTTTCCGGTCACTCTGGAATGGTTCGTGGGTTTGCCCGCAACACGACCTTCCCTCCTCATATTACTACTAACTCTTCCTCCTCGCTGCGCGCTACCGCTACCTGACTAAATTCCTCGTTCGCCTCCTCTTGCCACACAATCCCTCCAATTTCTGATCGGGTGCGAGGCTGGAGACAAGGTAATGACACAATTTTCGTACTATACAATCGTGGGCGATCAAACAAAGCAGAACTGTACAAGCGGGGGCCAAATTGAGCAGAGATTTACACCGGCTTCACCACACTAAGAGGGATCGAAACAAGGAGCCACTACATAAACAAACGCAACCAAAAAACGAAGACCCACAAAGATTGTCAACGCAGCGACACCTATCTTTCACGACAACTCAGAGAATGCTTCCGGAAGACGGGACGCGCGCACAAAACACCCGATTTAGGCGCCGAGTAACGTGTTCAAACAAACACGTTAGCAAGTGAAATCGAAAAGCATCAACAACTCACGGCGCACAAAGTTACTCAGTGCGTCAATCCTATCCCTGACCCCGGCTACTTATGGCCAGGTATACTTCACTAGGAATTTGCAATCAGCGATGCTTTAATTGTGGATTAACTCAATACCCTTCTCATATACGGCCGTGGAATCCAAGGAAGTTAGTAACGTGCATCACACTCCAGACTGAACTCGTCAGTGTGCAGTTACAGTGTCTCCAAAGGCATCCGTATCATCGCATCAAAGTCAAACTGTCCGCCTTCTTCTTCTACCCTCTCCGAATCGTCACTCCACCCCCCACCCACTCTCGCCACGCCTTCGCTGAAAGGCGATGGCACGCATCCCTCAAAACCTGTTTCACCATCGCCATTCAATTCGTTCTCCCCGTTCGCCGGGCTTAAACGAAAACTTTATCAAGTTACTGTAACAACTTTTCAATCTCCAGTCAAATCCCCGAATCCTTCCCACTCACGAATTCGGTGCCATGGATTCTTCCCTGGTGAAATTGAAAGGTCGATTACACGGTGTGGAACACACACACCGGCCGGATTGGTGATGCCTCCCAAGTGATGGACTTTTTCGCCCGATTTGGCGTAAAGCCTCCCAATGGACGTCCTTCCGAAACCCAATCGATCCATCGAACAACCGAACGATCGATCGATCGATTACTCCCTGCACCCAGCACATGCTTCGGATCTTCCACGAGGGGATTCAGTTCAATCGTAGCTCTCGGTTGGCGATTGGGCGCAATCGGCCCCTGACCTTGTGCAGCACTTTTTTAGCGTGATCGGAGTGATGAGAACTAATCGTCGTCTTCTCATTTCGTCAACTAACGATCTGTGAACTCACTGCCGCGCATCGATGGTATCAATGGATCGTGCACCCCCCTCCAAGGCAAAGCCGACGTCGACGACAACGACGCAGGACGTGGTGAATTTGAACAGGGTTTTCTAGATGAATACATGTATTTGTTTGAGTTTTTTTTTATTTAATCTATTCGCCTTCGAAATTGGGTTTTTGGTTGGAATCAAATAAAGTGCTTTTTCTGTAGAAGCGTGGAGGGTGTTGTTCCGGTTGGATGTGGACAAGTGGATAGTCCAATCATTCTGTTGGAAATTTGCAGCTGTTTTTTTTTTTTTTTTTGTTAACATATCTTTGTGCTTGATTAGTTTTTAGATGATGAGAATGACTGCTAAGTAAATAGGTGCCTTTCTTTAAGTATTAAACTAATAATAATAATACACTAAAAGGTTTGATAAATTAAAACTGGATAGAATCCTAGGTTTTGTCTAATGAGATCTATCATTACAAGTGTAAATCAAAAGGATTTGATAACAATCACTAATACTATAAGGCGTTTTTTTCATCGAAAACCATCCAAATTTATTATGTTATAATTCTTTACATATCCTGTTAAACTGAAGAGTTTAGTGGAAAGAAAAGTAGACTGGAGTTGATTTGCCATTTTAAGTTCAACTAACCTTTTAAAAACTGTAATACATTTTGAACTAAAAAACATAAATCTTACAAATCATCATTATTATTTATTTTAGTAGAACCTTATAAGTATATGTATATATACACACACACATATGTATATATATATATATATATCACTTTTAGTAAGAAATAAATAAGTTTACTGTCGTAATGGTGAAAACAAAAACAAAAATAGTTTACTGTCATGGATATTGTTTGTAGTTGATTGTAGATAATATATTAATGTAAACTCTTTAGAAACACATAAAATCACCCAAATAATGCATCTAACACCTACTGTTTTAATCTTTGAGGCAAACTTAGAAAACTGTAATTTTGTATTTTTTACAGAACCATTGTATTTATGTCTTATGTACATACATGGTAATATGTATATGATATTTTTTTTCGCTTTACAACACAGAACTAAGTTGAATGGTTTCAGACAATGCAGGAAAATATCACAATTGGGGTTTTTTTCTAACGTACCCTGCGTCCTCAGTGTCAAGTGGCTGGAACATGGGGATCAACGCCAAAGGAGCCAAACTCCATCACTGCCTTCATCTCACTCTAATTAAGCTTGGTGCATTGATCAACATAACGAGTGGCAATTAATCCAGTGATATCAAATCGGAGATGACACCAACTGGGAGTTCCTTGCCCTCATTTTCCACTTTCGATCAATCAATGATCCCTCACACACCGACACTGCCTATTCAACATTGTCTTTTCATCACCCTTCTGTTGTATCTGTCACCGATGATACTAACCTCAGCTGCCAATTTCACTGCAGTGAAGTTGCCTTGGTTTCTGTCTAGGACTGTCAATGAGAATTGAGGTCCTTCGATTGCCAATTGGGGTCTGGTGAAGAAGCTTCACAACTCCTCCTTGCTAGTGCCCTCAACTGTTAGTAATCACCGGATAGTGGACATTTGTTTCCCTGTATCGTGGAAGGTGATCAAGGTTGAAGTAGGAGCCCTTGTCAAGGATCTTGCAGAGGGAACCCACAAGCGAAGTCGCATAAAAACGCTTTGCAACACTATCAGAGTCGGGACAACCACAGGTCCCAGATAAGCATGTCCCAGCCGAATGGGTCCCTCCCACTGTCGCGGCCGAGGCATGATTCCTCGTTATCCTGCATCTTCGGTACTTTCTCGGTTCAGGGAAATTGAAATATTATCAAATGTGCGTCTTTCCAGTTTGGAGCAACTGATTTCGCATTCCGTGCAAAATGTACAGCTGTGGAGAGCACAGACGAAGATTGAAGTTGCAAAGGTGTGCAGAGACTTTCTCAACACCAATTTGGACTCAAAATCGTCCAATTGTATTCGTATTTGGCATTTGGAGAGTTACAAGACCACTTTAAACAGTAAACAATCAACAGTTGATTTCAACAGCGACAAGAAGACCGCACGAAAAGGAGGGCATCAATCACAATTTCAGGTCTTGAGGCACACTGATTTCAAGCAAGTACAAACTCACAGACATGAGTGCCATGCCAATGAACACGGACGCAATAGCCTGCCGGCGACCTGCGTACTCCAAAGCTAGTGGCACCATCTCGTGAAGCGTTAGAAATGCCATGATCCCTCCAACTCCTGCCAACAAGCCTTCCAGAATGTGATGCGGCATGCTCTGTGGAAACAAAGTAGCAACAATGATCACTCCCAGAGGTTCTGCCAATCCAGAGAAAGCTGCCAACTGAAACGCCTTCCACTTGCTCTCCGTAGCGAAGTATACAGGAAGGGCCACAGCAACACCCTCAGGTATGTTGTGGAGAGCTATGGCACAAGCTAAACTAATCCCTACCCGTAAGCCTTTGATGGAACCAAGGAAGACGGCAATTCCTTCAGGGAAATTGTGGAGACCAATCCCCACGGCAGTCACGATTCCGCTCATGAGCACTTGTTTTCGCCGTTGGCGCATTAGATGAGGCTTCTCGACGTCTTTGCCTTGTTTGATCCCCTTGCCCTTCCCAGCTGCATCCATGGCCGCATTCTGTTGTGGAGTTAACGAGGGCTCGGGGATCAGGGTCACTACTCCTGCAAACATCAACACGCCCCCGAAGAACCACAAATGCGCTCGAGGAAATCCTATCGCGTTAATGGCGTTGTGCATCAAGTCGTTGAAGGAAATAGAAAACATCAATCCAGCTGCTAGGCCTTGTAAGATGCCGAGCCTCTTGAGGTTAGGGGTTGGTTGTAGGACTACAACAAGTCCCCCTAGGGCTGTGCTAAGTCCGCCCACCATTGTGAGCAGCAGCGCAACCCATACTTGAGACCCAGACGAGATAATTTCATCGTTTGATACACCCATTGATATGCTCTTGCATTCCTTGCGTTTGATACAAAGAAACCCAGCACCACTGCCTCTGCACAGAAAAAAGGAGTTATCAATCGAGACTTGCAGCATCAAAATGCAAACTCCAAGACATGGCACCCTAATTCATTCGGGACGAAATTCTCATTCTCCAATAAAGCCAGTAGCAGAGCTAAACGTACTCGAACAACAATAACCTCCAGTCGAAACATCAAAACATCGAAAAAGAACATAACCATGCAGAGCTAAACCACACTGATCTCTTCGTCCCCTTCCTGAACCCACATAGTTCAGATACCGCGACGAAAGTTGAGAACTTACACACAAAAAAAACAAAAAAAAAAAAAAAAAAAACGACTTCCAAATCGCCGAACTCGTAGTGAGTAGTTGGAGATGAGGAAAGGATCCGAGGAACCTAATTCCTAACTTTGTACCGGCAAATGAGATTCGCAACCCCAAATGAACGTGTCGGAAAAGATGAGTGACAATTGAGACGACCAAGAGGATGAAGCACGGAAGAAGAAGGTCTCTGCGACGGAATCCTTGTGCTTCGAGCACTGTGCAGTAGACCCTAAGCTACAAATTTACGACAAATGCAGCGAGTTTCAGCTTTCTTGCGTCTGGCTTGATTTGGTGACAGTGGGTTCTAAAAATAGGGATGCAATGCAAGACTTCGAACTGAAAGCCTCGCCGGAATCAAGAGAAGAAGAAAGCCACGGTGAATTCGTCCCTCCGAGACGAACATCTCTGGTTCAGATTGCAATCCCAACGTGCAAAAGCTGAAGGCGCAAGACCTATCACTGCTCCGAGTTGACTCACAGGAGTGACGCCGCGACGGGCACAAGACCGTTGCAACAACACCTTTGCTCATTGTTTTTCTTTTATACATATCATGTATAAGGGAATTTCTTTTATACATATCATGTATAAGGGAATTTCTTTTATACATATCATTGTTTCCAAAGTCTATTACTTGAAACGTCAAAGTTTGATCAAATGTGCAAAGTAAATTAATAATAAATAAATAAATATCAGTGTCATAATAGTGAAGCCAAAACACAAATAATGTCTAATTCTTACACTTTTATACTTTTATTTTTGCAAGTATTCTCATGTATTATTGAATCACAATCACTTGAGGAGTTGAATCCGTACAAAAAAATATAAAATGCATGAAGTATCAATGTCATATTGATGATATTTGTTAATTTGGATCATTATTATATCAAAACATGGTATGAAAGGGACTTGATGTTTCTTGAATTTGATATTAAAAATTACTAAAACATTTGTTTTACATCATCATGCCATCTATCTTGACTTAATATTTCGAACCATATCAAAATCATATGTACACATGGAACTGAATTTCCACACTATTCTATCGTTTTCTCATCGTTGGTTAGCAACATTTCTTTTAAATCGATTCTACTAACAATGAAAATTGAAGAATGACAGTTGCCCTCATCTTGCATAGGTTACACACTTGGTTGTTTAAAATGATGCATTATCCTTCCAGTTGTGCCTGGCCAAAATCGTAAGTTGTGCACGTAAATCCAGCCCTGAAATACGTGTAAAACAAGAGAAATACTTTATAATGACGTGGTCTATGACATGAACTATTTCATCACAACTAATATAATTGTCAACATGGTTAAGGTGGTGCGGTTGAACGTCATAGCCACAAACAAAACTAACATTCACACTCGAGGCTTGGGTTCCTATCTCAAACCATAAAGGTTGGGCAGCTTAAATAACTTGGATAAAATTGAAGACGTTGAACTGCAGCTCGATCCTGCCCATCAGTTTATACTTGCAGCTGAGACCCCGTTCGCAAGTTCCGTACTATACGTGCAGTCACAGAAAACGTCAGTAATGTTGATAATCAACAGAAGTGAGTCACTGCTTTAACACATTTGACTTTTCGTTTTCAAGTTGCAGTCGGCTCTTGATTTAGACGGCACCTCTCTTGGTATAAATTGTACTGATTCTCAACACAACACAAGGAAATGGGTCTCTGGTAACGAAACCTATGCAAAGAAATTACAACCATCTGAAAGTGCAAAAACCAACATGAACTCGGCCAACATTGGTGCCAGCGCTGAAAAATGAAATCTGCCTTCGACAATTCACTATCTGAACATATCCTATTCATTACATACGGTGGGTTAAAGGTCCCAAGAGCAACCGGCATTCCTGAATAATTAATTTCAAACAAAACTGGAGAATTAACTTCTATCAATCAGTACTACTAGGCCTCTTCCTTTTCTTGTCCTTCAACCTCTTAGGGTCCAGAAGACCTTTGTCCACCAAAGTCTTCACTTTCTGTTCCTTTCGAGTCTTCACTTTGTCTTCAAACCCACTATCCACAATCTTCAACATAGCAACTCTTTTGGCTTTGTAAACCTGTATGAAGCCGAAATCCACGCTTGTCGTCTTAGTAATCAAAAACTGAGAAATATTAACCTTATAATTATTCTAAAGTGCTCAACAGAACTAGCAAACTGCGTACGACAGAGATGATGAAGGCACGGGCGATAGCGTCGTGACTTTTGACAATGATGCATGAGTTCAACATCTATATGAGTCTAGTCAGACGACCAACACCAGCTTAAATTAACTCCAGTTGTCCACTTCTGAAAGTAAACATACCTTTGTGATTGACTTCAAAACCTTGTCTTCGTCCAATTCATATTCCTCTAGTTTTTTTCCTAAAAGTTCTTCGATATCTTGCACTAGCTGCACATCGTACTGCAAACAATAACCACTAGTCAAACCAACGTAACAAAGATGATACACAGATAGCGAAAATCATTTGCCCAGGCATTCACATACCACCTAACTAATATTCATCGCCAGACTATAATCTTCCACATTAAAAAATGAATACAAAAGATGTGTAACAAAAGGTGTAAAATAATTCACACATATACAACCATCAACGAAAATATAACCACACCATAATTAACAGGCAAGTTCTCGACCAAAATATGGAACATTCTCTCAGTACCATCTCGACTTCCCAACCACCAGATACCCGCGACTGCAAATCACCAAAACTTGATCAACCCTCTGCAAGCATCAACGACACGACTACTTACCTGAGTTATCAAGCTCACAGCACTCCCTCCTCTCCCAGCACGAGCTGTCCTTCCAACTCGATGTACGTAGTCTCTAGTAAACCTGATGAGAGCAATCTTCATGTCAATAGAGACAATACCCAGATATGTAAAAGAAGACTATTACTCATGGTGTGATACAATTAGGACGCTGTAACAACAAGAAAAAAATAAACTAAGAAGGTGAATTACATTCCTGTTTCTAGTCTAATGTAACGAAATGGACGACATGCGGTAACCCGACATACCTGGGAATATCGTAATTAATTACTAAATCAACTGTTGGAATATCCAAGCCTCTACTTGCCACATCAGTTGCAATCAATATAGAAACCTGCCCCGACTTGAATCTACTTAGTGATGCAAGTCTTTGTTGCTGTGTCTTCATCGAATGCAATGCAGTTGTATCCACTTCCAGCTCTGACATCATCAAACTAAGTAAATGACACGTCCTGTGCACATTAAACCTCAAATGGGTTAGATTTGCCTTAATGAAAAGGAGCCAGGACCAGACAGCCAGACATAAGTTTAGTATAGTGGTTATAATGATACTCCCAAGCATATGCAGTAGCCAACACCACAAAGATCGCTTCTCTCGTTAAGTTCGTATTCAAACATGACAGGCACTTCAAAAGTCATTTCTTTCATAGAGAAAATATACAGGAAGAGAAATATTTGTAGGTCAAAGTGATCACCTGCAGCTGGAAGCAAAAATAATAACTGAACGTATTTTCCTCTCTTCCAGCGTGGACATAATGTGCATAAGGTACACATCTTTCACATTAGCAGGTGTTAAGATGTACTGCTGCTGAAGGGCCTCAACTGTTTTAAAGCCCTCGTATTGTTGATAGAAAAAAGCTTTGTCCAATGAAAGGTCATGCAAAGCTTTCAGATTACTCGTCATAGTAGCAGAAAATAATAAGGTTTGTCGATTGCTGGGCATGGTCTCAAAGACACTTCTGAGCTCACTTTCGAAGCCAACATCCATGAGCCGATCGGCTTCATCGAGGACCAAATACTGCGAAGTGGAAACAAAGGAGTTTAAGTACAGTAGCATCGTCACTATAACATTCTGGTATAGGATAAAGAATCCAAGAATATAGATGAATTCAAACCATCTTACTAAGAAATATATCTGCTCAACGCCACAGATAAACCCTGCATACCTTCGCTTTTGCAAAAACGTCGGGAATGCCAGGATCATTCATAAAATGATCCCTCAAACGGCCTGGAGTAGCAATGACAATATGAGGCCTCTGCATAAGAGCTTTGGCTTGCGTAGTCATATCCATCCCCCCAACCACCACTGTGCTCCGCAAATTCACCTCAGAACCTAAGGCCTTAAACTGATCGGAAATTTGAAATGCCAACTCTCGCGTTGGCGTCAACACCAGCGCAAAAACACCATACGGATTCTCGGCTAATTTCTGCAGAATCGGAAGTGCAAATGCGGCAGTCTTTCCACTACCAGTCTGCGCTAAACCAAAAACATCTTTCCCAGCAAGAATCTGCGGCACACACCCTTGTTGTACCAAGGTGGGGCGCTTCATTCCAAGCTCCTTGCATGCTCGCACCAGCCAGTCCGTTAACCCTAATCCTTCGAACGTCGTAATTTCTTTCGCCGCCTTCGCGTCTTCATCCAACAGCGCCGGGGCAGCGGTCTTCTTGTTGCTGGCTGCCGCGACAGCTGCCTTTGGTTTCCGTTTCGAGAACAACGGTGGCGCATTGGAACTCTCCATGGCTGGACCTCAAGCTAGACTTGCAATTCTTTTTATAGAATTACAGCTCTAACGCCACTTCGGAAAACTTCCCCCTGTACTTGCCAATCCCAAACCCAAAATCTCAGCCAAAGCTTACTTCACTGCCTAATCCTCACATAGACTCGACACAATTTGCCGAGAAGCAGGTCTTCAAGCAAGAATTGGTGGAACAGCTCGAATCACACTTGCAGCCTCGAAGCTTCCAAGCTCACATCCGCATCACCAAAAAACTGCGATTAGGTTTCGACTTCGGGGGCAAGGTGGACGAGAACTCAAATTTCGTCATTTCGCTCCGTCATCGTTGTAAGAACGCGTACTTTTCGTCGAATTTGCTTATCATCAGGGAATAGTCGGTGAGTCGAAGCCCTTTCGTGTTAAGTAGAATATCTCATGGCAATAAATAGTTTTTGCATAAGCTCTTCCACTAAAATTTGAACAGTTTATTTTTACATGTTTTATGTCAAGAAGTTTATGCTTATGTACTGTTTATATCTAATGAAACACATTTGTGTTACAAAGAAGTATAAAATGACTTCCATACGAGATCATTGTGTTGTACGCTCCGCAAAACGTGGCCGCTCCATGGAGGAGAGGAAACACCCTAGGGGCACCCGCAAGGGCCCCCCAAGCGCGCAATTAGTTTTTTTTTCTCTGATCACTATAGTAGGATACTAGGAGAAACTAGATTCGTGCTCAGGAGGTCGCCAACTCCACACAGAATCAAGAATCAACCCTAACAACACAGCAACGTGAGAAGTATATGAAATCCTAAAATTATTTTAGTATTCTTGTATTGTTTGATGAATCTTGATTCTCGCTCCATGTTTATCATGCTCCTTTGTAGTAATTAGACTGGTTCTCACATTGTGATTAAAAGATCCGCCATGACAGAATCCGCAGCACCTGCACAAACACAAGCTTGGACGAAGACAATCAAGACAGTTCAAGCCACGCTCTTCCCATCCGGCCCAAAATTGCGACCCAGTCTGGACCCTGATACGATCGCTTTCATCGAAGATGAGGCTCTTACCATGTCCAGAATAGCTTTGATTGGATTAGCTCCCACGAAGCATCCCTTGCGAATTGAACTACAAGAATGGTTGAATGTCAACTTGGTCGAACCTGCGATGGTGGTAACCAGAATTTGGATGCTGACTTATGGATATTTCGTATTGACCTTCAAAGGAGCAGAGGGAGCGACAACAGCTCTTCAACAGAGCCCTCTCCACTTCGGTAAGTACCTCATCTACCTACATCCTTGGCGCTCTCAATTTGATCTTGAGGCACCAAAACGAATCCGTATCCCTTTGTGGATTCAGTTCCTAAGACTCGACGATTTCTGCTACCAAGCTCTTCTGGCAGTCTGCTCCAAAATCGGAGAAGTGGTGTGGGCAAGCAAGCAAGAGGATTATCTGAGAAAATCCTGCACCCCAAAGATTTGTATATTGGTGGCAGACGTCAAAAACATTCCATCATCTATCATTCTACTGATTCCGAGGATGGCTGAAGAGATTGAAATTTTCTTAGAGTATGAAGGTATTCCAAAATAGTGTAGCAAGTGCCTTGAGCTTGAACACGATGCAAAATAGTGTCCTCAAACTAAACGACGGAGGAGCAAGAGTAAAAAAACCGAGCATCTCCTAGCTCCCAAGTCAACCATAGAAACAGGTGTACAAAAATCTCTCCAGGAATCTCCATCAATTAAAGATAGAAAAGCCACCTTCGACAATATTTGCATTACCAGTGATAGTATTGACCTGAACTCTCAGCCAACAGGAGTTCACACCGCAATGACACATCAGGGCAACCCATATACGGACTCAAACCCCCCACCCTCCCCCGACGACACCACTGGCTGGCAACTAATATGCAAAAATGGAAGGATGCTCAAACACCACTCAATCGAGCAACCATTGATACTAGCACCCTCTCCCAGCAAGAAGAGGCTGATTGCATCCAGTTTATTAGAAGAACAAGTGTGAAGAATGCTGAACTTTGAAGATACCTCAAGCACGGGAGAAAAAAAGACTCCAACTGTGATCGGTCATACTCACGACCTCTAAGGAATGAAGAACCCGCTTCTTGAGTCTCATTCATGGTGAGTTACAAGGGACACGTATCTTCCTCCCATCAAATACAGAACCTTTGAGAGCCTCAGGGAACTTTGGGATCAATTACAAGCAGATATGGACACCAACCTTGGCCCTGGAAGCGCAAGCGCAAATGAGAAATAATACAATGGATAAGAGAGTGGCAATTACTCAACAAAGGATACTCCATTTACCATGTTTTGGCTCTCATGGAAGTGACCTCTAAAAACTATCTTTTATTTTGACAAGACTCAATTTCAATGGACTGATGTTGAAGATCTAAGGCTGTATGTACATCCAAATTGAGACCTCTCTCCCAATGACAGCCATCCAATGAGAATGCTAGCATCCCACTAGAAAATTGACTCCAAGGATGTCCATCCAATGATATAAGGCCAGGACACCTTAGCACTAGTCACAATAAACAAAAAACCACATACAAAACATAACTTCTCAAGCTGCCCAACCATGAAGAAATGTATTAGCAAGCTCAATCAACAACATTAATCCTCTCCACCAACAATAGAGTCAAGTCTACTCCTTACTTAGGGCCACTCCACCCACTAGGCTCTAATTGGCTTCATTCTCCTATACTCTTCTTGGTAGTATATAATTGAAATAAGCATCGTCATTGGTGTGGCTTCAAATTAGGTTGCTAAATACATCTTGATCTATCGCATAAGGAACATAGTCAACTAGCTTAAGGTTCATATCTCCCTCGAAGCTTAGAGTTTGGATCATATAATTAAAGTAGCTATTATTTGTGAGATATTACAATAGATCTCAACCAAAAATGCATCCAACTAAGCCTCCTTGCTAATACTTCAACATCTTATTGTTAACAAAAGAAAAATCTTTGAGATACAATACATTGTAGTATTATTCATCCTCCAACACCATGCACTTACTATCAAGTAATTTTGTACTATTCCTATCTTGAGAAGCTATTGATTCACCACTCTTAACCTCCATCAAAGATTGACAAAAATACTTGTGTAGTGACCTAGAATGTATAAGGTTTTTTTAGCCTAATTACAGGTAGAATTAATTGGAGTCACTTTTGTGCTCACCTCTAATCCTTACATATAAAACCAAGCCTAGTCTTTATCCAAACGCATAAAATGTCAAAAGAAATATGTCAAAAAATCCGCACCTTTGGCATGAAAAAAAAAAAAAAAAAAAAAAAAAACCTTTAGAGAGGGACAATATAGAATCCGATCTTAAAGCAATATAGAGGGAGAATTGGAATTCTTCTAAGTACCAAAATGATACACAAACTCATTGACTACAAAGTTATAATATTAGGATAAGCTCAATAGGTAATCTTGAAGATAAAAAATAAACAAATTAGGTTTTTGAATGTCTACGCTTCCAATTGGAGGAGCAACAAAGTAGTATTTTAAAACAAATTAACAATAACCTCTCCATCATTGTATCATCTTGAATACTTGGTAGAAACATCAACATAGCAAAAAAAGATTTCGACTATAGCAAACTTTCTTCCACTAATCTATGCCCAGAAGAACAAGCCAATTGATATGATTTTACAATGCCATATGGTGTCATAGATACTTAATTTTATAACAACTTTGACCACCAAGGATCCTTATCTCTTTTTTTATTGAACAAACAAACATTTACAATCTACTACCTTGCTTGACTAGACCATGTTATGTAGGAACTTGGAATAGTTACAATGGAGGTAGAATCACCATCTTTGATGGCTGTAGCCACTTTTCTTATCATTCATCAATTGAACTAATAATTTGAAAAGCTATTTACAAGAGTGCCAAGGATAAACAATTCAATTTCAATGTATCTTTTTTAGAGGATCTTATCTTACAACAATTAACCAAGTAGTGGATATTGGAGCCTCAACTATTGTAAAGAGAGGAAGAATGGTCCTCATGGTTGATATGAGCACTCTAAAGAATAAAAGAATCTTATCAAGAAGAAGGTATCCAATGTTATCGTATAGTAACACGAGTATATGGTGAAAAATAAAAATAAAATGGATGTTATTATAGAAGAGCCTAGTAGAAAGATGTAGTAGAAAAACAATGATAAATTATAGAAAGGTAGTAATAAGTTTAGTCTTAATACTACCTTTTGTAGAAGGAACTTCTATATACTTTGTAGAGATATAAATAAGCTAAATCAAAGTAAATAAGATAAGAAATCAATATAGGAATGTTTAGGAGAAAATTAACAATATATTAAATTAAAACTTATATAAAATTACCAAAATTTTATATCCAAAGAGGACCAGTTGTTAACATGGATCAAAATCAGATCTTGGGGCTTAAAACCGCACACCTATGGAGACTTAAGGATTCTTTTGTGAATCAAAGAGTGAGATTTGAGATCAAACTTGAAGAGAGATTTTTGAGCATTAATTTCATGTTATTTGGATTAACGTTGAGAGTATAAAGGATTTTCAAAGTTAGTGATGTTCTCAGTGGGTTTAGATTTTAAGAAATAAAAATATGTTTTCAAATTTAATGGTTTTTGAGTTTTATGGTATTTATATAGGTGAAATTTGGATAGGTTGTTGTTGTGCTTGTTGTCAATGTGTGTACAAAATTTGAGATCAATCGAATGCTTAGATTGAAGCATATGAGGGTTTTTGTGGAATATGGTCTTGGAAATTTGAAATTTAGGATTAGTGAGTGATTCTAAGATCTAGCAATATTTTCTATTTGTGTAGAAGCAAAATTTAGAGAGCTCACTTAAGACTTGAATATCTATATATAATCTAATTTTAGAATAAATTGAATGGTATTAAAAAGAAAAATTGGTGTTGAAAGATCAACATTTGAATTAGAGCAGGAGGGTGTCCAATAACTAAGAGGCTTTAGGAGCTTTTCTTACAATTGGTAAGTCCAATTTTTTTCAAACTTTGTGTGCTTGTCAATTGCTTGTTTTTTGAAGTTTGGATATAATTTTAGTTAAGATCTACTATTCAATTAATATTTATTGAAGTTTCAAACAGCTATAGTAATTAATTGAATTTACCTGGGATTTTCTTGGAGTTGTTTAGGATTTAGGATTTTATTAGGATTTGGTCTAGGATTATGGTTTAGATTTTTTTTAGAATTTAGGATTTGTTTAAGATTTAGGATTTCATTAAGATTTCATTAGGATTTGATTTAGGATTTAATTAAGATTCATTAAAATTTTGATTAAGATTAATTTAGGATTAATTAGGATTTATTTAGAATTTATATTTTTATTATTTAAAAAGGATTTTAACTATTTTTTATAAAATTCTATTTTTAGAAAATTTAAAGATTTTTTTTAAAGATTTTTTTTAAAATTATTATTTTAAAATTTTATTTATTATACTTCTTTAAGTTTAAATTATGACTTCTTTGTGTTTCTTTTGTGACTTCTTTTAAACTTATTTTGGTTGATTAAGATTTAATTGAGATTATTAAGGATTACATGAATTTTATTTAACATTCTATTAGACTTGGTAGAATTGTTATTGCATTTCTATTTACCTTCCACAGCTATGTACTCGATGCATTTTCAAATAAGAATACACATAATACAATAACAAGCTCAAGCTTGTTGTACTTGATTAATTCAATTCAAAGCAACATTGGCCTCAATTGAATAACTACTTTATTTTATTCCATAGAATAAATTCTTTCAAAATACTTATACTATTGTGGTACAAGAATTAACTAAATAATTGATTAAGCAGTCTCAATAGTAAGCTATTCATAATTCTTTAGGTTGAGTACAATTCAATCACTAAATAGACAAGAACTTCTTTCATAGTATTTAAAAAACTAAGTTAGCTCTTCCAATCCAACTACTTCATAGTCATGACAAAAGGGAGCTTGATACTAATACTTTTATGGTTGCTTATACTAAGGAGTATTACCAAAAGTTGTTGACTATCCAAGTTATACTTTCATGGTGCATTGCAGCTAGAGACTACTATTGGACTAAGGTTTCCAAGCTCATTTGGAGGAAGATGAATCAAACCTTGACAATTCTATTAATAATAATGGAAATTCATAAAACTCTCAAAGAATTTCTAAGTAGCCAAGCCATTGGAAGTGATGGACTATTAGCAGAATTTTTCATGAAGCTATAGAATGCCATTAGCAACAATTTATTAATTTTCTTCAATGAAGCACTTCAATCATGTGCCTTTTGTTGCCATTTCAACATTGTATTCTTTTGTTTAATTCCAAAGTGTGGTTTTAAAAAAAATTAAAAAAATTAGAGGCCAATCACCCTATTAGGCATTGTTTACAAAATTTTAGCTATGGCACTAACTAATAGACTTGAATCCATACTTCAATGATCTTATCAGACCTAAAAAATTTTTTTTTTTTTTTAAAAAAAACATTATAGATAATATCTTCTTAGTCTTTGAAATCATAGAGTGTATTATAGAATCAGACCAACCCATGGTAATGCTCTTATTAGATTTCAAGAAGACTTATAAAAGCCATGGAATTTGAGTGCCACTAGATTAAGTAGATTAGAGCCCTATATATGAACTCATGGTGCTCAATTGGTCTAAACAACATTACTAGCACACTTTTTAAATTCACTAAGTTAGTACATTAAAGATGCTTCATTGCTCCTTTCTTTTATATCATTATAGTTAATTGTCTAGGTTATCTTTTAGAAAGTGAAGGAGGAATTAATATTATCTTTTTACTAAGTTAAGAAGAGAAAGTGATTGATTAATAAGAAACCAAGAAAATTTAAATCACACCAAACTTATTCTTACCACCTTTGCCACTACAATAGATACAAAGATTAATTGGAACAAATCCAATGCAATATAGATCTCAAAATCTCCTAAACTCATCTCTTAAGGAAAAGAAGATAACTTTATATGGTTAGCACTAAGGGAAATGACTAGGTATCTAGGTTTTATGATAGGATTTCAAGTCTCCCTAGAAAATAGATTTAAATCAACTCTTAAACAAAAATTGACATATTGATGCACTACCAAATTATCTTTAGCTAGTAGAATACTAATTGCCAACCAAGTCCTACTTGCATCAATATGGTACATAGCTTCATATTGGTATCCTCATATCTGATCCATACTCAAGGTACAAGCACTAATATGCAACTACATTTGGTTGGAAGAGAATGGAAAAACACCATATAGAGCTAAGGTGGCTTGGGAGTTTGCAATTTCATCCAAGAAGAATCTTGGAGGTTTGAAGCTTTTAGATCCTGAGCTTCAAATGCAAGCTCTTCTAACTCAACTGCTTGTTAGTGGTCTATTGCTTGGCATAGCATCATGGTAGGTGCTTATTAAGCATTGTATCACCTCACTCTACTCCAAAAGAGGAGGCACATGGCCTCCACACATTCACTTTGTTTTATATGCACATGCAGTCAAAGGATCCGGTTCCGACCTTTTGGTGGACAATTTGGAAGGCATGGACCAAAGTACATGGGTTGGAATTTCAACAATCAACGCATGCCGACTCCACGGCTCGACAGTGTATTTTTTGAAATGCAGAGATACTTGATGATCAAGGATTCATGCTTGGTAATGCCTTATACTTACCAGGGAGTACATGGATGAGGAAAGGGATTGTACAACTGCAGGATCTCTGGCATGAGCAACTGCGAAATTAGAAAACCAAAAGTGAATTGAGCAGCATCGCCGGATCCAGAAACACAGAATAATGGAGAAATGATATCCTAGCAGCAATCCCGGGCCGCTGGAGTATGACACAGCGGCCCTCTCTCACACGAAACGAATGGGTCACGGTACTGGACACATATCATGGATCCAGACCTCATCCAAACCCGCAGTCACCACGAAGGCGCCACCTTCGAACAGTTCAAACCTGATCATTATATTTGAAAGGTAACGGATCCCCTAATGGATATTACCGAATTGGATTTGAACCGATTCGTGTAATCACCCCGAGCTGTGATCTCAAACATATTCATGTTAACCCAAATGTAGCCTGCGATGGACCCATTCGATGCATGGGCCCAGTCAAGTCACTCGAGTTTGACCCCGCGGAATGGAAATGGCGCAAAGTTCCACCTCTCCAAGCTGCTGATTTTTTCAATTATTCTTCAAGACATGGCTACCGAATCACACTGGACAAAGTTCAAACGACCCGACTTCACATCAAACAAGCTGCGTTGGGCCTCACTCCAACAGAAATGTCGGACTCCACGAAGCTCATGTGGGATAAGAACAAACCCGCAAGGTTGGAAGTGTTCTTGTGGCTCCTTAACTCAGGTGTACTCCCAACAGGTAGTTGGGATTCTCCAGCGTTTGGACAATCTGTGACAGGAACACCCAGGAGACAGCGGACCACTGCCTCATGAATTGCAAATTTGCAAGGCGAGCATGGCACCGTTACTCCAACATCCGCACCCCGGATTCAGCGGGGGACGTTCAGCGCTGTCCTATAGAGAATATGGTGTATTCTAGTTTTCTCTCAGGAAGTAACTAACGTCTCGCAGATCTGCCACAGTGACTGGCGGGACACAATCTACGCCGGCATGGCACGTAGAAACCACATTCTTAGTTTTTTGAAGACCTGTGGTAAGAAGCGGCAGACAGTTCTTCCCAAGGAGTTTGACGCTGTTTGGTGTAGTAAAAAAAATTTCTGTGTGGGAACCCTTCGCTCATTACAATGGGTGATGGAACCGAATCTCTCAGCTCTGCCAACCCGTCCCTGGGACCCAGACTGAAGTGTAAAGTATCTAGTTCTTTAATATAACCACCGTTTGTACAAAAAAAAAAAAAAAAAAAGGACTTCCATACCACAAAAATTATCTGGTCCAGTTCAATTGAAGAGACCCATTCTTTTAAAACTGACATACAAAAAGAAGAAAAAAATGTTATCTATAACATTACTATTACAAAATGTTATCTATAACATATAATGTTATAGATAACATTACTATTACAAAATATGAGAAGTCATAGATGACAATAGACATGCTAGATGTTCAAAATTAATATGATTATTGCGCGGAACTAAAAAGTTCCACAACATGGATCAATTATCCACAATAATATAAAAAATATTTCGTAGGTTAAATGTCAAGAACTGCATTTGAACTCTCAGGTCTCCTCTTCTCACAAGCAGCTTTATTTACATCATCACAACATTTAACATCAAATTATCAGGCATACTCTATATTGTGCAAAGAAAAGGAAAAAAAAAAGTAAAAAAAAGGTAGAAAGGCTGAGCCTGTTCCCAGCCTGGCTCGGTCCGCCTGGAGGACACTAATGACAGGCACTGGGCCTACTGCTACACACAAAGGCAACTAGTGAATAAAGAGGAAGAGGAAGAAGTATCGTAGAAACTGCGAAGCGGAATGTGAGTGCGGGGGTGAGTGTGTTCAAGCGGATCCGTCAGTCCAAACCCTAATTTCGTCGCGGGGGCACGGAGTAGATTGTTTACAGACAGACGCAGTGTATTGTATTGTAGTCTTAGGAAACCTGCTGTGGAGGAGAGCAGGGCAGGGGATGGCGAAGAGGAGGGAGGTGTAGGTGATTGAAGGGAATTGAGAGCGGGGAAGGGAGCAATCTCAGCTGGTTACGATGATGGAGGGGCCACAGATGCAACAGGGCCACGATTATCTTCGGGCTCCCCCGGTCCCTGCTGCTACGGCAGCGTCAGCTGCTCCGGCTGAATTTGGTCGTCCTAATGTTATCTTCGATGGTGCGTGTGTCGAGCAATCATGGTTGCTTCTTAATTCTTAATTCTTTGCGATAGTCGCCGTGTGTTGGAACAAATGGTCAGTTGGAGTCTTGATTGCTGTGATTTTAGTTGTTATAATTAAATTTTGGTTTGGATGTGTGTGGACTTGGATTAGTTGCAAGTTCTTGCATCGTGGTTTATAGCGAGGAATTACTGTCGAAAAGGTACTTGGCTAGCCCTTGGGGGGTGCAGGAGGCTCCGTGTTGTGCAAAAGTGGAACATGCGATGAAGAGCAGGGATTATTTGCTCTTTGTACTGCTGCAAAACCTTTTTCATAATCTTAATGCACCAATAACCAATGACATTTAGTCATTCTCTCGCCAAGATAAAGTTCTCACAATCCCCCGTCCAATTTCTAACCGATCCAATAATGGGAATTTAATGTCGCAATGAAGTCGCAAAGTACCACATTGCAACAGAGAATTGATTCTAAAGCAGGTCACATAATCGAACGGTCTATCCGCCACACTAAACCAGTGGCGACATTCACATAGAATGTTTTATGCCTAACCTAGGAGGATCTGTTTTCTGTAGGGAAACGGATGCGGAAACCTGTTCACCGGAGAACTGTCGATTACAGCTCTACAGTTGTGCGCTATATCCAGGTCAGTTACCTCAAATTTGTATTGGATAATTGTTCCTTCTGCATTCCTGGATTCTTGGTATGTCTTTTCCAGAAGCACGTGCATTCTGTCGTTGTGTTGTCTTGCTTTGGTTTAGGTCAATTATTCATTTCGCTAAGATTCAGAACTTTAGTCCGCAACACGATGAGCAGTGATAAAGAATTTTTGCGTTGGGGACAATTGCTCAGTCTAACTTAAACTCTTACGCCAAATCTGCAGAACCGGACTTGGCAACGCGATTGTAGGGATGCTCCTGCGTTGCAACCTACTTCAGCTGCTGTTGTTGATGTGAGTTTCCTCTTGTTTTAGGGACTGGCTGATAGACCATCTTTTTTACATATAATTTTGAGTCTTGCTGTAGAATTCTCTGGGACTTTTTGTTTTCCATCGCATGGTTTGTGTAGAGATCGTGTGAGTAGATTATTTGTCAAGAATAGTGTTACATAGTTACAATGTCTATGTCGGCCAAGTTATATACGCAACCTTTGTTGTAACATGGTGAATTAGAAAACATACTCGCTAAAACAGTGATAGATTACATTCGAGATCTTTAATATCGAAGAATTGTGTGTGGCAGATGCTTCCGACAGTAGCATACCCTGATAATCCAGCGACGAGCTTCACTACCAAGTTTGTGCACCCTTCGACAAATAAAGTGCGGTGCTCAATTAATCGAGTGTTGGTAAATTCTTCTGCTGTTGATGTCGATCTAAGAGGCTAATTTTTTACATTAATGACATGTTCATGTTTCAAACTAGTTGACTGCCTCATTTCAAGTTCATAGTTGCAAATGCAGTGATTTTTTGACTAGGATTTCCAACTGAATGTTCGAACAAGTAGATGTGTGCAGAATAGATTTTGAGGCATATTTTTGGGCTCACAGTGGATTCTTCCAAAGTTTTGAAAGCTTGAGAATATTAGCATATGTTTATTATTCGTAGTGCCTGCAGAAGTTTAGGATGAGGGTGTTCAGGTCAGATAGAATCATATGTACTTCTTGATTCAGTAATATAAACCTCTACTTATTTCATTCAATCACGAGTAATCGATCCAATTAAGCCATTTTCACTTAAGAGATGACAAGCAAACAACGTTTTATATATGTTTGTTAGTGGTAGGATACTTCTTCCTGATCTAGGTCATTAACTTTTGTATGGGGCCCGATTCAGGTTGTCATCAAGTTTTACATGGGATCTTGTGCATCTCATTTGTTGAGTATTCATCCATCTACCTTTGGGGGCTCTTCAGTGCTTCATCTTAAGTAGAAATAATGTACTTGCGTGCATCTCTTAATGACAACTTTGCATTGGTTACAGTGGACGCCAAATGGACGAAGGTTGATTACAGGATCACAAAGTGGAGAATTCACACTCTGGAATGGACAATCATTCAATTTTGAGATGATTTTACAGGTGATTGCCTAGTCCTCAACAATTGTAGCTTCACTCAATATGAATTAGATAAGTCCTGTCCCTAACCACTGTTCTCTGTTTGGAAGGGCAGGCACATGACCTTGCAGTGCGATCAATGGTATGGAGTCACAACGAGAATTGGATGGTGACTGGTGATGATGGCGGTTGCATTAAGTGAGTATTCTCTAGAAAGATTTTTTTTTCAGTTTTTTGGGAAATTCTACCTGAATTGCCAAACTGAAGTATTTTCTTTACTTCAGTCCGTTTTACTTTGCAAAAGATTGCGAATTGCAGCTTTTGTTGCTTCATCACTGTATTCACAATGCAGTGTTGCAGGTACTGGCAAACCAACATGAACAACGTTAAGGCAAACAAAACGGCACATAAGGAGGCTGTGCGAGACTTGAGGTATACATGCATGCAAACTACGATTGAGCATGAAATTAAGTGTACATATACCGTTTTCCTTTGTTTCAGAGTGCAGCCGTGCCTCTTTCCGGTGCCTTGGAGTTTCATTCGCGTACTTTCGCAGCGCAAACATGCAATTTGTGATATTCAATTGGAAAATGTAGATAATTGCTTATTTCTAGACGTCTGCTTTGTGCTCATTACAGCTTCTCAAGTACAGACCTCAAGTTCTGCTCATGCTCTGACGATACTACTGTCAAAGTATGGGATTTTGCTCGTTGTCAAGAAGAAAGGTCACTTACTGGTAAATGAATTTTCTCTTAATGTTCAATTTCGTACATAAGGGGTTCTTTGTCTCTTGCAAGAGGTCGACTACAAGTTTTTGTGGCACTTCTAATTCTTATCATGAGCTTATCTTAACGTATACATTTGGACGTTTACTCTTGGATTCAAGGTTACATTTTATGGAATCTTATAAGACAAATTTCTGGTAGTAAATCACATGAAGTTCAGATCCCAGCGCCGGTTGGGCTAACAAATCAGATTGTGTTTTGTATTTCTACTTATGTGAAATGTGATAAATACCCATGATTGAGTTTATGGAGTGTCTATCTTACAGGACATGGTTGGGATGTTAAGAGCGTGGACTGGCACCCTCAAAAAGCACTTCTTGTATCCGGTAGGTTGATAAACGCAGTGTTCTCATCTGATGGTCGGAGTGTATGTTTGTGCATTTCTATCAAAAAGACTCCAATACAACTGATATTTGAGATGGGAACTGGTGCAGGGGCAAAGGACAATCTAGTTAAACTCTGGGATGCTAAGACAGGACGAGTACTTTGTACCCTGTAAGTTTCTTTTTTCTAGCATGTGTCCTTCGTGGATCACATTGTGTGTGTTTTTTTCTAGTTGAGTAGATGGAGCTGTACAGAGTTGTGAAGTTATGGAAGAGCTGTCTTGGTTTAAGGTAAAGTGATGCTTTAGATTGCCATGAGGTATTTTGTGGCTAGTCTACGATCATACATTGCGCAGCAGATGTAAACTCTTTGGTCTGTCTCGAATAGAAGTAGGCTTTGTAACACGTTGGGTAGGAGCGTACATAGAGCCTAACTAATGTATACTGGGCTTAATGGAAGAATCTTTCATAAATTACAACAATGATGATAATCAAGTTGCAAATCTATACCACGAGCAGAGTCTCTGATGGCAAAGCGGGCTATGAGGGGTAGTTCAAAATTTAAAATTAATCCACTGCTTTTTTGCAGCACTGTCTCTAGTCTCGTTTTTTCTTCTCTTAATACGTTTCTTTTGTCTTTCTATTTAGAGCTAGTATATAATTGGTCTATGATTTGGTTTCTCTTTGCTACTATATGGTCATTGATGCTGGTCTTTTTGCACAGACATGGCCACAAAAACACAGTACTGTCAGTAAAATGGAACAGTAATGGCAATTGGGTGCTCACTGCATCTCGAGATCAAACTATTAAGGTATCATTTTCTCAAATGATGTATTTAAGTTGGTGCTAGTTATGCATGTATGCAGTTTTCTGACGTTTTCTCTTATGTTTGCAGTTGTACGATATTCGCACTCTGAAGGAATTGGAGTCCTACCGAGGGCATCGGAAGGAGGTTACATGTAAGTCTTCTTCTGCTGCATCTTTTGTTCATAAACCTGTCATTTGACAGTCTGAATGGGACGTATAGTCATAATTTTCGTACAGTCTCGATTGTGTTCGTCGTTTTTGACTCTTTGGGGGTTACTTTTGCCTGAATACAGCTTTGGCTTGGCATCCATTTCACGAGGACCTTTTTGTCAGTGGAAGTTATGATGGTAGTATCATCCATTGGCTTGTTGGGTAAGTGCTGAATTTTCTATCTTTTCTCCTAGCATGGATTTATTCGCTATGAAGCTATAAGAAACTTGAATGCCTCTGCGAAATTCTCGCCTGAAGCCCATGCACAAGGTAAAGTAAAGGTCTTTATTTTGAGCAGGCACGAAGGACCACAAGCAGAAGTTGCAAATGCACATGAAAGCAGTGTCTGGGACCTGGCTTGGCATCCGATGGGTCATATTTTATGCAGGTATTGTGTATTTTTGATGATTGCATTTATAATCTCCCTTTTTTGGTTAGTTATGCGTGGATTTCAAACTTGGTGTCATGTAGAGCAAGCGTGACCAGATCTTGTTGAGGTGAATGCAACTGCAGGATTTGTCTAATCCAAACAGCAGTACGTTTTGTCTCATCATGTGTAAAGATAGTAGAGGTTTAAATGATGACTTGGACATATTTTTGCGTTCGACAGTGGAAGTAATGATCATACCACAAAATTCTGGTGCCGCAATCGCCCTGGGGAGACCCTTAGGGAGAACAGACAGAGCAATGCCCATGCACAAGGTAAAGTTGACGCGATAGTGATTATCCTTATTTAGAAAAGTTGCGAGGTGACATGGATTTTTATTTACTGCTTTGGATTAAGACTTTGTTTCACCTGAGAATAATGTTCGAACATGCCATTCAACTTTTGTTGTTTGCGGTGGAAGCAGGAGCTAGTGCAAACGATTCTCATTTACAAAGTCAGAACTCAGGTTCAAATATTGGTAATGGTCCTAGTCGTAGCGAAGGCGCTATTCCAGGTGTGGGTATGGCATTGGAGCCAGTGGTGGCTGGAAGGCTGCCGTTGCCTCCTGCTCCAAACCAGAATCCTAGTCTACGGGGACCTCATCCACCTTCTACACCTTATCCGAATATGTTTCAACAGCCGCAGCAGCAACAACAGCATCAATTTCACCAACACAATCAACAACAGCCTCAACAAAGGCCTCAATCACTTCCTCCACCCCCTCAGTCACGCCCGCCACAAAATCAGGCCCAGCTTCAGCCTCAGCCCCAGTCCCAGCCCCAGCCCCTCCTGAATAGACCAGTTCAGCAAAGCATGATGATTCCAAATCAGCACATGCAGAACCAAATGAATTCTCAAGGTCCAACTGCCCAAGGCCCCCCGCAGCAGCTTCGGCCACCTATGGGACCCTCTCCACCCTTGGGGCCTCCACCTTCCATGCGTAGTGACTACATGCAAGGTGGGCCGCAGGGCTATATGGCACGGTCTCCGGGTATTGGAGTTGTACCCGGTCCTTATATGACAATGCCCGGTCAATTGGTTCCTGGTCCACCCCCTTTGCCTTATCAGGTATTTAACTTCATGTTTGTGCTATTGATATTCCAAGTTTGTACGTTTGTGAAATAGCAGCGCAGGAGTCATTTCAAGGATTCATAGATCAATTTTCTTTCTGCAGGGAGGCGCTCCACCAAACATGATGGATATTCGAGCACATGGTATGAATGTAAGCATGGGCATGAATGTGGGAATGGGTATGACCATGAACATGGGCGTCCCTCATTCTCACCCATCTGGGCCTCCTCCAGGCCACGGTTAAAACCGTCCGGTCTACGCCACAAAAGCTCTGTTTGATATGGCATTGAGCACACCCTTGTGAAGCACGTGGATGAATGGTCCGCCGGTGATTGCATCTTAGTTCAGCAGACAAAAAACTCAACGAGTTCTCACTATCAATGTTGGTCTGTGTTGGGCAACCTTTGGAGGTCATTGTGCAAGTCCCTGAGGATTTTAAGCAGATCTAAAGTCATGTGGTATTGTAGGGCGCTTGCATGATTTTCTGTAGCGGATGTACCCAAATAGAAATGGTGTCTCTTGTGACGAGCCAACCATGAGCATTGCAGGGCAACCAGATAATTGTGCGTGAACATTCGAACCGAGACGAATTGACGGATTATCTGCAGTGTACGAGCGTGCATTACAGATTAGTTTAGAAATTGGTCAAGCCCAGGACGTGGTCCTACCATTTGTCAAAAAGAGGATCTCTTTCAGTTTTGAGAGTATCGAATTCATCTTCCTGGATTCTGCACGATTGTAAAGATTCTAAGCTATCTGGTATTGAAAATCTTGTACGATTGGGACAACGATTAGATTCTGGGGTTTTCTGCATGGGTCTTTTTTATACTTGACTCTCATGATTAATCAATCAAAACTCTGGGTCCAACTCAGATTGTTTATGTTATCTATTTTCTAACCTTTATTCTTTCTAATTCACTGATAAATGCTTTGGCCTTGCGTGGAATATGGGATTTTGAGCAAGGCAAATTGAGCCCATGTTGCAGTTGAAAAATTGTGAACAGGAGAAATGTGAGCTTCAGAAAGGTTTGAATTGATTTATTGGATGAATACATTGGTATCTTGGATGGAAATGAAATTTGTAATCTTGTGATAGCCTTTGTAAATAAATTGCTTCTTTGGAAGCTTCCAAGAGTGTTGTGTATTCCACCTCTAGTATTAAAGAAAACAATTGACCAATGTTTGGTAGATCAGATAATTGGTCTAGAGGCAAGCTTGAATACATATCCAATAGTGGAGCATCAAGTCTCAAGAGAACCAAGGTAATCTACATTTGTGAATCCATCAAGTATAGTCAATTAACTTCTTTATATACTTCAAATTGTGCTTAACTGCTTTTAAGTGTTGTTACTTTGGCATAACAATAAACCTAATAAAAATACTTCCTACCTAGGATAGATTGGATCTTGTATTAGTAGAGAACAAATTTTATTAATCATCTTAGAATGGTGAGTTGTATTATCCAATGAGATCTTTGTATAAGATTAAGTAATAGGTTCCTTTAGTAAAGTAGTGCTCAAGTGAACAATCAACCATACCAAATTCATTCAATATTTCTTGAGAGTAAAAAAATTGATAAAAAAAACATCTTATTATACAGGTATTCAAACTCAATTCCTAATTATTTTAAATTTTTTTCAAGGTCCTTTATTTCATACTTCTCAATAAGTTGTAGTTTGATTTTGGCAATGCATTTGTTATCATTAGGAGTAATAAAAAGATGATTAATATAAAGAAGAAAGATTATAGTAGAAGCACCTTATGGCTTTGTTATATTGTATTTGTACACAATATATAAGAACTATGAAATACATTAGTTCTTGGTTTTTATTTTTTGTATTAAATAAAATACTTAAAAAAATAATTAGGTATTAGAAATAAATAATTTATTTATTTATAGATTAAAATAATTAATGATAATATATTTAGAATAAAAAGAAATATATATAAAAAGATGTATGAATCTTATTAGTAAGAAATGTCATAGTTGTTAGAAAAATTAAGTTTGTAGAAGGAATTAAGATAATTAATTATTAAAGTATCCATTTAATGTGAAATTCGGTAGACATGTTTTTAGTAGGACTATTTATAGCTATATAAATTTTTTTAAAATAAAAAATTAAAGCTTGTGAGAAATTGAGATTTAATTAAAGAAAAGAGATTGGGCATCAAAATTAAGTAGAGGAAAATTGAGGCTTTGGATATCAAGTGGTGGCTTAGGGCTTGTAGAGAAGGATGGATGGTAAGGTACTTATGTGGCACTTAGGAGGTTTTGGATTTTAACTCCCATAGTAGCATTTGAGAGAAGAATATATATATATATACATATATATATTCTTTTAAAAGTCCTCAATTAATTTATTGAACATATGTAGAGGGTTGGTTCTACAATGCATGCATTAGGAGATTATATTGGATGACAAGGGCCATTGTCACCTTTAGGCAGGAGTGAAGAATCTTCATAAATAGTAGCATGATGTATGATGCCTATGCCTTTTATATATTCATCTTCCTAATAAATTGGTATATAGCTTTTCTTAAAAATAAAATAAAATAAAATAAAAAAGACAAGTTAGTAGTGGATAAAGTATGATGACATAAATTCTTTAGAATCTTCAACCTATTTTTTTTCTTTTAAATAAAAAAACTTAAAATAAAATAAAATTTAGGATTCAAGCTTTAGAAGTAGGATTTAGGATTTATAAATAGGGTAGGATTTAGGATTTTGAAAAGATAGCATTCATGTGTGTTTACAAATTTTTAATGAAGGGATTTATTGACAATATGAGGAGAAAAAAAAATTACAAAAGATTTGTGTTTTTATTGAATATTGAATATGTTCTGAAAGTTTTTATAAAAAAATATGGCAATAAGTAGCAACCAGAAGCCTTGTGTTTTCTCAAGGCAATTTCCTTCTCTATAATAACACGATGTGACATCTGGTACCAACCTATATTAGATGGATGTAGTCTAATTTAGTTTAATGAATTTTCATCCACTTAGTATTGTATGTTAGTTGACCTTGTTACTGTTAATAAGGCTTTGAGGATTTAGGTAGAAAAGCCCTACTAACTTGATATGCTTATAAATTACTTTATAATCTTTTGAGTTTTTTTAAAAAAACAAAACTCATGGTTGTAAAATTTTGCTTGACTATGGTGATTTAACCATTTAATAAAGTTTAGGATTTTCTCTACACACTTTTACTCTTCGATTCTTCTTTTGTAGTACGAAAGTTAGCTTAACTATATTGTATTTAGATTTATCATCTTTCTTTTATCTATTGCATAATTGTTTATGATTTTTGAGGCTTAATCTATTGGATATGATAATCTTTATTTATACAAGAACCTTCAAAAGAATAGTAGAAATTATGATTTGATTTACTATGTACTCAACCAATAGTGCAAAGACATGTATAAATTACTTGATATTACATGCAGAATAATTGCTTTAGTTTGTAAATGGATCTAAATAGTTTGTTATTGATATCTAAGATGATATATTGGACTTAGCTCTTGACAATAATCTCAAATGAGAATACTTTTAGGACTAGTTTATTTGATAGAAAAATTGATGTACTACCAATGAAGTAATTTCTCTCAACTGTGTAAGATACTTTATTTCAAAAGCTCTTGACACCTTTGAATTATAGTTGATTGATGCATTGGAGGTAATTGTCAATGCTATAGTAGTATTTTTGTACTAGTGTCATCTTTGCTTGATATTGTGTTTTATAAAATAGATTGCATATTTCCAATTTCTTATCAATGTTATGTACATCTTAGTCAATTGATTGGACACTGAACAAGACAATAGTCACGTTCTTAATACTCATTTGGAGAGCATACTATGGATGTAGTCATGATTTCCTTGATCTTTTGTAGAGTTGTTTCCTTTATAGTCTAATCAATATTACTCATGTGTTAGAATTGCTTTGTTCTTCTTTTTTTTTAGTTAAAGAAAAGAGAAATCATCATCATATTGGTTGTTGCTCAAGAGATCCTTCAACACATATTCAATTGGATGTAAGAGTTGGAAAAGTGAACCATTGGCTTCCATTAGCAAACATTTCTAAAGGCCTTTGTTGAAAGAAATCCAAAGATGTTGGTTTGGCTTGTGGAGGTTGACATTTTGTAGTAGGATCTTGATGAGTACCAAATATATGCATTAGCACGTGCGGTCATGGACTAATTTCTATTGAAATTTCTAAACCACAACTTTCTACTTCTAAAGAAGATTGTAAATATTATAAATATTCAAATCACCTTAGACAATTTCATTGAAGTTTCATTGGAGATGAGGATCTTCGCTTATTACAAGATCCAAGTTGGAGATACTACTTAAATGAATATTCCGAGAAGGAAGGTTATGCAATTAAGATATATATTTGATTTTCTTATTAAAATAATAAATACCAAAAGCCACAAATAAAAAATATATTTTATATATTTTATATAAATATAAATATATATTATTTTAATTAATTTATATTTTTAATTATGTCAATTTATTTACCACAAAACTAATCTAAGTCCTTAGGATTTAATAATTCTACATATTCTATTAACATCCACTTAAAAAAGCATCAAAACTCCAACTACAAAAATAAAAAGTATTGTCAATAAGTCCTAAGCAATCTTTATGCTAAGAAGAGAGCACAATATTCTACCTAGTTGCATCAGAGTTTAATGATAATCAAAAAAAATTAAGAAAATAAAAATAAAAAATAAAAAAATCATCCAATATGCATACAAAATCATCTTTACTTCAATTATTTCTTCAATAATTATTCTTTAAAAATCTTTAACCAACATCCAAAAATCTTAACAAAAATTATCCCAAATTACATTTGATAATTAATAAATACCACAATTGACAAATTCAAAATAGTAATAACTTGATTCAAAATAATTGTTGTCTAAAAAAATACTTTTATTTTTATATTTGTGAATATTAAGTTTCTAGGTTGATTGGAATAAGTAAAACTTTTGGGGCATACAACAGACATTGTAAATTGGTTACATACAAGGGCAGGATGGGGATTTTGTTGACACCCATCTACATTATTGTGGGGAAGAGTTGGGAGAGAAAGTGGGATTATATAGACAAGAAAAATAAAAGGGGGTGGATGCTATGTGACATATGAGTGATGTGAAGATGAAGGATGGGGTGGGGCAAGGGATGAGGAGTTTTGAAAGGGGTGTCAGGTACGGTGCATGTTGGTGGGGATGGGAGTGAAGGGGGCAGGGGGCAAAGGGGAGCAGAATATAGGCGCCTATGATGGGAATGTGAGGGAACGCGAGGACGTTGTGAAGGAGGTTGGCGGGCTTGCAAAAAAGCGGAGCAGTTCTATTGTTGCGCTAGAAGGAGGGGTCGAACCTCCGACCTTGTGGTTAACAGCCACACGCTCTAACCAACTGAGCTATTCCAGCCGAAGCGGCTCGCTGCACCGGCCGGCAATCGAACCTGGGTCTGTACAGTGACAGGGTACTATTCTACCACTAGACCGCCGGTGCCCTACACTCTCGAATCTGCGCTGCCATTTTGCGGCGCCCGAAGATCAAGTCCGCTCCCATGAACAACGGGGTGCCTACCCCGGAGTACACTGTGTCTGAACGACGAACCTCCTGCCCACTTGCTCGCACCTTCACACCCCCTCCCTCCCCCGATCTCGTCTACAGAATGGGGAATCAGTCCTTTGACACTGCAATGAAACCAAGCATTGCTAACAGAAAGATTGTACAATCAACTTAAAGCGTTTGAAAGTTTGTGTGGATCTGCTGTAGGGGTATTATAAAATAATGAGAACCTATCATAAATGTTTAGGGAGAACCACCTTCTAAGGGCTACCAAATCTAACAAGGATTCTGCTGGGCTTACGAGATCTGCAATTTATTATGTTTCCTGTAGCCATTAAAGATATAAAAATCAGAAAAAATAGGAAATCCATAAAATGATCCTGTCATCGGAAGTCCTATGAGACAAGAAACAATAGTTGGTAACCAACCGACGTTGTTTGCATGCACTGTTAGTAGTCCTAGCGGAAAATACTGACAATAACAATCAAGACGTGACTTTCGACCCCCTGATCTGTTCAGAATTACACATGATCAATTAGTTATGTGTGGATAGGAACGTAATAATATCCACGTCTGCAAATCACGGAAGCTTAATAGAGCAAACATGCTAGTTGTGGGAATGATTAGAGGAAGGCCTACTTCTTAACTACAGGGCGATGGGTTGTTGATATCAACTTGATAACACTCTCACGCAGTCTTTTGTATAGGTTTTCTTCTCTGTCCGTACTAACTGCTGATCTGTATTCATCAAGCACAGCATAGCTATCACAGAATCAACTATGAATTTCAACACTGAGAAAGCAGATGCAGCAGGAATGAACAATCATAATTCAAAATCAAAGCATACATTACCAAACAGTACCGAATCCTTGAGAGTTTACATCAAATTTGGTGGACTCCTCGGTAGGATACTCGAGCAATTGCTAGACGCTGCTTTTCGCCATCAGACAAAGTTTCTTCCCAATTCTGAGTTGCAACTTTCAAACCTCATTCTCAGATTTACCGAAACAAGGAGAAAATAAAGATAAATAATCTTCTCTTTTCAACGATAAAGTCCTGTATGATACCTGATTCAACCCTCCGATTTACTATTCTCCTGCCAGAAAAAAGAAAAAAGAAAAAGCAAGCTCCAGCAAAACAATTATCAATAGAAAGAGGACTTAGGCCCCTGCAAGTGGGCAAGGCCAACCCTCAAATAAACCAGATATCCAATCTCTGTTGCACCCAATGCATACAACACTCGATTGTCATCAGGATGCGTCGTATACTTGATAGATTGCAGCGATGCAGAGCTATACCATTTACTTTCATTCTTATCTCTTGAAACAGGTTTAAGTGGCGTTGGATACAGCACTTAGTCTCTCAGTGTTCCTCGCATAAGGTAAGGTTTCTTCAAAGATCACAATCCATCAGCTCAAATCTTGAAGCACATAACATCCCCGTTAGAGATGAGGAGCTCTTCTGTAATTGAAAACTAGTAGAGCTATACTTGTTAAAGACAGAGCAGATGCTATATAGACCCTCGTAGCCTCTTCATCATCTTCTGCTGTTGTTTTTAAAATTTTCATTTTATTGAATAGTTTCCTTTCCAAATAAAGGCAAACAAAGTAAACAAGAAAAATAAAATGACCCGAGATTGGTAACAAATTTCTCCCGGAGGTGATCGACCGATGACACCACAGTGTAGAGGCCAAAGTTCCGCAAGGACACTGAATATTGAAGACTTGCCAATGTGCCAGTCGAGGGCTAATAACGTGTAAGAATGCTGATATGAGAAGAAAGTAAGCATACAAAGCGAACTGTTCTTGGTACCTGCATAATAGACCACGCACAAGTGAAACATGCGTATGATTACCTAGAAACCATTTACTATTGGCATGATTAATGAAATGCATTTAAAATTCATTACATTCAACAGAGCAGTACCCTCGTTCATGACAATAATTAGATGCTACCACTGCTGTTAAATATCACTCTGAAGCGATATGTGAGGAGAAGAGCAACATATTTCAATTTTTCTTGAAAGAACACCACGAGGAAGAAACTAGTACACTGCTGGTGATCCAGAGATGTGGCGGAAGAAGTTGTAGCTCTGAAGAAAAAATATCTGACGTGGCAACTGTACTTCAAAGAAAACAGTTGAAATAAAATATGAAGCTTACTCTATGGTTTTAGCAAGAGATAGTTGATAGAGAATAATATCTAATACAGGCTTGACAATGTAAAAGAAAAGCTCGCTTATTGCAAAAGGAGAACTTTTGAACGTCTTCAGTAATACGCTGCAGCAGAATGTAAGACACCAAAATACTGAGAATGCATGGTCTAGATTTTGGACATGAAAACCAATAACCAAAAGAACAAACAGATACAGAAAATTAAATTTGGAATCACGATAAATGGATTTTCGAAAAAAATTATAAGAAATCCTAAAGATTAAAACAATTCAACCTGTAATCCCATGCAAAAAGTACCATCTATCCACAAAGTGCAACATATACTTGGTCTACATTTGAAAGGCCGCTCAGAATAGATGCCACATAATACACACGATTTGACGAACAGAACTCGCCGAAGTACGCAGTAAGCAAAACCTGTCAAAAGGGTTCGGCTCATGAGAAGGCAAGTCTGCACGATAATTAAGAAAGAATTCTTGGACATAAGTGCAGGCACACATACTCGCAAAATCTCTTGTAACCACTTTGCAAACAGAGAGTCCACTACTACCCGGATAAATTAACCAAATGGCATGATAAAAAAATTGCCCGCATAAACTCAACTTTTAAATGTAAGCAATGTGTTAGTCCTTTTCAACATTGAAGCGTACATCAATAATTTGCGTATGTATTAACCACTCTATAACAATCACTACTACTGCAAAGTTCTTCTAAAGTCATTATGGCATACAGTCCAAAAGTAAAGAGTACTCCGCGGGAAAAGTAATCGAAAAGTCTCTCTCTCTCTCTCTCTCTCTCTCTCTCTCAGCGCATGGCATCGTGAACGAGAGAGCGAGAGAGAGAGATTTTCCGCATCAAAAATTGAGTTAATGATCAGCTCATATTGAAATCGAAATTCTGATAAGACAACTCATAAACGCAAAATGCTTTTCATGAAGTATCAACCTTAGTCTATAAGGGCAAATAGATGTAAAACCCTACTGCTCATGAAGGCACTTCCACCCACCAATGCCACCCCGATAACCCGTTGCTGGTGCTTACTAACCACAGCCATTGTGCAAAACTTGTAAATTTAAACCTCCACACATCCCTCCACCCCTTTTTGCACGAAGATAAATCCTAAGAGAACATGGTACTCCTCTCAAGCAACGCAGCGACACTTACTGACACATAGGAAAAATTTAGGCATGCGAATTGAGTGAGGAACGTCTTAGATTATAATCCGTGACTCCTTTTTCCACTTCATTTCCGATTCCTACCTACTGATAAGACATGATATACATCTTAGACCGCTTCGTGCACAACAACATAAGATACGTTTGACTGTCCACCGGTACGCCACAGAATAATTCAGAAACCCTTGGGGTTATGTCTAATCATTCTCAGTAATTTCGTCAGTCTTGAAACTATTCTTATTCCCTCCAACTCGTGGCACGTGATTCTTCCCGCATGTTGATTTGGTAACGCTCCTGTGAACAAGAAGTGCGCTAAGATTTCTGATGCTAACGCTGACTAACTCCCCTCTTCAAAGCGACTATTCACAAAGCGATATTCAAACAGTGATAGATTAACGTCCTCACATGAAATGGAAAACAAGAATATTCATACCTATGAGAAAGCTAAAAGAACCACGTGATCAAAACATTAACTACAAGAAAGAGGAAGAGAGGTCTAAAACCCAAAATTGGCAACAACCTATTGTACTAGGATTAAGCGAAAGAACCAGAGCTGCAGCGATCATCACTTCATAACCACAAGGGCAATCAAAAGTTCTACAACTTCAGGCAGTGTTGAGTGAAATCAGCATGAAGAGAAATTGAGTTGGACTCAACGACAGATCCACTACAGCCACAAAAAGCTAAGCTGAATACAGAACCAAACCCAGAACCACCTGGATTCTCACATGTCCTAAGCTGTAATTCCACTAAAACTCCAACCCTCCTGACCCAACTCATGAATCAGAAAATCGACACAAGCGACAATCAAGGCCCAAAATTCACATCGCCCAACCTCAATAACTCATGAATCTCCACTCACAACATCAGACCCAACTTCGTCGAACTACTGCTCTTCGAAACCCACAATCGAAGTATCATAAGATGGCAATTAGATTCTAACCCACGAAAAAATTGCGCTGAAAGAGCTGGGATGTAAAAGGGTGCTAACTTGACCCCAGGTCATGTTCGAAGTGTCCCAAAGCCTTTTGCTGGCTCCATTCGCTTCTCTGAACCTCTGATTTCCTACGAAACAAGTGCAATCCTAATCCAGCTCATTGAACCTCCTTCCAGCTGGAGCCGACGTGGCCTGTTTGGATATCCTAACTGGACCCACCAACCCTCCATGAAACGGCGCTCGGAGCTTCACCTTTTGATGAACGAGAACTTTCATTCGTTTGCGTTCTTGGGCCAACTCCAAACTTTAAAGTTCTGGGCAGAAACCAGATGTGTAAAGTATAATATATATATACGAATTGTGTTACCTCTACTATAAATTTATGCGATATTGCTACTGTCACCATAACCCGCCACCCATTTGACATATTTTTATTATTATTATTATATTCCAAGAATTTTTTTGTTCAAATCAACTAGTTTGAAAAGTATTGAACAAAGAAAATTTGATTCGTTTGAAAATTATTGAATAAAGGTGGCATGTGGTGGATGGGGGGTTTTGGTGTTTATAGCAAAAATTGTGGTAACATTAGCAATACCCTAAATGTAATACATTCTCAATTACCAACTTGTTCATAGATTGATTTTTTTCAGCTTTTGCTTCTTTTATCTGAACTTGCACTCAAATGAGATATGTTTATATAGGTAGGGATCTAAGTAGCTTGAGATTTGGTGATGGATAAAGTTTCTATCTAAACAGAAAAGGAAAATAAAACAAGATATTTTGTTAATAATAATTTGAATAAAATTCAAGCCTGTGTTGAGTATTTTAAAATTAGTAAAAATAAGAACGTTTTGTTAAATTTTACATCAGAAGAAATTTTCTGATAATTTAATAAATATTTAATAAGAATATTTACAAGTCTGAAGAATTAGGTTGACACAGGATACGCAGTAATGAATATATCTATCCAGATGGAGATAATATATGGCGAGGGGGTGGTGAGATTCGATAAAGATAAATGAAAATACAGGAATGAACCCATCTATCCATCCGTTTCACTTGATCCTGATATTTCAGTTGGTCTTCACAGCCTTAGGGGTGTGAGTGAGTGAGTCTGTCTGTCGTGGGTTTTGCTTTGCTTTGCTCTGCTTTGCTTTCTCAAGGAAGGAAGGCTTCGAGCCCCACGAGGCGTGTAGTTGTGGCAGTCTCTTCTCAATTGGCTCTTGCGGATTCTCTCGGTGAGTGTGAAGCCCTTGCAATTCTGTCCGAATTTTCCTGGTGCTACTCTTCTTACACTGTTCTCATAAATTTTGCACTTATTTGGATAACATGGATTGTATGTGGATATGGTGGTTCGGTTGAATGTTGTGGCGTGCGTCCATATTTTTTCCTCATTTTTTCTCGAGAATTTATTCCGCTCTTTTGCTGGGAAGGGTTTTGAAGCGGCGATGGCTCGTTGATAGTGTCGCTGCTGTTTTTTTCTTTTTCTGAAAGATAATGGGTCTCTTTTATCGTGTTCAGGTGATTTTTTCTTTTTCTTTTTCTTTGGTGCGCCAGTGCGTCGCACAGCGTTTAATTTTGCGGAATCCGGGTTTAGGGTTTTTCCGCACTCGGAGTTTTGTGGCGTAGCGAGGATTCGGTCTGCTTAATTATGGCCGTTACCATGGCTACTGGGAAATGGCCAGCACTGACTTGCAGGCAGTCATTTCAAAGCGGGTCATGCTTTACTGGGGATGTTGCGAGTTTGGCGTGTAACTTCCGGATTTCTACAAAATCAGCGAAATTTCAAGTGGTGCAATCAAGGACATCTGCTATTGACGCCCAGGCAGAGAAATGGGAAGCTTTGGATTCAGATGTAGACTACTTAACGCGGTCGGCGAGACTGGTGCAATGGTACCCTGGTCACATTGCGAAAGCTGAGAGAGCATTGAAGGAGCAGCTGAAGTTGATGGATGTGGTAATTGAGGTCCGAGATGCTCGTATTCCGATGGCAACTGCTCACCCAGAGATTGATGAGTGGATGGGGAATAAACAGAAGATTATTGTAATGAATAGGGAGGACATGGTATCAAACGCAGATAAACAAGTCTGGGGGGAGTACTTTGCGAAACAAGGAATTAGTGTGCTTTTCGCAAATGGCCAACGCGGCACAGGTACCATGAAGTTAGCGAGGATGGCGAAATCCGCGGCCGATGGTGAGTTTTCTCTTGTCCACTGTCGGGGGAGCCACTTTGTTGTCGTGTTTTTTTTTCCTTTACCCCTCTGAATTTCATCTAGTGTGTGGTACCGTTTGTCTCCTATGAATATTCTGGTTTGTATTTCTACCTAGCAAGAAAACTCCAGTACAAAAAGAAAGTTGGTAGGCTTAACCTCACGTAAAGCCTGCTGTCCATCTTTTATAGACTCATAAACCTTCTCGTTTGGATTAGCTTGGCAGAAGCGTAAATTTGGTGAGCTTTACTTGCGGAACATTTTGAATTTACCTAGTAGATTTGAAGATGTTAAAGCATGAGGTGCCGAAACTCTTCGTTTTTATTTGTAGTGTAGCCAGACAGACCCTGGAACCTCATGGAACTTCGTTTTTATAAGTGAATTTTTTCATGAAGATATTAACGCTCGACGGAAAGCGAAAGGCCTTCTTCCCAGAAATGTTCGAGCTGCCGTGGTGGGCTATCCAAACGTAGGCAAGTCCTCCCTCATCAACCGACTTCTGAAACGAAAGGTTTGCGCCGCAGCACCGCGGCCAGGAGTTACTAAACACTTGCAATGGGCTAGAGTTGTGGATGGATTGGACCTACTCGATGCGCCTGGTGTGCTGCCCATGAGGATACAAGACCAGGCAGGGGCAACTAGATTGGCGATCTGTAATGACATAGGGGAGAATTCATACGCTGTTGCTGGAGTTGCAGCTGTGTTAGTGGAGATGATCAAACGGATACCATCTGCAGGTCCTCAGGTCCTGCAGAAGAGGTATAAATTGGAGAATGTGAGAAACATGTCTGGGGAGTCCCTGCTGGAGGAAGTTGCACAAGCTTTATTTCAAGGAGACGTGAATCAGGCTGCCCAAAGGGTCTTGCGGGATTACAGGAAAGGGGAGTTTGGCTGGTTTGCGTTGGAAAGGCCGCCTGTGCGCAGAGAAGAGGAAGAATTCGAAGAGGAAAATTACGATGATTCTGATGAATATGAAATGAGATAGGGCTGTCCATTCATGTTGAGTTGAAGGCGCTCCTAATATTGTCAACGACCATTGGATATGTCGAGCTGGAGTACCTCAGATATTACTTCCTGCTCCCTGTCAAACTTTGCGTTTTCTACGAGAGGAGACGAATTTGTTCTGAGATTTGTACAACACGATGGTGCTATTCTTGAGTGTCGTGATCTGTTCCCCACGCCTGTGACGATAGCTTCGGAGTCGATATCATGATCTTGGAGGCACCATGGTGGGGGCAGTTACTTACACCGACGTCGGAGCTAAACTACATTCCCATTGTGGATGTGATGTCGAATGTCTTGACTTGGGGAGGATTGTAGTTTTTATTTAATTTTCTCCAATTACAGCAAAGTTCAGTCTTTATACCATCTCACTTTCCTGCGCTCAATTGTTTCGATCCCTTGCAACTGAAACTTCTGTGCTCTCTAGTTGCCAAGTGCGTTTGGAAATCGTCCGGAGCTTTCGTGCTAGCGAAGGAGAAGAAGATGATTAGGTTGATGAGAAACTAGCACGGTCACTACACCGATAGAATCTGTTGCAATGTTTTGGACTTGATCATGTGAGATGAATTCATAAAAAAAACGGCAGTCTGAAAAGTTGTATGATGTAAACAAGTTTTTATCTTGATTGGTGTTTAATGATTATATCTTTTTTAAACTCCTTAGTCCTTAATTATCGTATGATGGCATTTGTGTTGTCTGAATTTATCCATATGTTGGACTTGCAATTGTTTTGCTTGATTTACATGCAGTAGTATAATGTGGCATTTTGTGTGGGTTTGCTCCTTGTCATGAAAAGCACACCATAAGAAAGAAAAAAAAGTCAGGCCAAAATACTAATCTTTCAAAACGAAGACCAAGTCTCGAGACCATGAAACAGCTAGCAGAATATAATTGTTTATTTACTCATTTGAGAAACCATATTTATCACATGAACTCTTGTGAATACCCAAATCCACAGACGATTTAATGGCTACTAATTACATCTTAATTGATGAGCTAAAACCATCCATCAAATCTTTTGAATCATTTAGTTGCCCTTCCAAATTCATTGCTTAGTGACCACAACAACGTGTCAACATTACAGCAAATGTGGATGATGGTCGCTAAAAAAGTAAAAGTAAAAGATTTGATAGGTAAGTGGCAACGTAAGGATCTTAAGTTCCCCACGAGTTCCACATGAGCCGTTCCCAAGGGCTTTGTCCTTTCCTATGAGTGGATTGTTTCATCATTTTGCGCCCATACACACTTGACGATGCATGAAAAAAAAAAAAAAAAAAAAAAAAAAAAAGTTTGGTCCAATCAAAATTCAACTACATGGCATATACAAAAACCCTTCATCACACTACCAGTTCTATTATTGTTTTCAGTTTTTGAATAAAAATTATTATGGATGTGATAGAATTTAGAATTCATACTTCTTGTTTAGATGTTTTTTACTTTTTGTTCCATTCTATCAAAGATGATTTTTTGAAAAAATATAATAAAATGAAATTTCTGTGTTGTCATTCTCATGCTTTTAGAGAATTGTTCAAGTGGAATGATGTGTATAACAGCAGATCATGGGAGTATGCCAAATGCCACTCCTTTCATAGATAGAAATAATGTTGTTGCACTAATTTCAGAATTTCAGAATTAAAGTTTTGATCTAGACTTGGATGCATATGGTTTTTTACTATTAATATGAATACAAATATATATATATATATATATATATATATATATATAATTTCTGTATAATCTTAATTCTTAATTCTTTTTATTTTATGCTATTGATCATAATTTAATAATACATAACACATTACTATACATCAATGACTTGCTTTAACATGTTAAGATCATTGTATTTACAAATATTTATATTATATACACTTATTTAGTACCATGTAAAATATTTTAAATTTATGTAATGATCATTTGTATACTTTAAAAAGAAAAATAATTCAATGAACTAAAATCCACACAATGTCTATATAAGCTAAAATACATTTATTTTTTGATATTTATCTTTGTATTCAATTTATAATCACTTTTTTAATTTTTCGGATTTTATTGTATTAGATGAATAATATTTATTCATTAAATTATAAAATTACATATTATAATCAGAAGAAGTGATATTTAATGTTAAAAGGATTTATTTTATTTATTTGATTTTACTATTAAAAAATATCTTATTATTTTTAAATTTTCAAATATTCTTCAATAAAATTTCATCAATTTTTTTATTAAAAATAAATTATATGAAATTATATAATTTTAGAGAATCATATAACATAACAATAACTTATTAATATTTTTTCACTAAAAAATCTATTTCAATTAATATCCATCTATTATATTTTATAAATAAATTTTTTAAAAAATATATATATATATATAATCTATCCATTTACTAAATAGATCTATCTTGTCATAACCATCATTATAAAAAATGGATCATCTCTAAAATCCATCATTAGAATCATGGCCCTCATTCCCACCTCTCTTATTCTGATCTATCGCTCCTTCCATTTCTAGATCTCATCGCAACCTTCTATGTTCTTAGCCTTCATCCCAACCTAAGGTGAACTTCAACTCAGAGATTTCAAAAACTACTAATTTTTCAAGAGAAAATAACCTAAATCAAATATTGAGGTATTAGTCGATAGTTGAAAATAGCTCATGTCCTATGGCTCCTCTCATACATCTCTTTGACATTGACTAATTTAGATCTAATATCAATCTTCTTGTAAAGAGATTGATGTTGTTGTGATTTGGGTGGTGAGTCTTTGTAGCAAAAAGATACAATGGTTTTAAAGAAATAAAATCATGTGAGGCGACCAATAACAAAATATGCTCTTAGAATGTAGAATTGCAGTTATAACAGCAAATGATACTTTGGTTAATAATAGCCAATTATTCCTCACAATGAGCTTTGTTTTTTCAATATTGGAGAATATAGACTGGGTTGACTTTGGTTCACAAAGCATGCATGCTTGTCACAAGTTATAGCTAAAAGAATGAAGAAGCAAAACCAATAGAGTATTTTGAGACTCCTCTCTTACTAAATATCTTAGACTACCAACATTTATATTCTAAAGATTTATGCTAATAAAAATGATCTATAATATGATATTTCAAAGTGTTTGAGCATATAGAAGAGGTACAAAGGTTTTAGAGATTCTAGCTAAATTTTCTTTTGGCACATCATATATTCTTTAAATATTATACATGTGACGTTACAATGTCAACCAATCGGCTTGAAGCAATATGATTCCACAATCATAGGCGAGAGATCGAAGCGCTTCTCACTTTAGAAATTTTGAAATGCATGGTATCTTTGTTTGTTTGTGATGCACTTGTGAAGACCTTGTTGGTAGCGCATTCCATGCAGCGAGAGTCATGGTTGCGAGGTTTTTTGCATCCACATTGGAGACAAGCTTAATTTAGTTTGGCAATGATAAGAACCTTGGCACTCTCCCGCGAGAGTCATGTTTCCCAGCAAGGGCGCCTGATTGGCCTGCATGCAAAGTGCCAGATTAAGGGGGAGGATCTTCTGGCGCACTACGGACTTCTTTTCCGTTGAGATGTCAGAGATGCTAGACGATGACGACGTCGCAGCCATCTCGTTTCTTGGCAAGCTCTGCCGCTCCACGCTCAAATACGACTTCCGCGCTCCACGTTACCGTTGTAATTCCGGCTCGGCCATACTTTCCTCCACTCTGACGCCACGTCTGTCCGTTTTGTCTACAGTACTGTCAACATAAGTTGCAGGCAGGCTTTTTTATCTCTCTGAATTATACAATGGCGATTTTTTACAGTCACAAGATTATTTCGATAATCTTATTTTGGAGATCCCTGATTGTGTTAAGATGCAGAGCATTGTATTCCATGGATGTCGTTGGGACCTCTACTTTAGTGCGGAAGGAGCTTGTGTTCTTGGACTGGTGCCCCTGACTCATCGATTTTGAGAGATATGCTGTAAGTGCCTTACAAACAGGATTTTCTGCTTTTAAGTCATTCTGTGTTGTTTTACACGAGAATGCTCAGGAAGCTTTTACTGACTCCTAACGTACGCTGCGATTGATCCCTGCATGATGGAATAGATTGGTTTCGTAATGTCATTTGCCATAATAGATATTGCTGTACAGCTTTTCCGTCTTCGTCTCGCACCGAGTGAGCCCTCGAGATAAGATAGTTTTTCGTGGCCATACGTGTTCGAATGCATGCATTTTGACACATTATCCACTCTGTTCGTTTGTTGTCTCCTTGAATGTTGGGCAGCTGAAGCATATTTATGCCCGTTTTCACAGCGTCTTCTCACCAGCTTGATGCGACACTCCGCAGTTTGCGTGATGGGATATATTTGCCTTGGGAGATCGTGACGAACTAAAGTGGTCGTCCATTTTGCATTCACTGCATTCATGAGCATGAGGAATGTTTCTTGAAGAGCATATTGTACAGTTCAAACAACAGTTGAAATTTGACCGCAGAGATTTCAGTCGCAGTTTAGTTATGTCTGGGCTGGGGGGAGCTGATTTACTTGGGTTGTGCAGTTCGTGATGGAATGAACTTTCGTCAACTGATTTTGTTCAATGTTCATAGTGATGCATTAATTTGCGGAGTCTGACGTAGCTGGCGAATGCTTTTGACTGCTAAGTTCGCAGTAACGGTTATGTTCTCGCTAATAGAAGGTTATCGTAGTGGCGTCCTTTGACTTGAAGTGTAATGAGAAAGTTAGCTGGAGAGGAGAGTCACCTACTCACTCTCTCTGAGCGTTGTTGGCGAAGATACAAGTGAGACTTTAGGACGATATCGCCGGACTACCTGCTTTCTCCCCTGTGCATCACAGTTGCTGTGTACACAGTACGGCTTAAAACATTTTGTGTGTGAACCTGCTGCAGTTGAACACAACAAAGAATAACGGCTAACTTTTTGTCTCATCAATTAGACTCAAATTTGTTGCTCACCTTGAGCGCTTTGGAAGGAGAACTGAGAGTAATGGCTGCAGCTGCAAGGCGGCGCTAGTGAACAACATTTTCAGGGCGTTAAGTTCCACTATTGCGGCGTTGTAGCACTTCCATTGCTGTGGTTTTTGACTCGTCTTCAGATCTCTGGAACGTATATCTCGGCAAAGTTGGGGGTCTACGTGACAATCTGGGACCCTGTTGAGGATCTCTGATTTCTAGCTGCATCCTTACAGCTTGCTCTATTGCTGGACAGGGGTCTTCTTCAACTTCGTTTGAGCTTACTTTGGAGAGGCTCTGATAGTTTGGGCGGCTGTCGGATTGTGTACTCTGTGAGCTATGTTGTTGTAGGTCGGGGGCAGAAAATCTGGTTAACCGTGTCTATAATTTAGAACATCAAGTAGTTTGGAGGCAAGTTACGGAGACAAAGAATGAACACGTGTGTTTACATTGAGTGAAGGCTTGCCAATATTTGAACTCACATATTAGAATTCTCGACAAGTCGCGCTATTGTGCATCAGCAGTATTTCCAGCTCTTTTCTCTACTTTTTCTGTAAGGAACGTCTTTTAGTCCTCGTCCTCTTCTAAGCCTGGTGGCAGGAGCTGTTGTTCTGGGGTCTGTAAGGATTACATTTTGACTCTGTTACATTATGCTCTCTCGCCTTCGGAGCTTCGCACTGTGAATGAAGTGGAAGCAACTAGTTTGCTTCTGTCGTATTTTGAGGCGCCAAGTCGGTGTTGCTTGTCCAGACGTCAAAACAATCTGAGATTCTTGTTGGGGATCCTGCGAATATTGTGAAGCTTTAATTTTCTTGATTGCTAAATTTGACCGCATATACAGAACTGTGTGCATTTGCATTCAACCTGCGGACTGCAGTAGTGGTTATAAACAAATTATTTGTGAACACAAAGGACCTTGTCCTGTGTTTTCCTGTACTAAATATTTTCTTTCAGGATACAGGCTATGATCATGCAATGCTAAATAACCGACGGCGAGGTGCCGATCGTGGAATGTTCGAAAATGAGAGTAAAGTCTTTTACCGACATAACAACAGATGCTTCTTCATGAGAAACTTGAGCTCATGGTGTTGGGTCTTCATGCTGTTGGCAACTCTATACCTACCTGTCCCTAGCTATTCGTTGTCGCCAGATGGTAAGGACTTCATATAGCCGTAGTCTCTGCGATTATCTAGACAGCTTCCTTCATTAGATGGCTGTTTGTATGACACAGCATCCACCTACGGACAACGATACACAAATCCTCTACTGGTGTCCGAATCAGGGCGCCTCATTAGTTAGAATGTTCTTTTCCAGCGACATTTTTTGCAGTGTATACTACACTGATGGATTCTGATGCAAGCTGTACTCGCGCTGAGCAATTTCAGTGAAACAACTCAGTGCCTCTTTTCTGTGAAGTCGAATCGCCTTCTTTGGAGAACATTGCATGCTATCGTGCATTTATTTACGACAAGAGTGTGAGACGGTGGCAATTTAAGGAATCGTTTCATTTTTCTTTAGTAGACAGCTGGTGGTGAAGATTTTTTTTTTGATTGTTTTTCAGGGGAAGCGTTGTTATCTTTCAAGCGGGGTCTGTCCAACGCCAATCGCTCACTCTCGAACTGGAATGCATCCCACCCTAATCCATGTTTGTGGTCGGGGGTCACATGTCTCCCCAAAAGCGACCGGGTTTATATACTGTAAGCATTCCTTTCATAAAAACATATGTCGATATCAGTAGTTATAAATCATACATCTGATTTCGTGGGCATTTACGAGACGCTGTATTACTTAGAGACTAGTAAAGATTCACTTTATCCAACACATTTTTCCTTAATTTTAACGTGTTTTAAGAACTTGACGATGTGAATAATTTTTAGGGATCATTTTCGTTTCATTTCAAATGTGGAGAATATTCAATTAACAACTCGTCGTCCATATCATCTTCCGTTGTGTAGAAATCTCCCTCGTCGGAACTTGCGAGGCATCATATCACCGGAAATTGGAAAGCTCGATCAGCTGCGTAGGCTGTAAGTCCGTCAGACCTGCTCGTTATCTATCTTGACGCATCTCATTTTCCTCACTCGATCCCACAACCTTACGATTTCTCCAGTTTCCAGGTCTGGAACGTTTTGTTCTGAGCTTAGCTACAGCTTGATTGTGAGTTCCACTCAAAGGTTTGACTTCCTCGTGTTTGCAGTGGCCTTCATCACAACAACCTGTTTGGCACCATTCCAAGGGAGATAAACAAATGCACAAATCTAAAAGCTCTGTAAGCAACCTGCCCTAATTATTTTGATGGAAAGCTCCAGGCAGTAGATCGTTCCGTGTTTGTGGGATGAATTTGCAGTAGTGATGTAGTGGCACGCGGATTGAGAGGAATACGAAATTGCTGTGCCAAATTCTAACTGCCTGAGTGCAGTATAGAAAACGAAATTAATTTTCAGCAACACATTTGTTACTTGTTCCCAGATACTTGCGAGGAAATTTTTTGACAGGTAACATTCCAGAGCAGCTTGGCGACCTGGAGCGCCTTAAAATCTTGTGAGTGGTTCTATCCATGAGAATTCTCCTCGTGTAACGGCATTGCTTTTACAGGCGGTAGTCATAGCTGGTACTTCTCAAGGTAGTACTGCGATTGGTCCCGCCTGGATTTTCCGTCAGACGAAGTGGCAAATTGTTCGATGAAGTATTCTATCAGACTTGACGTACTTGCAGATTCTGATCAATATCCAATTCAAGAAATTTATTGAATGCCAACTATGCATACACGTTGCAAGTGTAACCTTAGGTTTGTTATGTGCATTTTCAGGGATGTTTCTAACAACGGCTTAACGGGAAGTATTCCTGAGTCTCTTGGGCGCCTGTCACAGCTTTCCTTCTTGTGAGCGTCGTTACTTCTTGTTCCTAGCATTGGCATCCCCCGTCCCTTCGTAATTTCTCAACTGCTTGTTAATCCGCAGGCTTCATCTAGTAATTAAGATAAATCTAATTATACATTTTAGTCTCTTATTGCCTCGCAGATTCATTCATCAGAGATTTGTCGAGCTATGCTTGGGCTTGTCACCTACTTCTAATGTTCAATTATCCGTAACTCCTACGTGCAGGAATGTTTCGGCCAATTTCCTAGTTGGAAAGATACCCACATTTGGAGTACTGGCAAAGTTCGGAAGTCCCTCGTAAGCACTTCAATATCCTGCGTGGCTAATTTTCCATTAGGTTTTTTCCTAGTTCTGTTTGTAACCCTGGATTGCAACAATTATCTTGCGCCCTGCATCGAACTAACAAAGTAACTTTGCTACACAGATTCTCTTCAAATCCAGGACTATGCGGACTTCAAGTCAAGGTCGTGTGCCAGATTATTCCTCCAGGTAGTCCTCCAAATGGCACGAAACTGTCACCACCAATTACAGCTCCAGCTCCTGCCTCAGCTCCAGTTGCTGAAACATTGCCTGTGGCAGGTATGTAATTACTCTGCCCACTTATCTTCTCGGTGGAGGGAAGTTGTTTTTGAGATATTGTCTTCCAGAGGCGCCTCAAAGTTCTAATCAAAAGAAATTCTAAATGTTGGCTGAGTCTAGGAATGACGAATACGTCAGTTGGAGGGCACTCGGTTGGTTATTCAGACAGCCTTTTGATAAGCGCCATAGGCACCGTTGGCGTTTCTCTCTTGGTGGTTGTTATGTGCTTTGGAGGTTTCTGCGTATACAAGAAGAGTTGCAGTAATCTGCACCAAGTTGTTCAAGGCAACAATATTGATGGTCTCCTTTCTTCTCTATTGGACATTGTCTATGTTGTTTATGATTTATCAGTTAGTAGTTATAGACGTACTTCACTATCGCTGGGAAGCAAAACTTTCATCTCAAAGCATGACATGTGTATGTACATCGCGTTTTGCAATATGTAACTGATTATTGACAAAACTAACCCATCAAATTTCCTATTTTGCAGGTTCTAAACTGGTGATGTTCCATAGTGACTTGCCTTACAACAAAGATGATGTAATAAAGAGGATAGAGAACTTATGTGATTCGGATATTATTGGATGTGGTGGCTTCGGGACCGTGTACCGCTTAGTCATGGATGATGGTTGCATGTTTGCTGTCAAGAGGATAGGGAAGCAGGGAATGGGCTCTGAACAATTGTTCGAACAAGAATTGGGGATCTTGGGAAGTTTCAAGCACCGAAATTTGGTGAATCTGCGTGGCTACTGCAACGCTCCATTAGCCAATTTGTTGATCTATGACTTCTTACCTGGGGGAAGTCTTGACGATAACTTACATGGTAAGAGCTTGTTTAAAGGTGTATAGGCTGTAGGGCTGGTACAGATGTGCAGAATGTCGATGTTTCTTCGCCAATCATCGGATTCTCCATTAATAATGGTTGTGCATTAGCCATTTCAGACCGTTATCGGAGTCTATTCGCTATTTTTTGTCTTTTCTTTTCTTTTCTTGTTTCTCTCTCGTGAGAATCGAATTTCAAACGTGCTACGATTACATTTTGATTGGAACGTTATGATTTGATTTTTTTGGATACAGAGAGGTCGTCAGCTGGAGAGCGTCTTAACTGGAATACTCGAATGAACATAGCGATCGGCTCAGCCCGAGGGATTGCATATCTTCACCACGATTGCGTTCCCCGGATTATTCACCGGGATATCAAGTCCAGCAATGTTCTTTTAGACGAAAAGTTGGAGCCTCATGTGTCTGATTTTGGTTTAGCGAAGCTACTTGAGGATGAATCCTCTCATGTAACAACGATTGTTGCTGGCACATTTGGTTATTTGGCACCAGGCATGTTTCTATTCGATTTCCTATAGGCAATTTCCTTACAATATGAAGTACCGAAGTTCAGGTTCTCTTTCATGGTACATTGTTGTAGAAATAGATTATTTCGAAAGTCCCAGTAAGGGTGTGAAGCATCGGGAGAACAAGTTTTTACTTTGTGCTATCCCCAAGATGACAATTGTTGGATCTTTTTGCTATTTTGTGCAGAATATATGCATAGTGGGCGGGCAACAGAGAAGGGTGACGTCTACAGCTATGGTGTCATGTTGTTGGAGCTGATCAGCGGCAAACGACCCACTGATGCTTCACTAATTAAGAATAATTTAAATTTAGTCAGCTGGGTAAGCATTGTCGCTTTCTAACGTCTCGTTTTGATTAATCTGCGAATTGAACAGCTTGTAATTGTACCAACTTCCCTCGTGTGGATGTCTAAATAGTTTTTTAGGTGTACTCGATTGACCATACATTAAGAGAATTACAAGCGAAGGCGAATCACATAATGTACTATACAAATCGAATCTGCGAACTCTATAATTAGGTTTGCCTGCGCGAGTTTTTAAGTAGGCTTTTACTTTGGTTCTCAAATGTTGTATTCTGGTGTTGCAGGTTACTTCTTGCGCCAGAACTAATCAAGTAGAAGAAATTGTTGAAAAGAGTTGCTTAGACGAAGTACCAATAGAGCGCATTGAGTCGACTTTGAACATTGCACTGCAGTGTATTTCTCCAAACCCAGATGAACGGCCGACCATGGATAGAGTTGTGCAGTTACTAGAAGCTGATACTCTTTCAAGGGTCCCAAGTGATCTCAGCAACTTTTACTGCTCTCCAATATCTGATCACGAAGGTCGAGGGCGTTGACGATCAGTTCCACTTTCTGTTGTTTTATATTAAGTTACACGGTGCACACCCAAAATCCCATTATTTCTTATATCACGCTGGACATATATTTTCGGCAGTGTGGTGTTCCGATTGTACAGATATCTGATAAGCGATTGATGAAGCGCAAGGAGTAAAACCCTCGAGTTAATTTAAAGCTCGACATATTCATTAGAAACAAAAATTCATTTTGGCGTTTCTCTGATTGGTGGTGGTAGTGCATCTTGTAAGTACTTCTCGTGAATGTTCCAAAGTGGATGTCTCCATTCAGGTTGACATAAATCATTTTCCGTGGTTCAATGCATGAGATCAATTATTCCTTATGTACTGCCCATTACACAATGGAAACGTGTAAGCAGGTGGAGAGAAACATTTTACGATAGTAGTAATCCCTTGTGACGATGATCTTGACCGTTGAGTATGGTATTATCCATTGATTGCAGGGAATTGTGTTAAGTATCATATTTAATTATAGGCTTTATTCGCGAAATTGTGAGATTGTACGTAGGTCCAGCAAAGAAATGTCGTACATTGGCGTACTTACTCTACATCATACGGAACAAGCATAGTAATCATGTCAGCGTATGCTACTTCTCCATCTGTTAAGACTCACTGAAGTGATCAAGGCCAATTCCCAGTTAAAGCGAGCTGCAGGTTATTTTCGCTCCCCACATACACGCATATAACATATTTTATGTACATTTTCTTTCGTTCATCACAATGTTTCACGTCGCAAAGAATGAGTACTTATGCTCTATTTTATTTATTCGCACATGCATCGGTTGTGAAATGAAGCATCAAGAACTGACATGAATGTTTTGACATGGTACACTTCATCACGAAATTTCAGGGAGATTGTCCGTCTTACGGAAATAGAAACAACACTGCCTTCGGTACATCCACGCATTATAATAATCATTCATCCAAGAAGCGAGCGAGCAGAAAATATCAAATGGCATGTCACTGAACAATAACAATGAAATCAACCACCAGAAGACTTGTCGTACTAAAAAAATGTTAAAGTTTCCAGATCACACAAACTCCAAACGAATTATTCTCTCATCCTGCCCATGCTTAAACAATCCAGTGATAGTGCAAGTAAACTAACAAAGCACCCGCACTATCTACCGAAATGTGAAAGCCAGGATGTGTATGAAGTCGTCTTCATGATGGTCTTCGCAATCACATGAGATATCCATGCACAGTGTTCAGTTATGAAACTGGCAGTCAGCGCAGTTGCAGCTTGCACTCGTTCTCTGCGTTGTAGCTGCAAATCCCCAGGCTTATGATTAGATTTGTGCTTAATCACAGCAAAAATAATGTCACAAACGATACTCTGTTTGGTCTACAAAAATCTGCTTCAAAATACAAGCACACCTCTTCGACCATGAGATTCTTTCTTTCAGTGAATTTGGAATATCCAATAAACTCAGTCACGTCACTTACTTGCGGAGACCACCGAAAGTTGGCTCGGTCATGCTCCTACTGCACCTGTAATAGATACCAAACTCAAGGTCAGAAACAATGCCGCAATTGAAAAGTATGCAAGTGCGGTTGAATGTAAAAATCAAATAGATCATCATACAACATATTCAAGACAGGTCTTGCTCCAGAACCTCAAATATATGTACTAACGACATGTCTGAGACTTCTCCAGAGCAACAAGCTATTCGACTTCATCGAGAAGTAAAAATGATAGATATTTCCGCTAATTTGTTCTCAGTTTCTATTACGGTGCAGTATGGGAAAAAGTTACTGTCTCTCCCTCAGGTTCAGTCCATGAGGCTATAAAGGAACATTAGTCTACATATACAGCAACCTTCTCGACAACGAAGAGCAAGTCCAACTTGGTCGGCGACTGCAACCAAAATTTAACTACTTAACAGCCCCCTCAGTTGTACTGTTTCGCACGTGCAATTTACCAGATAATTAACGTCAATCGTTAAACCCGAGAATGTATTCGCATGGTTGAATACACAGGCTGCAACGAAATACTTGATTCTTTAACTAACAACCAAAACATTTCCAGCGACCATCACACATCACAAGAGGAAGATCAAGAGGATCAGTACTTCACAATACGTGAAGCGCTGCCTTTCATTTGCAGTAGATAACGGCAGATTATGAAAATCGAAGACTCTAGAGTACACAATCATACTTCCATCGATCGAGATTCTGGTCATAATTCCGTCTTCAAACTCAAAAGAACCCGAACTAAACTCCAAAAAGAACTAACAGACTTGCATGCTCTAAATACAATCAAATCTGTCTTGCACTTTTCGCGGCACCAGCACAGGCTCCAACTTCATGACGAGGAACTAGGAAGACCTCCAAATCGGCCAAATCGGCACTTCGACTTTAGGAAGAGGAATGGATGAAATCGAAAGCAAAATGCACGGAGGCTAAACTAACGAGCAGCCGGAGCCGCACGAGCAGTCGCTGCCACAGGGGCAGTTGGAGTTTCCGCAGCCAGACATGATAAAACTTGCCACGATCAAAGGTATACAAGGGGCGATGGGCACAAAGATGCAGATACTCTTTACCGAAGAGACGATCGTTGCACATGGCGGGGGCACTCGGCCTTCTTATATGTGCATTCGGTGAATCATTCGATAAGCAACAAGATCCAATGGCCAGACATGGTGCCTTCTATTGGACGGATACGATCCTTTCACCGATTCCATCGTTCGGAAATGGGCAGTATCATAGAACCTTCTCAAACCTTGGATTCTTTCGAGAACAGGATATTTCCTGGGTGGGATTGGCGTATCGAGAAGCTGAAAGAATACCATTCTGCGCAGAATTGTTCTCAGCACGCTTGCAGGGATCAAATTCACTTTCTCACATGCATACACATTTAATAATTCTGTTCCCTTACACTATTTTATTTTATTCTGATTCTTTTTAAAAAATATTTTTAATACACAAGATTGACAATTTAGTGTTTCATTACAGAAGGATGTGCTAAAAAGAAATAATATATATATATATATATATATATATATAATCACTTGGATAGTTCAGACAATTAAAATAATGAGTGCCAATATTTTAAAGTAAATACAACTTTAAAAAAGGAACGCATGTTTTCAAAAAAAGAAAAAGAAAAAGAAAAAGAAAAAAAACATTTTGCTGTAAGATTAGAACATAAAATAAATGATTGCCAAAGCTTACCAATAACTAAGGACGTAGATTATCAATGACTCTTGACAAGTAATCTTGAACCAAACATATTTCTACAAAAAAGAATATATATATATATATATATATACTTATGGGTCTAACATTTAAAGTGTAGTAACTTTGTGATGCAATGCGAAATTCTACAACACAGATTCCTTCAAACCAGATTCCTTCTTTTCGTGGCTCTTGGATCGAAGCGTGTAGCCTTAAAAAAAAAAAAAAAAAAAAAAAAAAAAACTATCAACCAATAAAATTTTGACACTTGTTTTAAACAGGAATGTGATGGTGCCTGTTCAGCCTTTTAAGAGGCTAGGAGTGAGATGTGTCAATTTTTTCCATAGATCCTTAGATCCGAAAACATCTGCATGAATGTTTTTGTGTAAAGAAAGTTAGATTTCCTGGAAGAATGGCTCAGAGCAAAGAACGATGGCAGTAGGATCCATCACAGGCAATTGCCATCGTTCAGAACTTGCCGTATGTGTTGGTTGCACTTGAAGATAGGAAGGAATCTTCACGGGATCTCATCGTGCCAAATAAAGCTTCAAAGAGTACCCTGGAGATGGCAGTGCCTGTAGCAAAGAAGAATACACCGATGATACTGTGATCGAATATCAAATTCTGTGGTCACCCACTGTGAATGTGAAGATCAAGCAGGGTTTTCTCGTCGACGATGTTGGGAGTAAAAGCTCATGAAGGAAATGCCGGTAATGGGATTATCCGGGGACTGTCGATGCTGCTGCAACAGGGCTACTACCGAAATCCTTGAACCCTCCAGTTGGAAGCAGAGTTTAGCAATACGTGGTGCCACAACACCATTTTCTGCTCTGGTGACTTATTTTCCCCTAAGTGGAAATTATTTCCAGGACAAATTGACCTGACAACCCCAGGCGGGACCAGGCCCTATTTGTAACTTATTTCTTTTCAATTTAACACCGCTACTAAAAAATAAAAAGCTCATGAAAGGCAAACCCAGATACTACCAAAGCAGTTTCAGCACTCCAGGGCCCAGCTTCACTCTGATTTGGTGACATTGATTGCCATCGACCATTCATATGTAGAAATAAAGCAAAGCTGTGTGTGGAATATCTACTCTGGTTTAAGAAAGCTTGCTGACCTTCTTCGAACCAACGTTAGCATCGCAGACTCCAAAAGGTACTCTGTAGTTGTGTAGTACCTCTGTAGTACAACTTGAACTGTACTGCATGCAAGCATCGAAACCATCCTGCAACCACACAAATTCTGCCAGAGCAGTGATCGCCCTCCGAAGTACTGAAACCAAAAAAGGGTTTGTAAAACAAACCCTCTCTTCCCATCGTTGATGACACGGATATTCTTCTACACTGAAAGCATTGAGCTGCTATGACAAAAATGGAGAAGGCGTGGTCCTGATGACGATCAAAAAAAAAATCTAATTTCTCTTTAGAATTCATTGTAAACAATCTGAACCCAACGCCCAGAAATCGCTCGCTTCTACACTAGTAGGGAGAGCATCAAGCTTATGTGTTTTGCAGGTCTAGATGTGGGGAGGAGGGTAGTACACATTAGTACGCTGGTAGTACATGCTGCATCAGCCTTCATAAGAGTTTCAATTCTATTATTTTTTAAGAGTTTTTTTCATGAGCGGTCGATGGGATTTCGATAAAGTTGAGACCCCTGAGGTTACACTGTTGATGTCGTTGCGTCGATCTACGGTTTGTTGAGTGAAGTCTGCTGACAGTTTGTGGGTGGTTTGTAATGCATTCCTTCAGTGAGTCCTTGTTTAAGATCGAAGCAGTGGACATGGAGGTGGGCCGCTTACTGCATTTGGTTCCACGTCTATTTGGGTGTACCATTGTTGCATTCACGCTAGATAGAACGGGACCGAAGAATCACCACTGAAGCACTATTCTGTTTCTTTTCTTTCTTTTCGGTAGTCATTGATCAATGGGTAAGTGACTTGTTTTTGAACTTGGTATCTATAATCCTCCCACCAACTACCTTTTCCTTCTGCATCAGAGGAGTGAGGGGCTGCAGTTGATGAACTCGAGATGCTCATAAGATACTTAAGTATTGAGATGTCGTGAAGATCGTGATATAGGGATCCGCGACGAGCCAACTGATACGCACATGTACTTGCAACATCAGTTATGGAAAATTATCTCTTCGACCAAGCAATCGGCCCGCTGCACTGTTTCAACCGGTAACTCATTCGACGGTATAAATTACTCGGTAGGAGCCACACAACCTCACAATGTTAGCACTCATGCTGCGCTCATCTTGCATTGCTTACGGTTGTTGGGAGTAGTTAATACACATCACACAACCAGCTGAGAGTTAATTACAAGAAGACATTACTTGTAGTACACTGGAAGGCGTAACCCAGATATCTTTCGTCCCATTTCCCAATCAGATGGTAACCGCACACAATGTGGACCACGGCTATGTAGCAAGATATTATCTGGGGTTTTTTTAAAGCAACCTGTCCAAGATTATGCCATTGCAGGTCATGCAGGAAAGGACTGCTGTGTGGAAAGATTAGAATGATACCAATGCGGTTCTCAATAATGTGCAGTGTCCAAGCCAACACTAGGCGAGCGGCAAACTTATTCGCAACCGTGACAGAGATATTTCTGCGACATATCTGACTGGTGCACCTTACATCCTTCAGCCCATTAGTGGTCATTTCTGGTTGTGTCCTATTCGTGTATACCGCCGATTCCAACCACTTCAATTATTTCGATTAACAACTTATTGCCTCTGTGTCATAGCAACATACACTTTAAATCTGATCCTTGTATATTTGCTAACATTTGACACTGCAGCTTCTACGCACATTTCATTTTACAAGCGCGAAGAACAGTAAGATGGTTGCAACAATTTCCAATAATTGCTACAGCATTGCGGTGCAATTGCACTGTTTTAATCTACTCAATGTATACTCATGTCTTATAATTTGCCAAAACAATATCTTACAACTCTTAAAAACAAGAAATCTTGTTTACTAGTAGAAATCTTCACAATCAACTAACCGCATAATACACCTGTTAGCAACACCTGTTCCCTTTTCACTTTTTTAATTTAATCTCAGCAAGAGACGGAAAACAGTGAAACCGCAACAGTAATGAATTAGTCACTACAATTATGCTGCTCATCGCCATCATCCCCCCTGCAATTGACGGTGTAAGAGCAAAATCTTGACTGGGGAGTAGAAATCCAGCTGCAAGAGGTAGTGACACTGCATTGTAAGCAAGTGCCCACGCAAGATTTTGATACACTTTGTTCATCGTGGCACGGGACAGTTCAATCGTATCGATAACCTGAGATAACCGATTGCCAAGCAAAATGACCGAAGCTGCGTCCGATGCAGCATCCACGCGAGCTTGCGTTTTGAGTGCCATACCGACATTTGCACATGCTAAAGCTGGTGCATCGTTAACTCCATCGCCGACCATGGCAACAGCAGCACCATTGTTTCGTAACTGAGTTACAAAGTTCAATTTATCTTGGGGCTTCAAGCCACCTTTTACTTCTTCCTTCGCTATACCTACCAGTGATGCCACATTAGCGGCTGCGTCTTCCTTGTCCCCCGAAAGAACAAACGTGCGGAGCCCTTTCGCTTTCAAATTTGCGACAGTGGCCTTTGCATCATGTCGTAAATTGTCGGTGACCGCGATGGCTCCGATCACCCCGTGCCCTTCCAACCCGACGAAAACAACTGTCTGTGATTTATCGAAGCATGATGTACTACATCTTTCATGCAGGAACTCTCTTAGTTGAGAAGAGCGTTCGGTTAAAGGATCTTCCTTGCAACAACCACACACCCATTCAAACAAACCAACAGCTGCAATGCGCCCATCGACCTCTGCTAAAGCACCATATCCTGGTTCAGTCAGCTGTCCTTCGGTTGGCGAAATTTTGATGCCCTTTGTTTCAGCCTGGGATACGATTGCGGAGCCGATGGGATGGACTGTGTGCTTTTCAACCGCAGCAGCAAGGCCCAAAATCTCCTCTTCACTGAACCCTTGCACAGTTGCAACTCCTGCGACACTAGGACAGCCTTCGGTCAGAGTTCCCGTTTTATCAAAAACAACTGAATCCACGCTTGCGAGACGTTCAAGTACATCTCCTCCTCGCAGCAAGAGACCTCTTTTGGCCCCCAATGAAGTACCTACGAGAACCGCAGTCGGAGTTGCTAGACCAAGAGCACAAGGGCATGCTACTACCAGAACGTCGATGGCAAGTTTAAGACTCAATAGTAGGGCATCACCATCTGGTCCAGCTGCGTCATTCAATAGCACATCCGGATACAGATTTGTCCCCAAAAAATACCAGAATGCAAATGTAGAACCGGACAGAGCCATGATTGTGAAAGCAAACGGGCCAGCAATGGCATCAGCGAATCGTTGCACAGGAGCTTCTCGCGCTTGAGCTTCCTCCACTAATTTTATGATGGAGGCAACAGCCGATTTAGCCCCTGTAGTTATGGCTTGCACCTTGATCGGCCCCTCCCAGTTGATAGTTCCGGCGGACACACTGTCTCCCTTTGATTTGGGAACGGGTAGAGGCTCCCCTGTAAGCATGGCCTCCTCGACAGCGCTCTTTCCACTAACAACTCTTCCATCGACAGGGATGGACTCTCCTGGTAAGACCAAAACACAGTCGCCGGGACGAATTTTTTCGGTCTCCACCTGCAGCTGCAACTCGTCGCTCAATTCATCATCCTCGTCCCCACCTCCCACGGAATCTTCCGACAATATTAACCTGGACTTCGATGGAACCAATGACAGAAGCTCTTGCATGTCACTCGAGGCCTTGGCGCGTGCCCTAGCTTCCAAGGATCTCCCCAAAAGCACAAATGCAAGCAACATAACCGGCTCGTCGAAAAAAGACGCGTCCCAATTGAGACTTGGATTTGCGAGAGATATAGAACTTATGGCAAATGCTGCGGAGGCTCCAATACCGACTAGGGTGTTCATGTTCGGAGACCGCCTCACCATGGCTTTCAAACCATCTAGCACGAGATCGCGTGCCGGTCCCAGAAGAGTGATAGACGCAATTGCGCACTTCCAAAGGGGATTGTGAAGAAGACTCAAGTAGGGGCCATGGAGATGAATACCTAAAGAATGCAGCAAGTGAATGGCATGGGAGCCGCAACACAATGCTACCAGAGACCAAGCAAAGGCCACCTGTGCGGTGCTTTTGGTCAAAGACTCTTGCCTTTTCCTTGCAATTCCATCTCTCTTCTCTCCGATACTCCCCTCTTCAACGCTGGCGTCCCGTATCTTGGATGGGAAACCACATGTAGTCAAATGAGTCGCAAGCTCCGAAGCCAAGCTCTCAACACGTCTTCCAGTACCTACGCGACATCGAATGGCAGCAGTCTCTGTGAGCATGTTCACAGCGGCAGTTTCTACAAATTCTCTCGATGTGAGCAAATTCCGCACTCGCGCAACACATCCCCCACACATCATCCCCTCAACGTCCAAGAGCACAACATCTGAACTTGCTGGTTCCTGCTCCGCCTCGACAGCAACTGTCTGGATATCCCTAGCAGTTCGCAAAGCTGCACATTTTTGAAGTCTAACAAAATCTGTTCTGCTACTGCAATTCTTGCCATCACTAGAGGAAATCCCTTGCCTAACCTGCACCGCAATCACACTCTTCCTGCAGACCCCCTTCACATGGCGCGCCCCACTAATTCTAAAGCAATTTCGAGAAAATCTTAAACCCTGACCAGCCTCGTTCATTGGCCAAGCAAGGCCCCTGGCATTGCATAGCCGCAGAGAGTAAACACTCTCCATTTCACACCGGGAATTGCTAGCGCTCCTAATCCTTCATTCAACCTTCAACAACACTCGCCTCCATCGTATCCACCACAACCTTATCCAGCTGCAAGTAACCAACCACAGCAAAACCAGCTGAATCTCTCAATGAGTGCAACACATGCAGAACGAAAAAAAACAGCAGCAGCTGCAACCTCAAGCAATCAATCTCTTCTGCTCAATCACCCCTTATGTCAATTCCTCTAAACTCTCGTCACCAAAATGAATGCAACTCCGAGGATATCGACACCGACAGATATAATCCAGCTTCCAACCCACCCCAATTGAACGTGGAAACACCAAATTAGTGCACGCAACCACTTCAATTCCTCAACACGGCCCACTATCCTCAATCGACGCCATTCAACGTCTCGGTAGGCCCATTTTCATCGCGGTGACATTAAGAGGAATCCACATTGCGAGTGAAATCCACGGAATGGATCAAAGGACACAACCATATCCACTCTGTTCAAAGGCAAAATTGGCGCCGCCAAATTCATGAGCTAAAATTGGATCCCACAACAACAGATTCACCCCGCCATCGTCGGGCTCCGAACCAGATTTTAATATTCAAAATCGATGTGAGTGGCTCCGAGTTAAGGTTAAGCATGTGTGGCTGAAGTCGCTGCTTCAGTGGCAGAAGGCGCCAAGCTGTCGGCGCTCTCATTGGCTGGATTTTTGGTGCTTATGTGACCCTTATCCACATCCGTCGCCCATAGTTCATCCAAATGTACTGAATGAACAATTTACTCTACTTTCATCTTCGTAAACAACGAACGAATGAGCGAGGTGCCGGCAAGATGTGCGTTGCCACGTGGGTACGCCGGCCCGGGCAGCACCGTCATTGATGGATGATGTTCCAAAGTAGATGAATGAACTTGCCGGCTCAGTTTGGAAAATATCTCACCTCTGGGCAGGTGGGAATGGGACCCCCAGGCTTGGGCCTAACCTCGTTCTCCTTGAGAATGCTCCCTTATAAGGAAACTTCATTCTCTGGGTTTTGAGGTGATAAATGAATGTGAGAACTTTTCATTATAAGCTAATATGGGCTAGTTTTATATTAAATCTGAGGATCTGAGAACAGGTGGGTTCCACAGTAAATAAAGTTTTTGGTCATTGTTGGGAAGTGTACACAAAGAATATAAATAAATATGTATATCAATAGGCTTTCTTAACTCCAAGATAGAAGCCATGTTTTGGTTTTGGCATAATCTAAGTTTAGAATCTTGTTCTTTTATAATTAAACGATAACTCTTTGAATAAGAATAATTTAAGGATTTTGAACAGGTTGATGGCGGTTTGTTGTAACTTCTACTATTATGTGTTTTGAAAAATAGGAAATTACTAAATAAATATCTTGAATATGTTTGTTTCACTATAGTTCTTAGTTTCACCTCGATACAGTGATAATTAATTTATTGTGTCAAAATAAAATGATGATTCAGTATTTACACGGTTAATAAAGTGATACTTAAAATTGTGTCAAAATAAAATCAATGATTTAATGTGTAGAATAATAAGCACTACAGTTGGTAATGGGCATGAAATAAGAATTACTAATGAAGATATCATAAACATCATACACAATCAGGCAGATAAGTAACGATTGTTTCAGTAATATGTTTAAAATTATAGAGTGTATTTTAATACTACGTTTCTTCTCTTCTTACCTCTTGTGAAAGCATAATCTAGATCTTTGTAGAAGTTGATTGTTTGTTGTGATGTTTCATATAATAGATATTGCATAACATGAATTATTAAAAAATGGTGTCTTACAAAAAAAATGAAGAGCAACACTTGTGTAGGAAGTGTCAAAAAAATGTATAATAATGCAATATAATTTATTTATTTTTTAAATTTAAAAGATAAATATTTCAAAGATACTGACTTTTATGTGCCAGTCTTCCATACATATATTTATACATTATTTTAGAAAGTGGCAAAAAAATGTCCTGTTCGGTGCAGGTCTTATTCATGCATATATTTTTTTAATGCAGACAAGCTTGAATTACAGAGGAGATTTAATTTCATATTTATAAGCTACCATATATATTTAAAAAAGTAGATAACATAGTAAATATTATTAGTAGAATTGAAAACATAAATAAAGGTTTGATAACTTATTTTAAATTTGTATTATTTCAAGCATCATGGACATCTCAAGTACCATGAAATATCATAACTTCTCAATTTAGAAGATAAATATTTCTTTAACAAGTGATAGAAATACTTTTTATAGAAAATATGCTCAAGCTCTAAGAAAAGATACATGAAAAAACCCAAATATTCTTTAAAATTCTAACTGAACAATTTATGATATGCAATGAATGAAATGAAATACAATCAAGCAACATTAAAATCCAAACAAATAGATCTTGTTTATGAGAGAGAATAGCTATTTTCCACATTGCTTAGGTGTATACTTGTCAATTATAAATTAGGAGATCCATCAAAGAAAACCATATGCATTGTATTCTACAAATTTATCTAATATTTTTCTGTAAAAAAACTAAAAGCTAGGGAGTCTCTTAGAGTTGTTGTATTTGAGTAATATAAATCTGCACATTTCTTTCAACTTCTCTTGAAGGTAAAAACAATAAAGCACTGTAATTAATTACTATTTTTTTTTCTCATAAACATGGATTGTTAGTTTAATTCTTTAACATTGGTTTGGACTAATTATAAATACTTTGAAATATTTAGAATTTATTTGGAATTTTATTTAATAATTTGAAATAAGTTTTTGATAAGATCCTATTCAATTTTGAATCAAAAGAAATAAAAATATTATCAATAGATAAATAATATATTATAATATAAAATACAAGATATAAAAGTATCCAATTTTTACCATACATTTGCTATAAACATATCAAAGAGGGTGGTATTTTGTAGCCAAGAAAATAATTTAGGGATTTTTAAGACATAAGGTAGAAATCATCATTTTTAAATTTGATACATATTTTTGTTTTGATTTTGTCTAATGTATTGCAAATTGATTTTTCAAGAATTCAGACTTGTGATTTTGTATGATTTTAAACATATTTCAAATAAAAATAATTCTCACTTGATGCATATACAAACATGTACATTTGTAAAGTAATTCCTATTATATCATATTAAATTGAAATGTTCTGAGGTTGTTCATTAGAGTTTGAACTTCCAGTTTTTTTAAAAAAATTTGATAGTTTTTTTTAATAATTTTTTCCATATGATAACAATATAATTTATAATAACCAAATATATAAATTAAGTTTAATTAAAGAAGATATTACAATAACTATAAATTCTTGTGTTCATACCAACTTATGAATCCCTATTTATGTAATACCATAAATATAGATTACTTTAATCTATAATTCATTAATTAATTAATTTATGAATCTATAATCTATAAATCTATAAGCAACTCAAATTTGTACTAAGAGACCGTAGAAGCAGGGGTAATGAACAGAGCCAGGTGCTGGCTAAGCAGCCAGCGTGGAAAGCCAGCAGGGCAAGGGCGGTCCGGGTCAGCAATCTGACGGAGCAAGCGACAAAGACAAGGGCGGCAACTAACCGAAAGTAACCGACGGCACGACGGGGCGGGGGCGGGGGCGTGGGGGTTCTCGTCAGCATGGCGGACGAGCGCACGTCGTCGTTGCCTCAAGAGTAGTCTCTGCCGGCGCCCCTTTGACCCCATCGCCGCACCGAACATGGCCTGGCATGGCATGGCTCTGTGTGCCAAATACGACCCGTTCTGCTTCGGTGTTGTAACATTTCTGCATTGTGTCATCCCCTTTCATTGTCGGCGTTCATGAAATATCGCAACTGTCAGAAGCGCAAGTAGAAGAAAAGGAAGTAGAAGAAGAGAGCGTTGTGTGGCGCACAGGGAGTTGTGAAGGGGGGAGAGAAAGCGAGAGAGAGAGAGAGAGAGCGAGAGAGGGTGTGTCGTGTGTTTCGTTTGTATTCTTTGTTGTTGGATTGTTTGGTTGGTTTGGTTTATGAGTAGTCCTGTGCGGGGGAAGGTTGCGAGGGAGCTCAACCCTCGATGGCGCAGTCTGGGAAGCCGCTGCATCCGCAGCTGGACCAGCACAACACCAAGGAGCTGAACCTGACGGTCTTGCAGCGGATGGACCGTTATGTAGAGGATATTTTGACCACTGCTGGTCATGTCACCTTGTTCCAGTTCGACACCGTTACCCAACAATGGGTACGTTTTTTATTTTCATTTTTGTTTTTATTTTTTTCGTGGATGAGTGTATCTTCTGTTTTAGTCAGAAGTATGGCGCAATTTGAGGCTTATAGACGCGGCGTGGGTGATATGACGTATTGTAGAGGGGTTGTGTGCATGAGACGGGAGTCGGGACTTGATCGAGGTAGAGAGTGTTTCTTGGGGTTGATGGTTTGTTCAGATTCAATGCCTGTAAAATGGTGAATTGGCCCTGATTTTGTTGAAGAGATAGTGGTTTCCGGAGCATATTAGTGTCCGCTGCGTGCAATCTTAGTAGGGTTTGCCGAGAGTTGGTTTAGTTTTAATGTCTCTCAGTTTCGTACGGGAAATCTCGGAGAAGCACTTCTTATTCACTTGCCCATTCTCTCGTGACGTTGTTCACCTCTGTGCAGTGCGGAGGGCTTTCAAGAGAGTGTTTGCTTGAATGGGGTTGTGTGCGTGGATTTCTGACATGCTTTGTTAGGGCTTGGATGGTACATGCGCTTTGTTTTGCGTGTACGTGTTAGATGATCACATTCTCAATTGTATCAGAACTATGAGGAATTTGACTTGAGATCAATGTATGAGGCTATTCCCGTTGTATTTGGGAGGTAACATCTGGAATGCTGACATTTTCATTCCTCGTCATGCTTTATTCAGATTCGCAAGGATGTGGAGGGCTCACTTTTTGTTGTAAAAAGGTGGGAATTCAGTTGCTCTGATGTATGCTTCGGGTTTTAAATGTTTGTTTTTTTATATATTTTTACTCAGTTTGTGATGTTTTAGTGATGTGTGGGCGTCTTCGTTGCAGGCGCTCACAGCCACGGTTCCAGTTCATAGTGATGAATCGGCAGAGTACGGGTGGGTGGTTACACGGTTGCAATAGCATGGTCTGTATCCGAGAGTGTGAATAAACGACTAGAGCCTCATTTCATCTTGCTAGAATGTGAGGGTTCCCCATGTCTTGTTTGAAGAAGTAGGAATATATGTTTTAGAAGTAGTCTGGCTTGGACGGTGGTTTTAGTATTATTCTCTGAAACCTGTTATTTTGTTTTTCAAATGTAATTCATAATGTAGAGGGTTCGTATATTAGTCAGATGTAATGCTTGGCTCTGATTGAAAGGTTCAGTTATCATCCCTTAATTGTTGATAAGTGTGCTTGGTGGTTTGTTCGTTAATGAGCAGACAATTTGGTGGAGAATCTGTTAGGTGATTTTGAGTATGAAGTGCAAGCTCCGAATCTTCTATACCGCAATGCTAATCAGGAAACGAATTACATCTTGTTTACTAATAAGCGGGAGTGTGAAGAAGTTGATTCTCTTTTTCAAAGGTGATTGTTTTTTGTTGTCATAAAACTCATCTTTGATATTGGTTAGTAGTCATCATCTTCCTCGTTGTTTTCCTTATATTTTTATCATGTATTAATACCGTTGACATTTTTGATTTCGACACTAATTTTCCTTATATATATATATATATATATATGTATATATACCCACGCGCGCGCGCTCTTTTTGCAAATAGTTTCAAGAGTTGGATCATCGTACATGTACGTACAAACTTTTCATAGTTGATACGATGAGATTTCTGTAATCCTGATTAGCGGTGGTTTTATTATTGTGTCAGAATCTTGAACGCCTTCTCGAAACCTCCTTCAAAACCAAGGTTGATTCCTGCAAGGTCTGTTTATACTGCGACTGTGTTATATTGGCAGGTTTCGACATTCACAAAGATGACTGTAGGTCCTGGACAATGTTCTGATTGTTATTAAATTAGGCTGTGTATTGCATTGTTTGTTTTCTGAAATATTTTGTAGGTCATTGTTTCGGCATCAGGTTGTAATTTGAGTTCTTGGTTAACGTTAAGTGTCTGTGCTCGTTTGTATGTGCCTCGTTTCTATTTGTACCCGGTGATGCATGAATGTGAGATTCATGTGTCGAATATGAGCATTATTCATAATCTCTTTTAGACGCATGTGTCGAATATGGCATACAATATTGTTGTATTCTTTCAACCAACAACTGACGTGATAATAGGTTTTATATTGTGAGCCACTCGCAGCTCAGATTATGTGGAACTTGAGGCTGCCCCTACTTCAGTAAACTTTGAAGGTCCATTGGAGCGAGGTCCTATCGCTTCCTCAACAATGCTCGAGATGCAGGATGAACCACTGGAGCGTCGTTTGGTTTGTTGTTCATCCCTCATCTCATTTGTTATATATATATATATATATATATATATATATATATATTCGTGTGTATGTGTGTGTGTGTGTTGTCTTCTTATTGGATTTGAGTAATTTAATCTATAACTGCGAGAATCGTCTACTAGACAGCCCTTTGCTCCAAATGGTTTTTATGTCGTTTAGATTGGGTCTTTGTTTTGAGGTCGAAGGGTCGGTTGGACTATTTCTCCCGGTTTTCTTCGAGTTTTCATTTTTTCTTGGATTCCATACTTTTTTACAAGTACCTTCTATTCTGCTCTCTATCTCTTCCATCTTTTTATTCTAATTTGTTCCTTGTCTCATGTGTTTGAATTCTGTTCTTCAGTTATTTTATAATGTCTTTTCCTCTCATGCCATTGCGGTCCTATTCAGGCTGTAGTCAATGTCAACAGTTGAAGTTTTTCTTGTGCATGCAACTTATTTAGGTCCTTGCGAACGTGTAACAGAATACAGTGCGTACAAGCACACCCGATATTGTTCCCTCAACAGCAACTCGTCCTCCAATAAATCATTCAGTGCAGTCTCGTACAAGTGTACCTGCTTCTCCTACTCTTGCTCCGATGCCTTTGTCATCCATTCTTTCTTCAACAACAGCCTCACCGCTGAATTCTCTTGCTCCACCTTTGCCTCTTGATACCCCTGATAACCCCTCTGCAGGTCGTGCAACTCTTATAAAGCCATCCTTCTTTGTTCCTCCTTTTTCTTCAGTTCACAGCACCCCTAGTGCCCCTCTGATTCCGTCTTCAACTCCTGTGGTACCTTCCCATGGTGCTCCATTGCTTCAACCCTATCCTCCTCCGAATCCGCCACATTCACTTTCTCCAGCCATGCAACAGGGTGTACCAGTAACTAGGGATGGGGTCCGAGATGCACTCAATCGCCTCGTCAAGGTGATTATCTCTTTGCATTCAATACTTTCGCCTATTTAAGGTATAGGTGGATTTTGTTGTGAAGTGATCGCCAATGACTGAACTGTCACACATGGCGTATACATCACTTGATTTACAGCTGTCATCAACAAAACTATGATGCGCAAGTGGTTAGGATCTGTGCGGAGTCTAAAATAACACTGGCTATTGAGAGTTTTCTCATCCTCAGTTGGTGCAAATGCATTTTGCCATCAATTATGCTATGATAGTAATGCTTTACTGGCTCAGACGATCTGTTAAGAATTCCAGTGCATATGTTGCGGGGCCTTCATGGGTTTTATTGTTTCATAGATGTTTCCTCAATTATAGGTAGGAAGTTGTTATGTGAGGATGAATTATGATCTTCAGTTGATGAACGCTTTATTCCTTCCTAGACTTCTATTCTGATTTGAGGGTGTGGTTGTGATGTAGAATGAGCATTTCATAGAGATGGTGTATCGAGAGATGAACACACACAGTTTTCGATACGGTTGAAGGATTCAGGCAGAAGAAGATTATCACTTTATTGCAAGCTTGTGAAGCTTTTAGTAACCATTTGGTGCGTCTCTTGTGTCTTGGGGCTTAAATGTGCTGTGGTCAATGGAGCTCACTGAGAAACTTGAAGAGGTTGCTGTATACAGAACCAGATGATTGTTCTAGAATGTAATATCTTGCCTTATGTGCCCCTTTTTAAGCACACATTTGCAGGAATGGGAGCATCAGACACTGCATAGCAGCACATTAGAAAAGTTTTGGTAATACTGGAAGGTGCTGTGGTTATTACTATATTTTTTAGCTATGTAAAGCAACCTGGACTTGAGCACCTTGGAAACATCTTTATCAGTATGTAGGAGTACATATGCCCAAAGCTGTGCTTGATCACATGGTGTAGATTGCTTACATGAATCTTCATGAAAATACTTTCTTTAATAAGCTACTGAAGTAACTACACAACTAGATAGAAACCTGGTATTGAATATGCGTTACTGATGCAATGAGTGCTACAGTTATAATCAAGAGCCCTATTTGTCTAAGCCGTCTTCCGAAGAGGTTGCTTGCGAAATGTACATCATATTATTTGATAGCTTGAAATACGTAGTGCTTCGGTTTTGCAGGTGAGACTCTTATCGGTTCTCTTACAATCTTCTACTTCTCATTCGAGATTTTGGGTTTCTGTTTTCAAGTCTTCGAGGAAATTCCAGCACCTGGGGGCTCCTTTACAATTGAAGAAATGGGGTTCAGAGGAAGTCCTTTCTATGTGCTCTGAGTCCTCAGAAAACCTCTGCTTCTGTGCTGGTGGGCATGAGTCTTTCGGTGAGTCTTTGTAGACATTGTTTGGCACATATACAAAGCTCCAAAGTTGCGTCTTGGTTACTGTTATTACTGGTAACTACCGAATCAAGCACAACTTTATCTCACAAACTAATGTAGTGAATAACCAAGTTCGGGTTGCAGAAGACATCTTAATACTAAAGATGGTAGCTATGTACTTTGGAGGAGAAAGGTTACTTCTACAAGCAAAGTATCTTTGGAGGGAAGCATCTAAAATAGGTATTAATTAAAGGTGGGAAGGTGGTTTGATTCTTTAGATATTTATTAAGATAAAATAAACCAGTAGTCTATTGACATATTTGTAATTTATAAATGTTGATCTTAATATGATTAAGTGGCACTTAGTTTTAAAATATATTATTAGAATAATTTTCAAAAATAAGAATCTAATATTAAATAAGTTATCTTTAAAATTCCACAAGAAATGTTTTAGAAAGAAAAAATGTATCTACTTTACTTTTGTAAGATTACAAAAATAATTGATGAATTTTGTGGTAGAATCATTATAACATTCCAACAACCTTATTTTTTTGTTGTATATTAAAATTTTAAACAATTCTACAATCTAAAACTACTGAAAATTTAAAAATATATCCATGTTTAAATATAAAAAAACAAGTTTTAGAATTGAATTTTAGCAATCCAAGCTTTTAGAGTTGATAGTCAAGTAAATTGTAGCCAAACTAAGATTGTTATTAGTTTTATTAATTGGCCACTTGAATCTTATTTATCTTAGCTCAGCCATTTAAGTAATATATTTTATTTAAGATACTACTATCTTTTTTACAACTTCTTGACAATTTTAAACATTATATATATATATATATATATATATATATATATTATTTTTTTAAAAAATAAATATATTAAGTTGTGTATATGAATATATATATTTTTATCAAATTTAAATTTTGAATTTTGATTTACAATTGGTTGGATCATTTCTTTTTTCTTTGATTTCTACAAGTTAATAACTAAAGTACTTAAGCTAACAACTATGTATTATATTTTTGATGCAACATTCTAGAAATATTTATAAGATGAATAAAAGTTGTTAAAGTTTTGCAAAGAATGTTGTTATTACAACTTTTTATTTCTAGTATCTCTAAAATCTTATAATGATTGTAGAAGAGTAATTTACATATGTTCTAACCATAATCTATTAATACTTCAAAATAAACATAAAACTTCTATTTACTTATCTTTGTTTAAAATGCAATCTAATATGTTTGTAGAAAACAATAAAAGTTATAATTTATTTACCAAATATCTATCTATCTATATATATATATATATATATATATATTGCAATAAAAAATACATAAAAATTCTGAATTAATCAATTTAGTTTTTGATTAAATTGGAATATACTTAAAGCTTTAAATATTGTATTAGCTAAATTAATTAATTTCCACTTGATCTAATATTTATACAATTAGTTACCACATTTACACAACATTTGCACAAATTAACAAACCACTATGTAAAATTGTATATATATATATATATATATATGTTTTTTTTTTTCCTTTTCTATTTTTATTCTAAAGATCTTGTGATCCATTATAAATCTATTTCACCACAAAGAAAAGGATCTAAACATATAGAGCTAATAGACATGAAAAAGCCCTTCAAAAGGGAAATCAAAATTATAATTATTATTTTAAAAATTATTGGATGGTGGAAGGATATTTTTTTTTTGAATTTATCTATGATATTTTATGCATTTGTGTCACAACAATGCACACAAAGTCACCTTAAGCAAAGTTGGCAAAAATATACAGGATTGTAAAAAAAAAGAAAAACATACATTAATGTTGGTTTAGAAACGGATAATTTTTTTAAGACACCATATATATACATATACATATATATATCTATTTTATTATTGAAAAGAGGTCAAAATTTTAAGTTAATCCTTTAAACTTCAATTATATAACTTTGATTTTATTATTGTTAGTGTACTGAAATTGTTACAATTTTTTTTCTGATTTCTTTGCAATGATTTCTTTTATAAGAACCTAAATAAATATACAGAGAATTAAAATTAACCAACTTATAATTTCGACTTCCTAATCATATAAAAAATATTCAAATGAGAACAACTGTGAACTTGCAGTGTGAACGCAAATTGAACAATACGCCAGTGTGAACGCAAACAGAACAATACGTCAGTGTCAACGCAAATATAAGAGCGCTGCAGTGTGAACGCATGAAAAATCATCGCAATACAAGTCTAGAAGCACACTTATCCTGGAAGGGAAGTGGGGGTTTAAGTTGCTCCGTTGCATTGCAAATGATTCGCACCCGTCTGGTGGGGTATTTCGCAATTCCTCCTGATAGAATTTCTGGGGGGGTCGTGGTTAGTGTAGGCGCATTCTCAAAGAAATAGTGGGAATAGATTGCATGCAATTTTTGTGCAATAGTATCATGGGTTCCTCCACCACCATGCACACAAGCTCGTTGTCTCAGTTGCTGCGCCATTCGAAGAATCCCACTGTAAGAGTGTTTGATTGCTGTGCTTCTTCTCCTTCTACAGCAAGCTTCGCTCCTCTGAGACGAGAATTCGCCAAATGTGAATCTAATTCATCGTTGGGTGCGAGGACAATGTTCCTGCGTCTTCAACACAGGCAAGCATTTCCACCTCTAGGGTCCATGTTGTCTTGCTTTCGGCAGGGTGAAGCTGGGAGGATAGGTGGGAATTTGGCATTGAGCGAGAGGTCGTTTAGGCGAGGGAGGATTACCCCTAGAGCAGCGACCGAAGATGTGCCGTCATTTAAAGGATTCGCCCCTATGCAAGAGAAGCCCAAATTCTGGTGGCGTATATTGGCGTGTGTGCCATACCTAATGCCTCTGAGCGAGACGTGGATGTACGCGGAGACTGCTTATAGTTTGCACTCCTTTATTGAGGATTACGAGTTTTGCACATACCCATTTCTGATTCTCATTGGTACCCTACCCAGCTGGTTCTTGCTAGCGTATTTTTTTGGCGCTTATCTGGGCATTGTCCGCAACAACCGATGGCCTCATTTCCTACGGTTTCATGTAGTGACGGGGATGCTTCTCGAGATCATAGTGCAGGTTATTGGTACTGTGAACGATTGGGTGCCGCAGGCTGTGTACTGGGGTAAATTTGGAGCTCACTACTGGCTGGCAGTCACATTTGCTTTCCTGTTCATTGTGCTGGATTGCATCAGGTGTGCTTTGAATGGCATGTACGCTGACGTGCCCTTCTTGTCCGATGCATCTTACATGCAGATCCCTTACGAATAGTTTTATGTACAAGGGTTTTAAGAAGAGAACATGCAGGTATCCTATGTAGGAGGTAATTAGGCTAATCGTGAATGGATTGTTGGTTCTATTTCTTCGTCCCAATATAGTCTCATCAATATGAGAAGTTCACATAGCGTTTTTCAATTATGTCGTTACGAAGTATATTATCGCTGGTTTCTGAGAGTTGTTTTGCAGTTGTGCTGAAGCACGCAATGGATGGAGGGAGTAGAGTCGCCAGTAAGCCAAACAGGTTTCTAAATGTGATTTATCAAGGTGTCCAGGACTTCTGCAGGATCTTGTTATTGAATTGATGCAATTGCTGAATCAGGGGGTTTGTCCGCAGTCTGGATTTGAGATAATTTTGACAGTACTCTTAAACAATCGTTTTTTGAGAATGTTCCTGTAGTGAAGCATGTGGATTAATGTATTTGACATGTGAGTGTTTGAGTTTAAGACTGGAGAGGCCATTCAATATCTGATGCCCATTTTACGTTTTTCCTTATCAAAGGAGGAAGCTTGGGCAAGAATATCCTACTGTCTGGCTAGAATGCACCACCTTGTCTGATCAGATTTTCCTATGCCTTCCTTCTTCATTATCCCCCTTACCAGTGCTACCTCTCTCACTACTCCCAGCAGTCTGCCTATGCTTCCACATTCTTTACACGTCAAGTTCAAACCAAAGACGACAAGGCCGATTGCAATCAGCCTGGCGTTCGAGAATATTAACAAATTGTTCTAGATACGGTTTCAAAGTCTGAAGAAAGTGCTAATGTATTGTTTTAATCAAGTGTGCCCTGGCAATAATGAGCAATCGCGACCGTCCAAGGGTGGTTGGTGCCTGCTGTATCATGCGAAGAATTAGGTTTGTGCATATAGAGTAAGCTGGGATGATATGTCTGTACTCGAAAAACTTTGCGTTGTTTATTTGTTTGTTCCGTGACAAAGATATCCACTACGGTTTCTTGCCATTATACGAAGTGGTACAACGTAATTGATGTTTGTGCAATTAAAATCCGCCCAAGTTTACATGTTACTGTGGAAGACTGACCATCCTACTTAACCGTCGGTTCGTAGCATTCAATTCAGTCTCATGCATACGGCATACTTAGATAATCCTTTTTGTAATCCCATATTGTTGCAATCGATCCGTGAAAATTGTGCGTGTAGCTTGAGGTTTCACTCCAAGGAGTTCCCTCTTGGATTCGGCACCTGAGCCTGTTTGACATAAAAATGACCGCAGAAAATGTTCTGTTCAATCAAGGATCAAAGACGCTCTTACCAAATAAACCATACAGGAGCTGTGCAAGGCAAGGGCTACTAGCACACATCTACAATTTAGATAATGCTACATCAATTCAACCTGTATGCCCTTGTTAAAAATTTATTTCCCATCAAAGCGAGACCGCTGAGTACGAGTACTCGGCCAATTATACATTCTTCAATACACAGATGAGAATGTGGCTCATTAAACCGAGACAATACGATCGAATGACCCATCATATAGTAATTCACATAATTTTCTATTATTCACAAGGCAACAGTCACTACAGCCATGCACCATGAGCAGGAAATAAAACAGAAGTGTATCATACACGCAATTGAAAGTTGAAAGAAAGCAAGTCAAAAGAGTTACTCTTCCTTCTAATGACCTTCACAACAAAGTCAAAACACCTGAGCAAGTCAACGGACAGATAGCTCTTAAATAGCTCATGTAATCCTACAGGGTCTTCTAGTTTCATCACCTGACATGTTACATCATGCTTTTATACAGAAGTTTCCAAAATTTCCAATGCTAAGCGACAAAAACGTGACGTGGTCACCAAGGGTGAATATAATCCAGTCTAAAAATCACAAAATTGAGCCTCCTGATTGCGAGGCCTTCTCAGCAGCTTCACACTCGGTGACAAGATCAATAAATTCATTCAGCAGACGCTGGATAGCTCTGTTTGCTGCCATTGCAGGTAACACAAACTCCTTGAGCAACTCTCGCTTGCTCAAGCCCTGCGCACGGTAAATCAACCTTGTCAATGCAGACGTCCAACCCAGCAATGTCACAGTGTGGTCAGTGCAGACTGCATTCAAACCAGAACTTTGAATAATAAACAGAATCTTACTTACAAAACATCGAAGCACTGCCAACCACCAACTTCGGCATATCAAAACCCCAATCCCAACACTTCGCTGCGTCATTGTAATGAAGACAAATGATGTAAGTCATAGAAGAGAGAAACTTGCTTACAAGAATATCAGGTTTCCACGACTGCAGCTTTCCTACAGGACCGACAGGTCCCAACAACTCTTCACAAAGTTCTCTTAGTCGTGCTTCGTCACTTTCCCTGAAAAGCGCGGGGACTCATCAGTGCAATTTTACAGTAATTCTTAACTTCCTGCTTCTATCATCATTTCTTTTATGAAGCGTATCCGTAAATTAAAAATGATTCACTATCCCTTTAAGCGGCTCCTTTAGATTGAAAGTCGAACTAAATGTCCAGAAGGCAGTGTACTTACTTAGTTAGGCACCTTACATATGCAACGAGACACCGGCTATACTCACTGGCGGACTTGAGTGCAAGAGCAGAACTCATTTGAACTTCCAGGTGAACTCTCGTCTGCCATTTCTCCTCGGAAAGAGACATTCTGATCACGAAATGGTTCTCGATGTTAACAATTGGGATTTCTTTTTTACTTTCCAAAGAAGTAAGAGATGAATAAGGTATAGAACTATTTCAATATGTATTCAACCAGTCAATAGGACAATGGTGGGTATCTTAAATACGTTGTACGAGATAGAGACTTAGGTGGGGTGGTATTCATATTTCACAACGGAAAGGTTTTTTTAAGGAATAGGAAGAACTTAAAAATAAAGACTAACCTGTTCCAAAGGAACGATGGACCAGCCGCTCTAGCAACACCTGCCTGAAGGTTAGCTAGTTCCCCATTATCAGCATCCGGCCATGTGGAGACAAAATTAGATGCTGGAAAAGAGTCATCCGCAACCCTTAACCAGCAGCACATGCCGATGTTGAAAATAAAAGCATGTCGATTAACCAGCACAATAAGCGGAGCCCCTGCCTTTGAAAGTCTGGCTGAAACCAATTTCATTGTTCCTGAACAATCCATAAATAGGTCAAGATCCAAAACAAACAACCACGATCACGACATTTCAGTCCACAAAAACTACTATCTCTTCACCAATATGACCAGAACGATTCAATCACTCTGAGCACTAACTACGAAGAGAGATCACCAAATTACAAAAGGAAAAATTACAACAAACGCAAATCCAGCTAAATATGGTATTCGGCAAATTATTGAATACCTAGTAACAATTGAATGAAACAACAATGCTTAGAAGACCTTGGCTGTACCACTAGAACGAAGCGGAAAGTTTTTAGATCCTCACCATTACTAGCCAGCGTTGAATTGGCTGACGTAGAGTTCAGAAGAGGGCCAAGTGATTCATGAAGTAGACGCTTGGACTCTTGCAAGTCCCATAGATGAAGTAATCCATTCCGTGTAACAACCATTAATTTCCAGTTCTCGTCACAGTCCATGAACGCTGCTGCCGATCCCAACATTATACTCGGCTGTGCCCTCCGTCCAGCCATTGTATAAATCTGAAAACATGTCGGAATCTACTTCAGTCTCCAACAACAGTGGCCCTGTGCGGCGAAGTATCGAATCTAGTCCACCGGAGAATTCCCGACAGCATGCATTAACGTTAGGTGTATTAAATCACGAGGTGAAATCCCAGCTATAGAAGATAAACGACCGTCAACGTACCTGTAGGCTTCCATCTCCGCAGGCTACAGCCCAAAAATTGGAATTTCCGGACAGGGCAGTGGGCATGGAGACCAAGTAATCGCACCAACGAACCTCGCCATCTTGAGAGCAAATTATCTTCGCCTTGGCAGAGCTTTCACGAATTGAAGTGGGAGCTGCGGAGCCTAAAGCTGATCCTAAGTTATTTGTACACTCTGCGGGTCTGGCTTCTAAGCAGATAGGAGCTTGCACTTTAGAATCCTCGCCACTAACACCTTCAGGCATTCGAATCCTTATCGATAGCACTCCCTCAGGAGTAGTCATCCTTTCAACTGGTACAACCATATCCAGCTGTGAACCACCTGCGATATTTGATGGCCTTTCACTGCCCAGGCCAATCGCAACAACAGCAGCTGAGGAGGAGCGAGCTGCAGGCGCCAAGGCCTCATCGAGCGCGATTCCATTACTTCGTTTCGCAGGTGGCACATCAGGCTTGATGTAGTCTTCGGGCAATCTCCGCTTCGATGCAGTTTCAGGTGCGATATTTGCAATGCCTCCCAAATCCTCTTTTCTGACATCTGCCGTGGTTGTGAAAGAATCATATTTTACACTGCTGTGTAATGCGCCATTGCCAAAACCGTCCTCTCCTCGAGGCGGCCCCAAAGGTTCTGGGATGATTCGTCGCCGTCCATCAGCTCGCCTGTACTCTGTCTGCTTGACTGAGCTCGGAGCTACAGGAGGAGAAACAGATGGGACAAGGCTGCCATTACGACCATCAATACCAAGAACAGGTGCTGGGAGAGGCTTTGTCAACACCTTTGTATGTGCCTCAGTAGAGGGTGCTGGGGGAGGCTTTGTAGGAACCTTTTTAGGCATCTCAGCATCAACTGTGCCATTAGCAACTTTGGGCACTGCTTTAGTAGAGTCAGTGTTATCTCTATTAGGGGCATTTCCACTTCCCCATTGCTTTGCCGCTGCCGCCTCCAGCATCAATTGTGCTGGACTTTCAGCTACTGTTGCCTGCGACATCATGATATGTTAAGGTCAGACCACAAATGACAACTAAAACAGAAAATGCACATTCATAGTCTTAGTTAGAATAGAGATGGATAATACTCACCTGCCGCACGCGGAGGTCACCATAGCGGCTCTTCTTAAACTCTTCCATTTCTGCATCTGAGATTTTTTCACCCAGTTCTTTGCGTTCAAATTGAAAAGACGCGACAGATCCATCGAGAGAGCAGCAGAACAATGTGTAACCATCTGGACTCCTGTTCAACAAATAAAAATGTCATGTTTGGAGACACGGGGAATAGTATAAATTTTGAAGTTAAAAGTCAGTAAAAATTGAAAATAAGAAGTCAGTCATGCCCATCCTCAACACTTTTATCATTTTCCATCCTCATATCTTCAGGATAATCTCGATAAATGATCCGGACAATAAGACCACGCTGCAATGAGATGGGGAACGCACCAGGAAAGATCAACAACACTTTGTTGGAAAAAATGCTTTCCAATAAATACCGGACGGGGGCTCCCAGTGGTCCACACGGAAATACAGCAGTCTTGGCTCCCGATGGCTATAACATTATAAGGCGCTAATTCTTTAGTTTTTGAAGAAGTTCCGTTGGCCCCTCCCCAAGATGCAGCTCCATTTCCAACCCCATCTACCGTTCCATCCACAGAGGTCTTTTTCACCTGATTGCAACAGTTTTTGGATGTTAATCTACATGTAATGCATCACAAGCTTCGTCCCTTGCTCACCGAGATATGAAAATCTGCAGAAGTGTTGTGTGATAACTTGATAACGAAGGAAAAGTATTACTTCAACAAACAGGTAATTACCAGAAGCGAACTTAGCATTCAGTAAATTTTATCGAGATAATTTTCATTCACAAATTTGTTCATCTCAAAACTTATCTCGTAAATTTAACGCAAACTCAGTAAGATCTCCACAGCTTAATCCATACTCTTTGAGACATAGCACACGAAGTTGTACCTTTCTAAACATTGAATGGTTGAATCGGACAGCCACAACTGGCGCATTGTGGCCAACGAAATCAAAAGAAGCCATCCACTCTCCCCTCTCTAAAACTGGAGCAGTATGACTAGGATTTTGGAATCCGTGAGTTGTGGCAATGAAATGGCCACACGGTGACCATCCCAATCGTCTGAAGAACGTAGACCCAACCTGAGGGAAGTCCGCAAGTACCCCAACAATCAGATGCACTTCCAGGTTGTGTGAACAATCATTCCTTATATTCTTCACAAATATAGGACCCATCACTTGATACTTAGCATAAAAGCGCAAAGTCAAAACTACAAATGGATTAGCGTCAAAGAGGACAAACACATGTGACGCAGCAAGTTTGAGATACTTACAGTTTTTTCCCATGGCCCTTCAACTTTTTTTACCATGCTCCAGTTGCTAGTTCGCCAAATTATTACAGACTTGTCATCAGATTGGGTTGCTAAAAATGAACCAATGGGATCCCAGGTTAACCCTTTCACAAGGCTCTGATGGCCAGTGAGAACTGCAAGAACAGCACCAGTAGAGGCCTGCCACACACGAATAGTGTTGTCCAAACTACAGCTAGCAAGCTGTGTATCATCCGGTGACCACCCAAGATCCACCTACTTCAGGGAACGCACACACAGCCAACCAAACGCACAATTTAGTGCCTTAATGAGGGTTAAAATGCGTTACAATCAACCCAGAGAACTCATACTAAAAAAATTCAGAAACCTAGTTTTTATAATTACCAGTCCACTAGACAAATTCTAGCGTTGTGTCACGCAATTCATGATAAAGAAAATTTATCGTCAGTGATCAGCTTTAGAACCAGGAACTGATTTTTTATTAAGTTAGAGGTGGCAAGAAGTGAACACTCGATTTTTCCATCGAAAGCGACAACATATCCTCTAAGCTGGACTTGAAACGATCAATGGGGATGATGCTATGAAAGTCACAACAAGCAATGTTTTAGATCAAATTCAATTCCGGAAGGTACGACCTTGATTCATCATTAACAGATATAAGTTGAAGTTAGATATTGAAAATAAAAAAAAAGGTCAAGCACTTGTCGGAGAAAATTCTATCGGTAATGGCAAAAGACGAGCTACCAAACAAAAGTAATCCAAAGAGGACCTCTAACAGCTGTTGATCTTCACGGTATTGCTCACAAGGATAACAAAACCTCAATGGAAGATAGTAAAACATAAATAAAAAGCACGAATTTTTGAATTTCCTAGAAGCAATGCAGGGTGTTATAGGGACGAAAAAATACCACGTCAGCAGAATGACCCCGTAGAGTCAAGAGCACCTTCCAGTTTTCAACATCCGGGGGTTCCCCGCTTCCGAATTCAGTAGTACCGGAGCCGGGCCTCTTTTCATGAATCAAAACAACTTGATCATCAGATCCAGAAGCTATTTTCTGACCACACTTCGCCCATCGAACGCAATTGACAGAACCAAAATGGTCTCTCAATGTTGCAAGCAACTTCGTGTCTGAATCTGTTTCTTTCTCAGCCAATGGCCTCATGTTCCAAATTCGCACCTGGCACACAAAGGTACCAATTATAACACTTGTCTCTACATTGCAAATAGTCATATAGTCAACCCTGTTCATATCATCGTTTCCATGGACAATCTTGACACTGTCGTTGATATCAGAGAAGAATCAAGTACTGAAGCACGATGGAAGAACATGAGCTGCTGGAGATTGTAAACGATGGCGACTTTGGAACTTTAAAACATTACATGCTCACGATCACAAATTGAACAAACTAAGACAAGCTCATGGCATCTGATAAACAATCGTGGTAACGAAAAGCGCCACTCCCCATAATGTGGCAACTTGCCATAGTTCGTAACCAGACACTCAAAACCTAAGATATTCTACGGTACTGCGTTCAAGTACGGCATAATCCAAAACAGAGCTTTTGCTAATTGAATAGTTGGGAAAAAACCGCTGAGTGGTCAACTAGGTAAAGCACATAAGCAGCATCTCAAGCAACTGTTAGAAAAATCTGCACTGACCAATACCGCCAGAAAATAGTGAACGACATGACCGAAATTCCTTCACAATAAAGAAATCAAACCAGCCTTGTTAGAATCATGCAACGTTGATGTGGAAAGATTCTCGTAGGTATGCCAAGGGCAAATAAATACCTTGTGATCCCCTCCGGCTGTGGCAAAACGGAGGCCATTGGGCTGTGTGTCCACGGAGAAAATCTGGAGTCCGGCATGGCGCAACCACGTGGGCTTTTCCACGATCATTTTAAGGGGATACTTGTGCACCCCCTCTCGCCCACCCCCCGCCCACGCCCAGCCCCTGCGTGGGCAGGGCTTCGCTAACGTCGTGCCAGAGAACACGCAGTGCGAATAGCGAAAACCATGTACAAACGATGCCGGAAATTTCCCAGAAGAGAGAGAGCGGGAGACACCACCAGAAGATGGGAAACGACAAGTTGTACCGCGAGGGACGAGATGGGTTTAAGGTTTACACATGGAAGCGGATGCCAAGCAGGGAGTTGACATTGATTTTCCCCGGATTGCAGAGCTCAGACAGGGGGCGCGGCTATGGTGGCCCCAATAACCAGGTCTCTACCAAATGGTTCGTGAGCCCCCCCAAAATGTGGCAAGAAGGAAATTCTTTTCCGTACGTCTCATCACATGCCACAAACTGCACAAACCTACACAAAACCTACACAAAACCTACACAAAACTCATCAAAAGTTTACCGCACAAGTCTACATGATGTAATATATAACCCCCTTGAGTGATACAAAAAGGTTAATATTCCGCCCCAACAGCCGTAGAAACCAGAACAGACACCACCACCTGCAAGGCAACGAAGGAACTGGACCGAGGAAGAACAGAATGTTGCTACCATACCACACAGCCAAGGTGTTTCTACATCCGGCTCCTCCCACCTCAACATGCACACGGATTCCTTCACAGAGATAGATATTAATAGAAATATGAGAAAAAGATGGAAAAAAAAAGATTAACAGAAAAGAAACCTCTCAAAAGCTTAGTCAAAGCACACTCCACACCAAGCCCAGCCAACCCCTTCCAACTGAAGTGGGTGTTGCTCAGGATGCTCAGCATGCTAAGGATGAAGCTTAAGAACCATAACTTGTAACTGAGCAACAACAGCAAAGTAGGACCTAGACTCCACCCTTAAAAGTTAACCCACGTTGATCTCTCTCTCTCAAGTATGCTAACCCACGCACCAGAATAGCAGAAGATCAAGGGATGTGTGATGACCAATAAACATCAAATGCCTTTCCCAGGAAACATAAGCTTTACTCGCACACACACACTCTCTCTCTCTCTCTCTCTCTCTCTCTCTCTTGCTATAAAATTGCTCGGCGGATGGAATCAATGATGGGACTTGGACAAGGAATCAGTGGTAAGTCACAACGTCAATGGTTATCACCGTTGTGTAATTCATTATCTTTTACTTGTTACTCCTCTTGCTTCCTGGAGAAGAGGAAGTATCCTTCACGCTTATTTACTAGACATGGCAAATGAAAAAAAATAAAATAAAAAATGAAAAAAAATCTCTGTAATGGCTCATAATTCACAGCCTAGCCTTTTGGTTGGACTCTGTAGTAAAGTTTATAGAGTTAGTATGTGGAAATTTTTCAGTCCGTTCGATTATTGTTGGTAACAGCGAAGCCAGTCATCTTTCAGGAGCCATGAGTATTAGGTCATGCATGACATCAACGCTAGAGGCGAGTCAAATTACCGCAAGCAAACGAATGTGGAAGTTTGATATGATTCGCAAGGGCTGTGACATTTTTCTGCCATTGAGACGTATGGCTGTGGAAGATTGCGAGTAACTTGCTCTGTTGCTGTCTATTGCTTAGTTGAGAAGCCTGACCGAACATGGAAGCCGAACAATTTTCAAGAAGGTTATAAGTGCTCAAGGGTGCTTTCAGATACAAGTGTTCGATTCATCAATTGTCGATTGATTTTTTAAAATAGAAAGGGTGAGTAGGGTAGGGAATTCTTAGGTGCAATATTTCAAACATTTTGAGACGCCCTGAAATGTTTTTAAAGTGCGACATTTTCTCCAGACTCTCCTGAACGATGGGCCAAGCCTTTCCTACTAAAGTTCTAAGTTCTTAACGCTGTCGCCGCTGTCAAAAGCGGTGTTGGAAGTATGCTAGAGAGAAGATTAAAGTATGCTGCAAGTAGATAGGCATATTTGGTATGCCACCTAACCTCGTGGCTTTTAGGGGGAAATATAATCATTTACAGGATCCGACTGTAGCCGTAAGCTGCCCAAATTTAAGTGATCGACAGCCTTGAGACCCCACATCAATGATGCCATCAAGACTTTATCATCTTATGTCATGCTTCTGGCAATTGCAGTGCGTACGGAGAGAACAAGAAAACGTATAAGCTGGCACTCCAGCCATCCAGAGGCAAGTAGAAATGATAATGACTATTAAGTAGTTGGTCTCAGCTCGTATTTCCTGAACGTGATTTTCATCTAAACAGCACTCTCCCCTGTGTACTTTCATAATACCTCACAAAGAAACCAGGTTAATGTGGTCTACAATAATAAGCTGCAAAAATATCAGAAATACCAAGGTAAGACACATGTACGAACCATCAGACAGTGTGATTGTTGACATCGTAACCATCAGAGGAAGATAAATTCGGAGGGGTACACCGTCCAATTTATCCAGTACATTGCCACCATCAATCCAACGACCAAAAGACTTTGATCTTAACTCCCCAACTCTTTCCTAAATGAGAGTCACCCAGTATGCCATTTTGTCAGACACTTCCCTAAGAATTCTCTTTCCGCCTAACGTATACCCGATAAAGTGCAATGCCGGCAATTGCAACAGTCGTTCCAACTGCATCATCCACCAAATGCCCCAAAACCTTCGTTAGGAACGGGATACCACAAAATGCCAAAGCAGCCTATAAATTACTACTCGCATGTGCAAATGCGCCCACAAAAAAAATCCTCATAACACCACATGCCGATCCATAAGATTGTGGATTACTTGCCAATGACCTTGCAAGGCCGGGATAGACACATCGAATAAGATATCTGCTCATTCTCAAAATCATCCGACTTCATTATACAAGCGCCAATCAGTTTTCAGCTTACCAGCAGCAACTGTGAGAGACCGCTGAATCAAGCGTCGATAGTGCTTGTTAACCCTGCCTTGTTCTGTTTCAGGTATACTCAGGTGTGGACGTTGAGCAGCATCAACAATTCGTCGGAACAAGTTGCCAATATCTCCTAACTTCATGCTCACTGATATAGGAGGTTCAACTCCCATTTCATTGCAAACCTGTACATTAAGAACTATGATTGTTATGCTTGATGGAGAATATAGATCTCAATATCGTACGCTCAATCTCACCAATATAAAATTATATGAAATCTCCTTTTCAGGAAGATACAAACAGCGATGAAGCAAATAAACCACAAAAGGAAAATATCAGCAACTCCGTACCCGTATTGCATTTTGTGAACATGACGAGTCAGGGTCAAGATCGTCCTTGGCAGCAATTAGTAAACAAGGCATTTCCATACCATTCATCTCTCCGTAAGCTGCTACCGCGACCAGTAATTCATGAGCTCGGTTCCAAGACGCTGCGTCAGAGCTGCGAAGTCACAAACCATTCCAACCCCATTTCAACACCTTCCCTTAGAGTTTTCTTTTAAAGACTTCTCTGATACTTCTCCTCAAATTTTGACTGATCAAGGACTCCAAGTAAGTGAGCTCGAACCTGTCATAGACAAAAGCAGCTACATCGCAATCCGTCAGGGCGTCCTTCTTCCCCAGGAGGCTTGTAACAGATTCCTCATTGACCTCCCTCAATATCAGCGTTTTCCTGGATCCCTGCACACCAAACCACCTATTGAATCGCAATACACAACTTCCAATTTTATGTTGTTCATACTAGAAAGAGGTAGACGCAATCGACAGATTTATTCTGAAATAGACTGAGTAGGATTAACCATCAAGTCATTGTTATCTAAGGATTCAACACGTACCCCAATCTGTTCAACTACGTTTGCCGTGCGGTGAACTCCTTTGGTATGTCCAGGGGCTTCATTGTAGGGCCTGCAGAAAGACAAATTATTTAATGAAAAATGGTTTTAACAAAAGTAGGTTAGACTTATCTATCATAATTTTAAAGAATTTCGTTGATATTCACATGATAAAACTAAAACAGATTCCAAAGAAGAAAGACAAACGGTATAATTTTACTTTAGGTTGCAGACAAATAAGAATATGAATACTTCCTACTTATCGCCTAAATTTTGCATTCCGAAATATTAAAACTTTCAGATTCAATAGTCTATCTTCGAAGAATATCTTCTCGGTATGTTCAGAAATTGACAAAAGGACAATAAAGTACATAAACTGCCTGTTAAAAGGAGCTACTTCAACACATTCAACCTCAACAAAGGCACAAAAATATGCCTACATACCTCCCGACAAGCGCATTCAGTAGGGCTGATTTTCCACTGTTATGTGACCCAAACACATAAGCTTGAAACACCACCCGCTGTGAGCGTTGCCGCTTCTTATCAATACGACGACGACGCGTGATCCGAAATGCTGAAGCTGGATCTCCGGGGTAACCTATGTATATAAGATGCGCCAAACTTTTCTGGGGCTCCAGCAAAGTCATCAGTGCCCACTGCAGCCAAAACACACACTGGTTTACTTCTTTTAACCCACACTGCAACAGCAAACTCTTTTTCAATTATTCCTTTCCCCGAAAAATGCAGAGAATAGAAAAACTGGACAAAACTAAACCAATAACTTGTTATCAATGTGACAATAATTGAAAGAATAAACAGGGAAAAAAAAAATACTAGCTCACTTCAACTCTGTTAGCCACATTTTGATCTTTTCACACGAATGCAATAATACTTCAAAATCGTACCAATGACAAAAAGCCATTCAGCGTCAATCCTCCCACAGAGTTGGTTTCAGCAGCGTCGCTGTAGGCCGGATCCTCCCAAGGGCTGCAAAATCATTACGACAGTCAGTTCACAGTACATGCAATCTGCACATTTTCATGTGAATCAAATAAAAGAAAAAAGCTGAAGAGTAAAGAGCATATGAAAAAAATTATTGCATGTATACTGTATTCTACCTGGAAGGAGCTGTAGAGAATAGATCCTCGAGCTCTTGCGGTCTAAGAGCACAATCCTGCGTAAAGGAGAGTATTAAATAGATTCTCTACACACCTTGTGAGACGGATAATTGGTTGAAGAACATCAAATACAATTCTCTTTCTTGTGGGTCACAATTAAATCAAAAAAAATATTACCGATACAAAAAGTCAAAATAAAAAAGTGTTGTTGGAGGACTAAAAACTAGGAGGAAACAAGCAAGTACATTACATGCTTACCCCATCAAGATCAAAAGCAGAAAATACTCCTTTCAAAAAATCTAACGCTTTCTCAGTCAACTCAATGCTCTGCAAAACACAAGACGGAGGTTGGTGCCCACAATCAATCCAAGAAATACCACCATAAATGTGAAAACCGCGTTCCTTCTTACAATGGTTTGTACTGTTGTCGGATCTAGGCATTCACAGGTAGTAAGAAGCTAAAAGAAAGTAGAGGGAAAAACAGAAGGTGAAGATATGTGTATTTTCTGGAAACTTCTGCTAATCCAACACAAACGAGATTTTTAAAACTATAAAACTAAGAAAAGGAAATTGTTCATAAATTTCCTTAGCTTTAAATGTGTAACAAAGTAAACTACATATCATCACTTAGGTCTATCTCAAATGTAATGTAAGGAATGTCGACAAGACCCAAACGCAGCACAAGGTTTATCAGTCATGTGGATGCTTCATTAAATGTAAAGCCTGCTGCTACACTGTGGAACTATTACTACCATTCTCATCCCTAAATTTTAATCCCTGAAGTACCTGGTCGGATGCTCGCTTGAACGCCGGGTTCGCCACCAGGTCATCTCGAAGCTTAATCTCGTCGTCATACCCAAACTTTCTTAAAACAGTCCAAGTAGTTTCCAGCCGACCCCGTTCGATGAACAAAGCGTGAAGGAAAAAGAAACCAGTAAGCGTCAGCCCGTTGTTGCTCACGCCATCAGCCATCTTCTCTGAAACCACTTTTTTTACCCCTTCTATCTCAGTTGGCTGCAAAGGTGCATTGAAGCATTTCACCTGGTCCAAACATAATATCAGTATCACATACTTCAACCCACTCCTCGCAACAAATAATAATCTTGATGAAACTAAGGTGACAAAAGTAATAATTTAAACATAAAGACCTGGAAATCGTTAAGTTCCGCATCATTCAGAGTTCCATCCCTATCGTGGTCGCACAATATGAATATTCGCTTCAATGCACGTACACAACGTGGCTTCAGAGTCTGTAATTCTTGGTCAAAAAGCGGGGCAGTTGGATGTAGAATGGCTTTTTGAGCATAATAAAAGACCTCAGCGACCTGTAAAAATTGGTTCATGGCAATGCCATCTGCAGACTCAGAGCTTGTCCACTATATCATTGATCACATTGAAAGATGTACCAGACCCTTGATTTATGTATAGGTGATACTATCCAGACTAAAATCGACACAGTCGCGTAACATTGTGGCATATCAAAGTACAGTTCGACAGAAATAAATTCCCTTGTGAAAACCCTTCATACATGACCTATTTCGAAAGCTTTGAAGTTGTGATAGTAGGTAATGATATTTTGGATTTTCCATTATCTTAACATATAATGCAAATAAAAAGCCTGTTATTCGCCACGAGCAAAAACACTTTGACTCTTGTAAACAAACGTTGTACGTACTGCTCTTTCAAACACTTAAGGTTCGAAGAAATTTTGCTCAAATTCCAATCTACAGCAGAATTATACTACTCAGATTGAGGAAAATTACTGAATGCACAATTCGTAGAACATCAAGTATAGTTGAAGTTAATTTGTGATGCAAGTTCCTCTTAAACCACTTTGAATGGCTGTGATTCACAAACGACTTGACCATTCAAAGATGAAGAATTAATCCAGGGTACCTGAACTTGCTTGACAGCCGAACACTCTATACAGGTCTCAATTTCTCGAAACTCATGCATTAGTGGAGCCATTACTTGTTCGAGACTAGGTTGGCAATCATCACGAAGATCAAGTTTACAGCCGACTACAATGATGGGCACTTTGATCTGCGACACGAAAACAAAAATTACGATCAGTTAATTGGAAAAAAAAAATTGTGCAAAGGCAGAAAAGCACGCGCAATCATGGTCTCAACGTTACTATTCCTAATTTTCAATTTAGAGGCAGGGCACTGACTTGTAAAGCCCGAAGCTCGGGCAACCAGTAAGTAGATAGTCGCTCAAGTGTTTGAGGTCTGTCGCATGCATAAGCCAGAACTATTGCGTCTGCTTTCTTGCACTCCATCTCCATCTTGGACTTATCTTCTTGCCTGTATACAATTTCAAAACAGTTCAAACATTTCGAAAGCTCATCTTTAAAATTGACTCACCCCCAATAGACCCTAATTTGTGCACTCCAGAGACAGTTAAACCAATACGACCAGATAGGGCTCAAGATCTATTGAAACAACAACGTCCCTGGTTCCACTATCTCACTACTAATCACCCAAAAACCGCATTGGTGCCGTTAACTTATTCCAGCCATGATTCAAAACCTCCATCATCCCGTCGATTCTTGCTCCTTCCTGTCTACCCTTAAAGCCTCGTTATAAAACCCTAAAACTGCCAAACATGAAAAAAGAACTGTTCCTATTGCCGAGCAGCCTGACCTGGACGACGTATCAATGATAGTGAGGGGGACACGATCAGGATAGAAGTCATGAGGCAGTCGGGTGGGCGGCAACACAGGAGGGCACTTCTCGGGAAACGAATCCGTCGCCACTGCAGCAATGAGGCTGGATTTCCCCGTGCCTTGGTCGCCCACGACCACCACTTGACAGCGGGTCCTCCCCTCACTTGACATGCTTGCTCAATCCTCAGGCTCTTGTTCTTGCTCTTCCTCTTCCTCTACCTCCACCCCTTTACACCTGAATATGAATCCCAGCAGGAACTCTAAACACCTCGTTCTACTGCTACAATGCGCTTCAACCTGCGAGAAAACGGTCTCAAGGGAGAAAAGAATAGCAGCAGCTACAACCTAGTTCCATGGTGACGCTACTCACGAGGACTTTGTCCGCGATTCCACCGAAGCAACGACGTGCGTTTCGGCAAATCTTTGAGTGATGGTCGTGTTTTCGGTCTGATCATCTTCGAGTTGCTTCTTCTCGCCCTCCCTCCTTCGAGTAGACTCATCCCATCTGGCGGGCTGCGTTCACACCACTGCTCCGGGAATGTCATTAACAGCTACAATTTGATTTGGAATAATTTTAACTACAAACCAAGTTTATCTAATTGAGTTTTCTTTTCTGGTTTAGTAGCGAAAACGATTCATGCTTGTCTGGGTGGTGCTGGGTACTAGGTTTGAGAAGGCAATAGAGTAGTTTGACGGCTTTCTTTACAGCTTTGTGCATTTGTGCCCTACCCTGAACAAAGAAAACCCAATGAAGAGTTCTTCCAAAAGATCCTTTCTTTATTATCAGCCTTCTTCGACTGTGTCATACAATTCGGAATGAATTTAAGTTTCGAAACTAACTTCAGATGAACCTCAGTTCGAGTCTTTATTCACGTGTCTATAGATTATTTTTTCATCTTGCAATTAATTTGAGAGTCCAATTTTGGCTACTTGATTGAACAAAATACGATATAATAAGTAACTGAGTAATGGTTTTATACTTCCGCTTTTAGAGAATCTTTTACTTAGCAAAAAGCTAAATATTGGCATTCAGCGTTGGAAGTACAAAATGTGGCAGGTCATAGTCATGTTATGTTCAATTATTGATTAAAAAAGTAAACAAAAATTAAAAACCACAAACATCAATGTCATCCATGACTTCGTGTGAGTGACATCATGGTGCTTCCGATTGAGAAAGTAAAACAAAAATATGCTGCGTACCAAACTACATATCACATCGAGAGTAGAGGGGCATGCATCTCAAATATGAAACCAAGCAAGCTGACAACTATAGAACCAAAACAGATATTCTTGCTACAATACGTACCGATCGAATCCAAAGTAAAGATAAACAATACTTTCATTTGTAGAGACCACTAATTGGTCTTCATTGTTTCTCAGAGTTTCTTCACGAGTTGATCTAATTCCTGTCCAACCAACATTGGTAGAATTTACTAAACTGTATGAGTGGCTTGAAGCACCTTTGTATCACTCAATGAATGAACGGCATATATGAACAACACCTCTTTAAAATACTGAACAGAACCACTTCCTATGATATATGGCATGATGCTCACTCTTGCCAACCGGAGAAAGAGAAATTATGTTGAGATTGATAAATCCCACTGAGGCACTACACATTTGTCTTTTATTTTTTCTTTACTTAACGAAAGGTTTGTTTGAAAAAACGTTAGTAGGATTATGTCAACCCAAAACTTTGCAACACAGGATAGTATTGTGATGTTCACTCTAAAGTACGTAGTTTACAGAATGGATACGTCCAGGGGTTTAACCTTTATCACAAAATTTCATGCGCTCGTGGCCGAAACATAGGTCCCAGTAATTTATCACACGAATCTGACAAAGTGAGACAAACAGCAAAAATAGATCAAGGGAAGGAAGTCACTTATAGATGAGCATGTAATAGTGCAACACCATATGGATAATATGTGCGTCCAGAAGTCTAATCAGAATGTAGTCTTTGTTACAGCTACGAACAATAAGCACAAGACATTGCTAATTCTAAAGAAATGAAGCAACTTTTGGATCTGCTCGAGTAGGAAGACCGGGGCGGGCTCCAAGGGCACGACAACTGCCAGCACCCTGTCAAACAAAGACAATGATCAGTATTCAGTACCTAACTATCCCAGAAGATACAGCATCTTACTTGGAAAGGTAAGGATTCAAACTAAAAGTTGCATCCCGATGGCCGCGGTAAATGAGGTGCATTACGAGATGTTCATCCACCTTGCGAATCAGAGAACCCTGGTGCTTTAATTGCAAGGAGATCAGAAAATAAATAAGTAGTACTTTTTACTGCACTCTTTAATGCAAGAGTCTAGTTCAAAGAGGCTTACCACTGTGGCTCCAAGAGCAAGCATTTTTGGAGCAGACAGACCAGCCAGAATTGCTGCCACACGGACAATGAAATTATGATAATCAAATTGTGGGCTAAAAGTTCCAACGCCCTTCTACGATTAACAGTTGATTTCAAAGCTAGAGCAGAATATACCACATAGAAGACAGTTTCAAGAGAATTACCATACATCACACCACCAATAAAGCCATCACCAGCTCCTGTTGTATCCACGAGCTCTGAGGCTGGAATAGTTTCGGCGGTCCCAACATGGAATCTTCCCCAAATATGTTGCTGAACATCGCTATTGTTCGCAATGCTCAACTTACAAACCTGCAACACTTTAAAACAAGTTGTTATTTAAAAGATAAAAGTGTACCAAAACCACACAAAAAAAAACAATCAAAGCTCCTCAATTTTGTGTTTAAGGTGCGTCGGCTAAGACATTGGTAGTACGAGACATCACCTTCGATGTAATGGAATTGGGAGACGAGCCACAAAGTTCGCCTGCCTCCCGTGAAAGTGACTCTACCAGCGAATTCACTTCAACTGAACCGTCCTCAATTTCGGCTTCAGAAGCGTCTGTAAAAAAAGAGCGTCGTCCTTAGAATAAAGATACCCACACCGTGATTAAAAATACAATTACAATAGTCAATGCTACGACATAAACTCATGACACATGAAATATAAAATTCGAGGAGACCTGAAGCGTGTCTTTCGAGCATAATGCAACCAGATGCTCCCAAGGTCACAATCACAAACTTCAGCCGGGGAAGCTGCAGCATCATCTTGACTAACGCTTCCGCTACTGTTGGAGCTGATGTCCAAGACTACAACATCAAACATAAGTGATTTGCGCTCAAAATGTTTTCCCAAATAAGATATGCATGCAACGTCGTGGCCCAGTCATAACTACCAGAGAGAAAGACTATGAAAAAAAGATAGCAAGTGGTTATACCTGAGGAAATTTGGCAGATGCTACAACATAGGTCGCATAGGATAACAGATCATCTAGCCCTTCCCTCAAACGCTCAGCATCTACGAGAATTGGCAGCTGACGCTTCGAAGCCTGTAATTCAAAAAGTAACCAGTGATCAGATTAATCACACTTACACATGCACGAAGACTAGAGATCTTTGCAAGGCTACCCTAAAGTCCGGCATATGTGTAAAACAAAAACTGGAGTCCCCGCAAAGGTCGTTGTAGAGGAACTGCATCCTATAATAATTAACGCATCACAAATGTTCTCTTACCTCTTCGGCCAGAACAATAGCTGTATCTGCAAGTCGCCCATCGAAATAAACAAGATTAGCCTCGTTGAGTAAAGAGTTAACACTGGCCGAAGTCAGCTCCTGAGGAATCAACGCTGGAGAACCTGGAGTATGAATACACGTGCGGGTATTCCTGCACAAGAATGATAATGCATCAATTCTATGTCAGGTGGTAGGTACTGATTCTAAATTGATATCGGTTCATGCAAAAGTTGCAAAGGCACAAACTGGAAACCCACACTCTCAAAGATGATCAGACACGTCTTTCAGCAGCAGCGCATACATAAAATGTCCGCACTCTTGGAAGAAAGGCGAACCAAAATGGGTAATGAATCTCTTGAAGGCAAAGCTAAAGATGAAGATGGGAACGCACGTTTCCTTATCGACGATAACGAATGTGAATGGCGATACACCTTCAGCTACCTGCAGTTCCACTATCACTGAAATGAAAAACAAGTACCTGGTCATACGCTCATGAGATACTTATGAAACATGTTTATGTCGGGCTCATTGGTAGGACAGTGCTTTCAAAATAGTGGCGGGCCTGCCGTATTATCTTAGAATCAAAGCTCTTTCTTGAGTTAATGCCAAAGAAAGTTACTGGAAAGCCATATCGTACCACGACATTAGAAACATCAACACCGTCGCCTTGTAGCTCTGCTAGGATTTGCGAACCTGGTCCATCGTTTGCTACCTGCAATAAAATACGGTAAGTCTAACATAGATTCATGACTAACACACTTTTGCTACTCATACGACCGGATTGCCATCATGTTGACCCCCTTTACGTTATTATCCTTAATAAGCGAAACGACAAAAATGAAAAAACAAAACAAAACAAAACAAAGGAACCTAAATGTTGCATCAAAATTCGACTAAAACTAATCCGAAATGCTAAAGAGGGCGTCTGACTATGCCGAACCCTTAAATATCTGGTAGCTGGTTCGTACGTTGATATAAGTTGATAAGATTGGTAAAGAATCTTTTGAGCACTACTCGTCAAATGGAACTAGAACAGCACACAGTTGAACTTGCCTTGGTAAAGATTCTGCACTCTAGACCCAGACGAGCTGCAGCCGTAAGTGCATTACCAACATTGCCCCCTCCTTGCACCTGCCAAGGGAGTGAGTCAGCTGGAGTGGAGAATCGTAATTCCATACAGCAATTCTCACATGAAATTTTAGAGGGCATCTAACTTCTCTTATGAACGAAGTGATCACCTTACTTCAGTAGCTCCAGGAACAACCAAGAGACAGTACCACAAACAAAATTTCTATGTTATCAATCAGCGAATTCACCTATCCTACACCATTAGAATTTATTTTACAAAATATCTCATTCAACAGACTGAAAATTCGAACATTTCGTTTATGCAATCTGACTCGTGATGAGCTAGCTCCTTCATGAAGTCAGCATACGGCTTACTTGTAATTCAGTGCTTCTGATCTTATCATCGGGTTGTGGAAACTTATCCACACTCGCCAAAAAATCAAGAGCGGCACTCCCGCATCCTACCTGCAAATGGAATGCTCAATTCAATGTTTGGGGTTGACTTCGTTACCAGATAGAAACCCTGAGACCCGATGGTCGCTCAAAAATTTAGTAATGTAATGATATCTAATGATTGATATATACATAGGCTTCAAACGCAAACTTTCGACTATGCTCTTGTCTGATGGCGAACACCCAAATAAGTGGTTTCCAAAGATTATCGACAAAGAGTGGTCCAGAATCATGACGACCTACTTAATTTGCATGATACCATCTGTAAAATCCTAAATTCTCGATACAGTCGAAAGATTCCGTACTGTTGCTAGAATGAAACTGATGCATTTTTTACGATAACAAGAAGTAGCAACATAGCATGCAACTCTTCTAAAACACAATGCCACGACTTGTGCAAGAAGAGTGCAATGTTCAGAACAAGAAGCATTAGTCTATAGTCAAGTTTGAGAAAAGAATACAAGATCATTTGCTTGCGGGGCAAACGGATCAGACGTCGTAGAGGGAGGCAATCAGATGTATTTATTCCATAGGCAACAAAAAAAAGTGTCCGCATTCGAAAACAATATGTTCGTCCTCACCAACACACGCTTTTCCGGCAGAGGAGATGCCTCAGCATTATTGCTGCACCTCACGGTTACTGCTCGTCCGAGTGTCAACATTCTCCCACCTGTGAATGCGATTCGTCTTCTTAAATTAAGAAGTACACACACAAACATTAGGAAATTACTTTAGACACAAATATACTTGAAATTACAAAGCATAGAGCCTGCGACCGGTTCTCGTCTCTCTCGGACGACTCGAATCGAATAAAGCTGTATTACTTTAACGCCACCACTAGCTAAACCATCAACTCATTCAGATTGTTTTTCATTTAGCGACTTACATACTTGAAGGTATTAGTGGCTTACTGAAACACGAGCGAATTCGCCAATGGGAGCCTCAACCTGCTTGAGAGGCGATGTGCATCTCTCGAAACACAGAAGCATTCATCTCCACCAGAAGTTCTCCGCCCCCCAGCAACTCCGGTTAAAGTTCCAGGCGAAATCGACAACACATTAGTAACGTCCATCAACTCAAAGGGGAGTACGGACGCGACAGATGAGGCCAACCAAGTGCACTCCAACACGGCGATGGCGATTGAGGAGCCCAATACCTCCTCACTCCGCCACACATTCACACAAGACTTCCAGCCCTGCGGAGAATCAGTAGCACAAGCAGAGTTTGTGCGCAATGTGATCCAGTCGTGAAGCGACGAAATTCGAAGCAGCACGACAGCGGTCGAAAAAGAATGGCGACAATGATGCGTTTGTGGCTGTGTCCGCATGTGTGCCTTCGAATCCATGTTGCTATTATCGATAAAGCAAAGCAGGGCGCTCTTCGCTCCTCGTGCAGCTGTTGCTCTCATGTACATTCCAAGTTGGTAGATACCAGGTTCGAACGACTTCATAGACTTAGCCGCATCTGCGTCCGAAGGTAAGGATGATGGGGTTGAAAAATATTCGTGTCTATAGATATGAGTGAATCATTGAGGATGAATTTTAAAAAAAAAAAAAAAAAAAAAAAAAAAAATTATGAAAGAGTTGTTTGATTCACAGTGTTGATAAAGAAAATTAGGTGTTTATAAATTAAACCCCTAAATGTAATCAAATAATTCTTTCATAATTATAAACACCTAATTATTTGATAAATTAAACACCTACATGTATAATAATGAAATCAATTACATTTCTTTAATATGATTGGAAAATGTAATTTTTATTTATTAAAAAAATTAAAATAGCTAAATTAAAAAAACTTCTAGATAAACCACATTTATGGTTGCATTTTTTACTTCATTATTTTCACAATGTAGAATCTTGATCATATTTAGAAAAATGCATTGTGAAAAGGACAACATACAATAGTCTATATGCAAATACTTAGATGCTAAGATCTATTCCTTTGTTCTTCAACAATTGTCCTTGAGATTTGTTCATAGTCATTGCAAATCCAAACTTTATTGGAAACTCCCTTTGTTGTAACTTGAACAAAATCTTTGCAAATGATGGACATGATGTGATCCTTGGAAGAAAAGCCAATTGTCTCTTGTAGTCTCTAGATAAAAGTCTTGTCTCAAAAACTTGATTAGTAAGTTGTGTAATGATCTAAGATAATCCATTACAAAGTCCTTGATGCATAGCAATGTTTTGCAACAACATAATAAGACATCTAATATTTAGCTCTAAGCTAAATGGTGGCAATTGAGATAGACTTAAACTATTCAAATACTCAATTGGATACTCAATTACCTTCGTTGCAGCCATTATCGTCCTCGTGGCTATATGCCTTCTCTACTCAAGCACGTATCTGAGCCTGCACTCCATCGTTTCTCTCGGCCTTATCGAATAGTTTCATCCTTCACTGCTTTATCCATAAGCAATATCATATGATTCTTCTCCCACATCTCAGGGTTACCCGTGAGATTTGAATCGGTATGCGAGGGTCTGCGTTACAGCTAGTATGTTTGTGCTCCCATTTCGAGATCAGAATGGTAGTATGGGACTCCTTATCAGCCTCGATGATGTTCTGAATATGTAATCGATGTAGATTGCTGTAAGCTACAAAACATCATACTCAATTTCATAGGGGTAGAATGTGAGATCGTCAAAGATTATAAGCTAGAAGGACGGTAGTATCGAGACATGCTTAACGTCGCACTCACCTCAAGTCTTTCGTCAAGTCAGTTGAACATTGTGTTTGAAGCACTCTCGAAGTGTGTTTCGGGCAGAAGCGCAGTGTTTGATTTTGTGTACGGCTGAATACTTCGGCACTACCACTCAGATCTGATGAAAATATTAAATCAACGCTCTAGATTAGATCAAACCATACTTCGTACATTAATGAAGTGGGAATAAAAGCAGAAATAACTGTGCGGTGTCTTTTCGGGTGAAAAAATCAATTGAGAGAAGAACACAATTTGCAAATTAAACACATTTGAACAGAAACTTTTTACACCCATTAGTGGAGTCATTCATATCTTAAGTACAGATTTGTGAAAATTGAAGAATATTGTGACATGAAGGTATTCAGAGGATCTATCGAGTAAAGATCCTTACAGAATTATCGTGCTTATGGGAGCGAAGACCCTGGAGAATGCTAATGATCTAAGCTTAAGTGTCGAAATATTATCAACACTATCCTTGAAGAGCAGCCATATACAACCATAAACCAGTCGAGGCAATAACCTCGACCATGAATGGTAATTGTAAAGATAATACCTTAGTAGCAAGTTTTTCTTCAATATACTTGCAAGCCTTAAGCAAGGCAACCTAGCAAAACATGTGAACTCAATTGCTCAGAACGTTGTCAACGTTAGTTCCAAATCTGACATAGAACATGAGTTCTGCAATGTTGCGAGTAAAATCGAGATAGATATAGACATATAGATATGCTAGCTAAGAAAATAGCTCCGCATTGACTTTGACTACTAATGTTATGTAATCATAATGTAACACGATAAACTGTACAGGGTAGAGAAAACATATTTGATAACCACCGATAGTAGAAGTCTGATGAATCTTTATCCTAACGAAATCATTTTCTCTTTGTTCAACCAAAAATTGACAGAATAAGCCCTTTTTTCATGAACAACACAGTAATATTACAGAAAAATAAGCAGTAAAAGCCATCAAGATTTTAAACCCAACTGATATGTCTCCATAAAGATCAACTCAACAGATTGACAACATAGAAAAAATGAACCCGATAATTAAATATAAATCAAGGATATCTGCATAAATACTATCCAATGTATTATCATGCATTCGGTTAAATTTGGGCAGAGTGTCTAACTCCATTACACATTGGATGTACTCGGCTTTCTTTAGCAAACAACTTAGAATTGCGTTCACTGAATGTGTTTATTTCTAGATATAAATTCTTATAACGTTAGAAGAGATGAAAAATAACATTATTAAATATAATACCTAATAATGCATATGTTGCAATGCAATACAAAGTATAATGCAAATATGTGTACAATACCAACTTTTAATAATTTTTCTCAATTTTTACAGATATACATTCAAAACTTTAACAAATAGAATGTATTAAAGTAAGTACTGGAACTGAGCACCTTCACAATGCTATTGCCAAAGTTGTTATTGTTGCCAAACAAGTATTTGTACTCTTTCTTGAACTACAAGTCCACACATACTATTCAATTTTCATTGTCTTGCTTCATCTTATCCAAGAGATATACTAATAATCATCCTTCCAAGTCTATAGTTAGTTCAATAAAGATTAAAAAATAAAAAACTTATATTCTATAAAATAGATGTTTCTATCAATTCCAAATATTTTTTCATTATTCAAGCCATTTTCACAAATGATTGTTGATGGAATAGTAAGATATTGCTTTAGATTCAAATCTGATGAAAAAAAAAAATAAGGGTTATAATTTAGATAACTTATGAAAATATCCTTTGTAAGCTTATATGCCAACTACATCATTAATGTTGAGAAATTTCTTATATTAATTGGTTGAAACTGAATGAATTAGAAATATCTATAATAGTAATAATATTGCAATAGCCCTACTATCTAATCAATAGATTTGATTTCTATGAATTTCATTTTAGCATTTTGCATGGATTTTATAATGCATCCATAATGTCCATTTCTTATTTGAAATCCGACATTGGATTTTCTAGAGCCTTCATCATGTTATCCATCTCATATGTTTTTTTTTCTTTTTTAATCACTCCCTAATTTTTCGTATGACCAACTTGAATTTATATATTTGGATTTATATTAACTTCTATTATATACTAAAATAGACTGTTCTATCAACTTGTAAAACAAACTAATTGGCAAATCTAAATTTCACATATTCCAAACAAACAACCCATATTATTATATACAAAATAGCACCTTTCAACCACGATGCTCATGGATAATGCACTTTATAAATACCTTTCAAAGAAATCTATTGTAAATAACTTATTTTAAAAAATTTAATAGATACAACTTCAATGATAATACCAACAAATACAATGGGCATTATGTCTCATTTGTATAGAATACATTTAATTCGTTCAATTTTAGAAGTGTATACAAACTTTGTAAAAATATTAAATAGTCTCAAGTATAGAAAAAAAAATTGATGAAAATAATACAAACTCCATAATAATATTAAATGATTTTAAATATAAAGATCTTTTTTTGAGGTAGAAATGAATTACATGTACTATTAAGGCCTTGTAAATCTATAAACTTTTATTTTACTTTAAATAAAAATAATGATAGATGTAGCTAATTAAAGATAAATTTATTTCTTTTAATTTAGCTTGTTGCTTTATCTCTCTTCAAATTTTACACATATATATATATAAAGAGAGAGAAAGACATAGAGAAAAAAAAAAGTTGTTAAAGCCATATACTTTCTTACTATTTCATAACTAATTTAGTCTATTTTTTATTTTAATTTTCAATAGTCTTGTTCCTCATTTTCTTTTTCATATCTCAACTCCCTTGTTTGCATTGATAGCCTACATTCCTTGTCTTGACTTTCTTCTTTCTTCCCTTCATTTCTTCTCTTTCTTTCTTTTTTTCTATTTTTAAAAATTGCTTGATTTGGATGATTTTTCTTGATACTAATTTATAAAAAATAATTATGATTGCTATTGCATAAAAGATTTACAACCTGCTTAAAGAAAAAATATTTTATTATATTATAAGAAGCTAGTATTGTGAGATATTTTTAACTTAAGTCTTCTTTAGTGCTATAGAAAGAATATAAGCCCAAGTCAATAGTATTGTCATTGGTAAATTTTTAGAAAGTATGGTGATCTTTAATACTTGCAATTGGTATTCGTATTTTTTATTTTATTTAGTATGCTTGAATAATAAGACCTTAAAATATATAATTTATATATCTTTAAGATCATATTAGAAGTATTTTTTATTTCTTTTTAATAAGACAAGAATGAAATATGGAATGGCAAGCAATGCAACCTTAGAATCTAAAAAGAAAGATGAAACCGTACCTAATGCTTAAAAAGACTAGTAATAAAAAAATAAAATAATAAAATAATAAAATAAATCACTGAATCTAGATAGCTATTTTCTATCATATTGAGCCTTTAAAAAAAATCACTTATTAATCTACTTGTAATAGCTTCAATATGAAAAACTTAATAAAGTTTTTTTTTTTTTTTTTTTTTTTTTTTTACTATCTAAGAGGTATATTCCATATGTTAATATAGTAGTAGCTATCAAAACTTATTTTTGTTGTTGTATTATGTTTAATATCAAATATGAGTTGTAATACCTCTATTAACTATAAAAGTATTTTGAATTCTATTTTTAAATATATTAATC